AGGTACGAGGCAGGTTCCATGTCCAGACTGTCTCGTGTTTTTTCCTGAATTATTCTCATTTAAATTGTTTATTCTTTGTTAGTTGGATGTTTTCTATTGCTCTGTCTTCTGGATTGCCCCTTCACCAGTAGTGTGTTGCTTAGTTTTCCTATTCTTCTCCTAAAACCTTCTATCAAGTTCAAGAAACCTGAGAGCTGGACAGATGGTTCAGCATTTAAGAGCACTGGCTGCTCTTCCAGAGGACCTGGGTTCAATTCTCAGCACCAATCTAGTGGTTCACAATTGTCTATAACTCCAGTTCCCGAGGATTTGACACCCTCTTCCGACCTGTTAGAGCATCAGGAAGGCATGTGATGCATAGACATACCACAGACAAAATACCTACACACATAAAATAAAATAAATATACATAAAATAAAATAAATACACAGAAAATAAAATAAATACACAGAAAATAAAATAAATACACAGAAAATAAAATAAATACACAGAAAAGAAAATAAATACACAGAAAATGAAAACAATACTTTAGAAACTTCGTGGTGCCTCTGAACTTCCTGAGATAGCTCTCTGACATGCTTTTTCCCAATGCTTGTAAAATTATGTTTATTTACTTTGGAGGTGTAAATTTTTCAGCTAAACTTATAAAAACAAAACAAAACACTTTTACCATCCTCTACAAGTCATCTGTGGTTGATATATTGTATACCCCAATATATTGTGTACCCTAATAAAACTTATCTGGGGTCAGAGAACAGAACAGCCACTAGATTAGACATAGAAGGCCCGACGGTGGTGGCACATGCCTTTAATCCTAGCATTCCGGAGGCCGAGATCCATCCCAATCTCTGTGAGTTCAAGGCCACACTAGGAACAGAGCCAGGCATGGTGGCACACACCTTTAATCCCAGCACTTGAGATCTCATGTTTTTGCTTGGGAAAGACACCCACCTTTAATTCCAGGAAGTGATGGCAAGAAGTAGAAATGTATAGGTGTGAGGATCAGGAACTAGACCTTTTAAGCAGTTCAACTAAGACCCTTTAGAGTGAGGACTCAGAGGCTCTTGGGCTGAGGATTTCCCAGAAGGCTTTTAAGCAGTTCAGTTGAGATTCATTCAGGTGCGGACTCAGAGGCATTCAGTCTGAAGAAACAGGATCAGCTGAGGAATGGCGAGGTGAGGTTGGCTGTGGCTTGTTACATTCCTCTGATCTTTCAGCGTTCACCCCAATATCTGGCTCCAGGTTTTTTTTATTAATAAGACCATTTAGCAATTCATCTTGCAGTCATCTGTAGATGTAACCAACGGTCTTATTAAATAAGAAACACAGAGCCAATTCAGAGAAGAAAGCCAAGAGGTCAGAGCTAAGAGCCTCATCCTTCCTGATTCAGCCAAGAGAGCTCTCCAAAAAAAAAAAAAAAAACCTACTTCCTGTGTGTCTGTCTTTATAGTCTTTCTGTTCTGCCTTCTCATTGGTTGTAAACCCAAACATGTGACTGCCTCGTCACTGCCTGTATGTACCACCCTCCAGGTCCTTAAAGGCGTGCGCCACCGCTGCCACGCACTTGCTATGGCTCTAATAGCTCTGACCCCCAGGCAACTTTATTTATTAACATACAATTAAAATCACATTTCAGTACAAGTAAAATACCACCACAGTCATCTGCACAAATGAAGATCTTACAACACTCTAGGAACCCAGAACATGATGTAAACTGTTTAAGTTTGAAAGTCCTGCCTACAATCCCAGCACTAGAGAGGCTGACAGGGGGGTTCCTCTCAGTCTGAGACCATCCTGGTCTACGGAGTAGGTAACAGGCTAGTGTGGGCTACATGGTGAGTCAGTCTCTCTCTGTCTCTTTTAAATTAAAAGGAACTTTCTTCATTTCTTTTCCAAATATATCGTCTTGTATGTTGATTTTTTTGTTTTGTTTTGTTTTTCGAGACAGGGTTTCTCTATGTAGCCCTGGCTGTCCTGGATCTCGTTCTGTAGATCAGGCTGGCCTCGAACTCACACAGATCCACCTGCCTCTGCCTCCTGAGTGCTGGGATTAAAAGGCGTGCGCCACCATCGCCTGGCATATGTTGATTTTTGTATCCTGTAATTTTACTGAATCTATTAGTTAGTAATAATGTGTGTATATAAAATTTAGTATTTTCTATAAATAATAATGTCATTTTCAAACAGTTTTACTTATTCTCCCTCCCTCCTTCCCTTTCTTCTTCTCTCCTTCCTTCCAGTATAGTATAAAGAGAGAACGTTGAGAGTGACACCCTTTCTTGTCCCTTTCCCTTGTCCTCAAAGGGAAAAGCTCTCAGCTTTTTGCTCCTGAGAATAGTATCATGGCTTCCTCATATACGATCTTTATTATACTGAGGTACAGTTCTTCTAGGCTGAGTTTTTGAGAGGTTTATCTTTTATCATGAAAGCATGCTGAGTTTTGCCCAATGCCTTTTCGGTATCTGTTGATGTGATACAGTTTACTTTTTGCCTTCTGTTAGTGTGATGCAGCCCATTTACCCATGTGCAAATGTTGAAGCTTTCTTGTTTTGCATCATCCAAGTGGGGTGACGTGAAATGCCTGACATTTGTGGAAGGGTTTCTGGGTTGGTTTCCTGTCCATGGATTTTATAAACTAGGCTCAGAGGACAGACAAGTTGACAGTTTACTTTCCTTCGCCACGAGTACCAAAGTCATTCTCTGCAGTTAGGAAAGTGTAGTTTGGTTACATATTGTATCTGTGACATAGGCTGGCTTCTTCTGAGCCTGGACAGAGGCACTGTTTGGGACCCTTGGTTTGTCAGGGCTGGAAGCCATGCTCTGAAGTTAGGCAGGCTGCCAGGGTGGCTGTTGGCCGAGGTGAGGCCATAGGCTAGGCTCTGAGCCAGATGTGGCGGCTTGGTATTGGGCTGCTAAGATGGGTGGAACCAAGGCTGTGCTCTGCCGTGAGGCAGAGCCAATATATTGTCCTGGGGAGTAGGCTGGCTCTGGGGCCACACTGGAATGCTGGCTAGGAAAGACTGGTCAGTGTGGTCCCTGGACAGACGGAGTCAGAAGCCTGACTTTGCAGACCAGAGCAGCTGACTAGGCTCTCCCATGGGTGCCACTGATAGTGTAGACACAGCTCCATCCCCAGCGTCTCATCCCTGCCCCACTCTTTGTTGTTCAGTGGTCCACTGCTGAGTCGTTCAGTGTTCTTCACTGAGCAAAACAGATGGAGTTCTGGGGAACTGCATGTTCTCATTTGCCTGTTTCCCTACTAGAGAGAAACCTTAGACTCAGGGTCACCATCTTGGTAAGGCCTGTTCCAGCTTGAGGAAGGGGCAATGCAGTCAAAGTGGAACTGATTCTCTTGCCCTTCTGATGTGGGTTTTGTGGCCCATGGGTAAGGTTCAGTCTCATCCTCCAGTTGTTGTGTGTGGGAGGAGAGTTGCTGGTCAGTCCTTCTGTGTGGAGATTAAAGTTATAGACATCCTGACATCAGCAAGATGTCTTTTAACCTAAGGGCTATCTGTCACCTCCTGACATTCCTGTTCAGATCGTGGAAACATCCAATCATACAGTGTCTTGTTTAGAGTTTCTATTGCAGTGATAAAACACCATGACCAAAACCAATTTGGTGTGGAAAGGGTTTTTTTGGCTTACACATACACATCACAGTCCATCATCAAAGGAAGTCAGGAACCTAAAGGGAGGAATTGAAGCAGAAACTATGGATTAGCACTGCTTCCTGGCTGGATCAGTTTGCTTTCTTATATACCCCAGGACCACCTGTCCAGGGGAGACAATCCCATGGTGAACTGGACCCTCCCACATCAATCATCAATCAAGAAAATGCCCCACAGACTTGCTTATAGGCAATACAGATGGAGGCATTCTTTTTTTCAACTAAGGTTCTTCTTTTCAAATAACTTTAGCTTGTGAAAAGTTGACAAAATAAACAAACAACTTTTAAAAACCCAAACTAACCAGGACACAATGTGTGTTTCTCATTCACAAGATCTACCTTTTCCCAGTCCAGAGGAAAAAATTCAGCCCGTCACCTTTATCAATCTGCTCATCCTTTTTGATATCCACTTTCATTTTTTGACAGTGTTTGGAGTATAATTTATTTGCAATAAAATTTACCCATTTGAATATACAATCCAATGACACTTCACAGAGCCTTACAACCAGCACCACAGTCAGGTTTGGAACTTTGGCTTACCCATCCCAGAAGAACCCTTCATGGATGTGTACAGTCCATTCTTGGTCCCCTTAGTCCACACAACCACTTACACATCTGTCTCTATAGATTCCATTTCTGGGCACTTCATAGAAATGGAACTATACATTGTGTGGCCTTCTGTGTTTGGCTTCTTTTGTTAAGAAAATATATCTTTGAGATTCATTCACGTTGCAGAATATATTAGCATTTTGTTCCTATTTATTGAGAAATAATATTTCATTGTATGGATTGTCCATTTTTATTTTTCTACCCTCCAACTAAAGGCCATTTTGACTATTCCCTATCTTTTGGCTATCAATAATGCCACCAGAAATATTTGCATATAAGTTGGTGAGAATATTCCCTTTCTCCTGTATGAGAACAGCTAATAGTGGAAATTTTGAATCATAATAACATTATGTTTAACTTACTTTTTGTATGTGTGTAGAGTGCAATATAATGCATGTATGTGCAAATGTTCACATGTGTGAGGGCTTATGTGTGCAGATGCACATGTGTGTGTGTGCACATGTGTGTGGAAGTCAGAGGTTGATGCTCAGAGTCTTCCTCCATCACTCTCTCATATATGACAAGGCAAGGTCTCTCTCACTTGAACACAGCTTGCCAATTTATTGGAGTTAACTCATTTTATATTGGGGTTAACTCAAGACCACATATCTATGTAGGTTAGTTCTTTATAGTCTTTCTTTCATATATAAAAACTATATTTTCCAGAACATGTAATCCAATAGTCCTGATGATCATTTTCCCATGGTATTTCCTCCCCCTCCAGGATGTCCACAGAACAGCAGGACCCAGGGAGTTTCTTTAAAGATATATTCCCGCACTTCAAAGCACATAGAGTGAAGATTTCATTTGCAATAAAAAAGCCATTTCCTTTTTTTGAGATCCTCCGTGACACCGAGCTCATCACCGAGAAAATGTATAATGTAAGTGAAGTTTGTTACATCCTTCCCTGGTAAACAAGTTCCCAATGAAGTTACGCTTTGATGTCTTGGAACTAAACTGGACGATTGGCAAGTTTTTGAGGTTGCCCTTAATTTTTACAGAAAGATGTCATTTCTTACATGAGTGCATGTACTCGTGTGTGTGTGTGTGTGTGTGTGTGTGTGTGTGTGTGTGTGTGTGTGTGTGTGTGTGTGTGTTCACATAGGTGCTGGTGCCCACAGTGTTCAGAAAAGAGTTCCAGATTCCTTGGAACTGGAGTTACAGGCAGTTGTGAGCCATCTGATGTGAGTGCTGAGATTCAACTTGGATCCTCTATAAGAACTACACACATTCTTACCCACTTAGGCATCTCTCTAGCCCCTGGACTTAATATTTGACAAAGAATTATTGACAAAGTTTTCATAGTAGTGGGTATAGATATAGTCACAATAATAAACACATCAATTATGAATCAGAATTCTGCACTCAGGTTTAATATCTGGATTTCCTGTGAGTGATACTTACCATGTAAATATTTCTTGAAGTGTTCTCTCTAGGTATTAAGGGAGAGGAGAAGCAGAGGCCTCAGGATATGGTCCTGCTTCTATCTGAGGGAAGGGTGTTCTATGGTCCCTTCTGGAATCAGGGTGAGTATTGTTGAAGATAAGCCAGATCAGAACAGGGGTTCGCCATAGACGTTCAATATCTTACGCATTTTACACCATGTAATTCATGCAATTAAAAAGTAAACTAAATTTAAAACAAATAAACAAACTAAAAATCAAAAGCGACTTTAATTTCCTGTTGAATTATCACTGAACTGACTTAGGGATATTTCAGTGAGCACATTTTAAGTTAATAAATGTCTATATTTTTATCCGAGCAGTGGTGGTACACTCCTTTAATCCCACCACTTGGGAAGCAGAGATAGGTGGACTTCTGTGAGTTCAAGTCCAGCCTGGTCTACAGAGTGAGTTCCAGGACAGACTCCAAAGATACAGAGAAACCCTGTCTCAAAAAAAAATGTTTAATTTAAAACCCTAGATATAGAACATTAATCCCTACAGAGTGTCTTATTAGAACAAGTCTGTAAAATGTCTTTATTTTCATTTTATGTGTATGAGTGTTTTGTGTGTGTATATATATGTGCACCACTTATGTCCCTGGTGCCTTTGGAGGTCAGAAGAGAGGTCACCAGATCCCCTGGGACTGGAGTTACAGATGGTCGTGAACCACCATGAGAATGCTGGGAATCAAACCTGGGTCCTCTGCAAGAGCTGCAAGTGCACTCAACCACTGAGCCATCTCTCCGGCCCCTCTAGTATGTTTTTGCCTTATGAATATGCTGCCCTCCAGCAGAGTTCACAGTCACAGGGAACAGACATCTGATTTCCTACAGGCCAATCAGTACTAGTGGGAAGAGAGTTGTCCGGTTAACAGAACAGCTTGACCATCTACCAAGAGATTTCACCTTTTTATTTTTATTTTTTATTTATTTTTTTTGAATGCATCTATTTGCTTTTAATCCTTTAATCCTAACACTGGGGAGGCAGAGCCAGGTGGATATCTGTGAGTTTGAGGCCAGCCTGGTCTACAGAGCGAGATCCAGGACAGGCCCCAAAACTACACAGAGAAACCCTGTCTCAAAACAAAACAAAACAAAACAAAAGAATGTGTCTATTTTTATTTCTATGTGTACAAGTATTTTGCCTGCATGTATGTGTGCAAACCACTTGTTTGCCTGGTGCCCATATTGGCCAGAAAAGAGCACCAAATCCCTTAGAAGTGATGCTACAGGTGTTTGTGAGTTGTCCTGTGGGTGTTAGGAACAGAACTAGGGTTCTCTGCAAGAGCAGCAAGTACTCTCAACCATGAACCATCTCTCCAGCCCCTCCATACTTAAAAAATATTGCATTTATTATTTATTTACTTATGAATGTTTGTGTGTGTGTGTGTGTGTGTGTGTGTGTGTGTGTGTGTGTGTGTGTGTGTGTGTGTTTCTCTTGTATGGGCATATGTGTATGAGCTGTGCATAGGTGGAAGTCAGAGCACAACTTATGGCCAGTTGGTTCCCCCCTTTCACCATCTGAACCCCAGTGACTGAACACAGACCATCAGGATTGGTGCAAGGGCCTGTAACCCACTGAGTCATCTCGCCATTGTTAACCCTTGCAAAAAGTGGTCCTTATTACATGTCATAAAAACGACGGTGGGAGCTCAAAGTCACTAGTGAGTATTTTCTAAGAGAAAATACTTACTTGTTTCATGAAGTAGCCATGCAAATATAAACCTTTTAATTAGAGACTATGTAGGTAGGGATGGAGGTACACTAACTGTAATTGTTTCCTACGGCTCTTCTGTGACTTGGAAGCCTGCACTTAAATTTTCTCTATTCAATATCTTTTAAGGATTTTAGAGATTCCTGTACAAACCTGGTCCCTGTACAAAAAGTGGTCTACAGAGCCCTGGACATACTGGAGAAGAGATTTGACCTAGAGGTTCTGAGGGTACTGTTCAATGAAGAAAACATGAAGGCATACCCTGATTTGGAATTCATTGCCAGAAGTTTTGAAAATGGTAATTGGGTTTGGCATCACCCTTTGATATCACAGTCCTTTCTTCCACTCCTCAACAACCATATATGAAGCATCTACCATGTATCATGTATTGCCCAGTGAAATCGGGGATGTACTAGTTTTAAAAACTAGCATGTTATGTATCATCACAAAACGTATGTGTAATGGCTATAGTCAACATCTGCCAGAAGTCTGCTAGGCTAGGTATTTAGACCAACAAGACCATTAGAGCCCCACCAGCATCCGGACAGGAAGAATAGGACAGGAAGCACTGAGTCCCACTAGTGCATCACTGCTGTGTCTCTAGAGTGGAGCCCTTATAATGATATACATAACGGTCCAGCGGGTGACTACCACCCATCTTGAGTGACAGCTCAGCTCTGGGTTGCCGGATCCATCTTAGTTTAGTACCACATGCTCATAGAAATCAACAATGTGTGAGCCAGTTATTCAACCCCATCTTGTCCATCTTTAAAGCCTGCTCATCATAAAGCTTCCCTCTGGTATGTGCCAGATTTCAGCCTTTCTATCCAGGAAAGTCCCCTCTTTCTTCCTATACTTGTGACAGCCTGGAAGCCATGTTTTGCTTCTGTTTTCTTCTGTTTGAACATACACCTTCCCTGCCCTCTGAACACTGGAAGAGGAACACAGTTCATAGTGTGTTTCTACGTTTTTATTCTTGAACTTGAGTGTCTCCTTTCTGTATGGAAAGCATAAAGTCTCCCTTGTGGGAGTCTTCTTTCTCCCAGAACATGATGGATGAACTTTGTCATGTGGGACCGATTGAACTTAGAGTGACTGAAGGATTGGAAATTCCTAAATGTGTAATTTGGAAACGCTGTCCCTTATCCCTGCTAGAGATCTCTAATGGCTTCCCCTCTTCTTCCCTCTCCCTCCCACTTCAGTCTCACAGAACAGATTGTGTTTCCATGGAGGTGACAGAGGGTACCCGCACTCCCAGCTGTGCCTTGAACAAGGTAATTACAACTGGAGAAAGGTTCTTCTTGCTGCAGAGAATAGGCAATGAAGGGGATCATTAGCAGAGTGTGACTCGGGGAAAGAGAATGCAGGGAGGGGAGTTGCTGTGAGCCTGGTGTTAGCTTTCCTGTACTGGGACAAATTACCCCAGAGAAGTCGGACACTCAAAACTCTGAGGCAGGAGGATTATGAGTTTGAGGCCAGCAGTTTTGCATAGTAAAAGTCTCTCAAAAACAAAAGGGACACCCGAAAAGTCAATTGATTTGGGTTCATGATTTTAGATACTTCAGCCCAGATGGTTTGACCTCACTACTGAGACCTGTGGTGGGGCATAGCATCAAAGCAGGGGATCGAGGGGAGCAAAGCTGTTTGCTTCATGGTGGCCTGGAAGCAAGGAGAGAGAGGATGTGCCTGTGGTCCTTCAAGGATACACCCCCAGTGATCTAATTCCTTCCACCAGGCTCTGCCTATTAAAGGCACCACTCACACCTATTAGTGCCATTCTGAGGGGCAGACCTCTAATGCATGAATCCTGGAAGAAGGGAGCACTTGAGATCCAAACTGAGCAGCTTCTAATGGGATGTAGGGTCCTGGCAGAGCAACTATGGCAACAGACGGTCAGCCTGATACCCATGACAAAGGAACCTGAGCCCAGTGAGCCAGACTGAAACAGACCAACTGCTCTGTAATAAAAGAAAAGCCCCTGAAGGAGATGACCAATGTGGAGCCATGAAATTTGAAGCAGTATGGGCCATGGTAGCATCAAAGAGGAAACGCTCTTTAAGAGAATGTTCCCATTTTGTGCGTGCCCTCACATGCACTGGTCAGACACAAGATATATGGTGAGTGGGTTTCCCACACCAACCAACTCTCCAGACACCAGGAGGGTGTCTTATGATGTAATTCAATTCAGACAAAGGGCTCAGTGCCACAAGACAGCCAGCCACTTCAGATGCTAGTTACAAGTTCCAGGTGTGACCCATGCTTCTCTTCAACTGGCCATAAATCAGAGGTTGCTGTGCCCTCTCAGGCTACAGAGCTTGTTAGCATAGCTCATGAAACTCAAGGAAACATTAGCTCACAATTCATTAGAAAAGTTATAGCTCAAAAATAGCCAGCTTGGGTGAAGGGAGGTGGGGAGAAGACTCAGTTGGCCAAGTGCATACAAGCACAAGGGCTTGAGTTTGATCCCCTAAGATCGAATAAAAAACAGCTCAGACACAGGGGCAGATGCTGTAATCCTCGTACCACAGAAGATCAGGAAGATCCCTTGAGATTACTGACCAGGCAAATCGATGAGGTCTAGACCAGTGAGAGACTCTATCTCTAGAAAAAGAGGTCAATGTCACCTGAGGAATGACACCCAAGGTTGTCCTCTGTTCTCCACACAAACAATAACCACATGGGAGGCAGACACCCCAAGGAATAATGGGGAGAGAACACAACACTCTCTTCCCATCCCTGGATATGCCACCCTTTCAGCACTATAGAGTTTGTCAACCCCAAATCTCTCTGATGAGAGTCACTTAGGATTTTTAATAAAAGTTCCCTCATACTGCCATGACCGATAAAATCATTAACCATGTCATCAAGTCAACTTCTATCTCTTCTCACCTTGGAGGTCAGCATTTCAATGCTGTCATCATGTTTTGTTCCCCTGGCAACCAGCCCTCCATTCCTAAGGGTTTTCCAAACCTCACCTCTTTAATACACACTGCAGTGTTACTGAAGAAGGCTGGCTATGCCCAACGATAGATTGACTCTCTTCTCCCATTTATCACTTGGGAATTCACCCAGGATTTGAGGAGCACTGCTGGGAAACAGGAGATGCAGACCAAAACTACCATTTCTTAGTATGTCACAGTGTCATACTAGATGATAGAAGAGATGGATTCAAACATGACAAATGTTGTTCAAGAGCAAAAATATTCCAGAAAAAAGATATATAGAGGAAGACGCACAACCGAAGGTGGTAGAGGTGTGGGAAGAGCACACAGATTCTTTGAGAGACAGAGAGGAAGAGGAACAGACATGAAGAAAGCAGAAAGAATCAAGGACAATGGCAAAAGGAGCCATGTTGTTAGTTTCTTGCCTTGGTTAGCATCTACTCTTGGTTACTATCTACCCCAGCTGGTATCAAGGGTTGGTATCATTTAGATGCCCAGTTTATAGGTGAGGAAGCTAAAATTGAGAGACCCTGTGTTCACGGGGTCAAATGAACAAGCAAGAATCCAGATACTCTGGGGGCAGAGTCTGTGTTCTTCACCATGTACTGATAACCTGTTGGAAAACATGAGACAAAAGTGGGGGAAATAAAGAGAGAAAATACAGGAAGGAATAGCAAGAATGGGAGGAAATGGAGGCAAGCTGTTAGTGAGTCCTCATGGGAAGGCCAGCAGGGATTAGCCACCAGATACATAAGGGGGGGGCTGTTTTGTGAAAGGAGATACAGTTCAAAGACCCCTAGAAAGTCAGGTAAGGCTGGGCAAGGAAGCTCTGGGGACACATGCAGGCATCCTTTAGGTAGGGATATGAAGATGGGTCACCACCCACTGCTAGAGTGGCCCAGGCAGGACTTTATCCAGTCAGAGCTGACCCTTACAACCTACTCTCATGACTGAGTCTGACATCAAGAATCAGGGGGAGTTTGTCATCTCCAGATGGGCTCTGGATTGATGCCTCAAGGTGCCCTTCATCTTTTGCATCATAGAGACAGAACAGAACATCCTGCTTCAACTCCTGAAATAAACATCTAATTTTTGCTCCTTAGGACCTGGTGACAGCTGTTCTGAGGAAAGCCTGACCTTGTCACCCTCCGCTCCCTCCTCATCTGATGGTCTGTTCTTTTTGACTCTATAAACGTTGCTGTCTCATCCTATGTGACTTGGTTTATTTTCTGTTGATGTGATGAAACACCATGACCAAAGACAATTTGGGGAGGAAAAAGTTTAGTTTAGCTTACAGCTTATAGTCCACCATGAAGGGACATCATGATAAGAACTAGAAACAGGAACAGAAGCAGGGGCCATGAAGGAACACTGCTTACTGGCTTGCTCCTTGTGGCTTGCTCAGCCTGCTTTCTTATATATCCGAGGATCACCTATACAGGGGTCACACCACCCACAGTGGGCTGGGCCTTCCCATGTCAATCATTAATCAAGAAAATGCCCCCACAGACTTGCCTACAAGCCAATCAGAGGGAGGAATTTTTCTCAATTGAAAGTCCCTCTTCTTAGATGATCTTATCTTGTTTTGTTGACAAAAAAAAAAGAAAGAAAAAAAAGCTAACCCGCACACCACACATGTGGGGTTCTCTTTCCTTGTGTTTCTGATGCCCACAACATTATATGCATCTGTAGTTTCTCCAAGTTCAGGGTTTAAATATTAGGGTCTTGGTCCTCTGGGTTGTCTAGAAAGATTTCATCCTCTAGATGTCTTGCCCATATACCTGAATTCACAGTTGTCTGTCTGTCTGTGCCTTGCTTGACTGACTAGATATAACCTACATGCTCTGATCTTATGTCCAGTGGGTCGTTAGAGAGGTGTGATGAGCACATTCCTTCTGCAAGGCAGTGAATTTTCCCTTCATGGTTTAGCTCATAAGATCATGACATAACTGAACTTTCCAATGATACCTCCACTTGCCATCACCACGGTACCAGGTTGAGAGTCCCTCTCTAGATAAGATAGATCACTGAAAAAAACCCTTTGATTATTTATTTATTGTTTATCTATCTATCTATCTATCTATCTATCTATCTATCTATCTATTTAATTATTTATTTGATTTTTTTGAGACAGGGTTTCTCTGTGTAGCCCTAGCTGTCCTGGAATTTGCTCTGTAGACCATGCTGGGCTAAAACTCAGAGATCCACCTGCCTCTACCTCCTGAGTGTTGGAATTAAAAAGGCGTGTACTACAATGGCCTGGCTCCCTTTGATGTTTGAATTAAACCCTGACGTTCCTTAATTTAATAAATGTTTAAACTATTACTTATTTAGAATATTCTAAATTTCAGGCATTGATTATAATAATTTTCTTTTCTGATAAATTGATACAGGTATTCTTGCATTTTTCTTCTCAATAACTTTAAAATAATGATGTATCATCCCATTTTTCTGAAGACACAGTTCGTTTCAAGGGATCCAATCTTTCACCTAACTAAGTATTTGGATTCAATTGTGCTTTAAGATCCTGGCAGATTAGGAATGTCTGGGTTGAAATTCTGCCTCTATGACCCCAGACGGGTTATCTAGCCTCTCTGGGCCCTGGTGTCATCTCCTATATGGTGGGATGTGACAGCAGTACATGCTCCAGATGGATGTCAAGTGACGTCATGAAAAGCATTCACACTGGTGTTTGGTACTCCATCTCTGTTGTGTGCGTTTCTTTTTGTTACTGATTCACTGACCAGTGTCATTTGTACCTGCTTCCAGAATCTAAGCTTCTCACATTGCATTAAATGGGCATTTTCTTCTCTCTGGATATCTAACATGGATATTCACTATGAAATCAATTATTCCTCAGGCTGTAGAAATAATGATAGAAGAAATACCACACTCATCCAGGAAAATCAAACTGAGAATCATCAATCCTCTGGCCTCCAGACTGACAATGGTATATACGCAATAATGTTTATTTCTTTATTCCATGACTCATCTTTGGAAACACATCTCTGGCACTTTGGGAGTGTTACTATGTGGCTTTCAGAGGGGATATGTCATTTAAGAAGAGATTTCTTAATATTAACACGATATTTTTAAATGCTTCCAAAGGTTTATTTTTGTTTTATGTGTGTACATGTTGTCTGCATTTATGTGTGTGTACCCTGTGTGTCCTTTGTGCCCTCAGAGGCCAGAAGAGGTGTCAGATCCCCTGAAACTGGAATTATAAAGAGTTGTACGCCTCCATATGGATTCTAGAAACCATACCCAGGTCCTCTATATGAGCAGTAAGTGCTCTTAACCACTGTGACAGCTCTCCAGACACCAACTGCCCACCACACACACACAAACTCAGGAAAAAAAATCTTTCCAGACTTTTGAAATAATTGTTATACATCTTAAAATCTTTCATTCAAAAATGTTAACATTTGAAAACATAGCAATATACAAGAGTCTGTATTCTTAATTGTTCCTCTGCAGGTGCAGAGTGTAAAGATAAGAAGCAGTGAATGGGTGGGACTGTTAGTGATGAACAGTGGAAAGGGACCCAGTGGGGAAGAGGGATGCAGGAGAAATAGGTGAATTCTTTGTGAGTCTGTGGTCTGGAGAAACCCTATCTGGAAATGGCACCCTAATGATGCCAGTGACAGGGATGGATGAATATACGGAACTATGAACCAGCACCCAGATGGGCCACAGGTAAACACTTAGACATCAATGTACATATCTAATAGTGTGACCCAGCAGAGACACTGACTGTGATGCACACAAACGAGGCTAGAGCTGTAATCATGCCCAGGACCCCAAAAGGCCTGGGATCTAACTACTATGGATTGTGACAAAGTGTGCACCCAGGTCCACATCCCTTGTTAAGGCTTCTGTAATTAATTTTTCAACTATTTTTTCTCTGCAACTTAACTTTCTGTAGAAAATATTAAATGAAAAACATAAAGCTGTACTGCAAATTATATTATTTGTTCACATACCGTTGAGGTTAGTGGAGTAGAGTGGGCTGGGCAGACAGATTCCACCATGGGCCAAGAAGGTTCCCTGCAGGGGAAGAGAAGACATCAATCCTGAATTTGTTTTCCCTGAGACTCATTCTTTCCCCAGCCCATGCTTGCCTCTGACCATGTCCTCTGGCCTCAGGACCCTGCTTTCTTCCTTGACAAGTTCCTCTCTAGCCAGCTTCCTACAGTATTCCTGACAAGAGAGGCATTTGCAATAGCTTATGGAGAACGGCAAAGCCCAGGATTCCTCCATCCCTATTTTGGGGCCCAGTTTGGCAGTAGATGTACCACCACCACCCTCCGTGGCTCCACGTCCCTCCTGCAGGCCAACCCTGCTCCAGATTTTGAGTACCTAATCACCCTGTCATTACCTGCTCCTTCAGTCCCTCCCCCAGTTCTCAATCCTCTCTGTCTGTCTGTCTTCAGAGCCTTAGAGGGATTTCTCCTTTCCTATTGGATCCTGATGCAATGGGCAAATAAAATGGTTATGAAACAAAATCTGTTTCAGTTTTCAGTTTAGTTAAAGACCTCGATGAAACAGTACAGATTAACGGAGTGAGAGGAGACACCACTGGTGACAATACTGATGGGCCAGAAAGGCACCAAGCAGCCACAGCACGAGGCTCGGGTTCTGAGCCGGAGGGTAAGATGGACTAAATATGAGCATGAAGGGGAGCAGAGGAATGGGTTGGTGTCTGATACAAGAAGAAAACTACTTAGCCAGCAAAAGGCAAAGATGAAACTTGATGCACTGTTGAGACCTGGAGGGGGAAGTTGGAAAAGCCTTACTGGGAAAAAGAGGAGCTAAAAAGGAAGAGTCAGAGTGGTTGGCTAGGGAGTCACAAAGCACAAATGCCTTCCAGGATGGGGGGGCCATATGTGCAGATGGGGCTAGAAGTAGGAACAAGAGATGAGAAGCAGGATGAGATGGAAACTGGGAAAGAGCAAGGCTCTGTGGGATCTCACCTGTGGCCTTTCTACCTTCAGAGTCCTGTGAACTAGAACTGAACGACAGACACCCACACCTGGAGCCTCACAACCCGTTGCCCTGGAAAGAAGAAAGTAATTATAGCTTACCTTCCTGGCTTTGCTTTTCAGATGATCTGTATGTGTTTGGTAGAATTTTCTTTTGATAATTTAAAAAGATCTGCGGTGGTGGCGCACGCCTTTAATCCCAACACTCGGGAGGCAGAGCCAGGCGGATCTCTGTGAGTTCGAGGCCAGCCTGGTCTACAGAGCAAGATCCAGGAAAAGGCGCAAAGCTACACAGAGAAACCCTGTCTCAAAAAAACAAAACAAAAAAAAAAAAAAAAAAAAAAAAGATCTTAAAGGCGTGCGCTGGGTGGTGGTGGTGCACGCCTTTAATCCCAGCACTCAGGAGGCAGAGCCAGGTGGATCTTTGTGAGTTCGAGGCCAGCCTGGGCTACCGAGTGAGTTCCAGGAAAGGCGCAAAGCTACATAGAGAGACCCTGTCTTGGAAAAAAAAAAAAAGATCTTAACCATTTTCAAAATTGACTATTGAAAAAAGTATTATGTATGTTTGGGGCTGGGAGTACAGCTCAGTGGTGGAATACTTGTCTAGCATGAGTGAGGTCTTTAGTTCAATCCCAGCAACACACACACACACACACACACACACACACACACACACACACACACACACAAAATTTCAGAGGCAGCATGCTGTTTTAAATATTCACTGTGGGCCGGGCGGTGGTGGCGCACGCCTTTAATCCCAGCACTCGGGAGGCAGAGCCAGGCGGATCTCTGTGAGTTCGAGGCCAGCCTGGGCTACCAAGCAAGTCCCAGGAAAGGCGCAAAGCTACACAGAGAAACCCTGTCTCGAAAAACCAAAAAAATAAAAAAATAAATAAAAAAATAAAAAAAAATAAATATTCACTGTGAAATGGCTACATCAAGGTATGTGTATTACCTCACATACACTTTTTTGGTAAGAATACTTTAAATGTATGACCTCAGCGTTTCCTTAAGAACTCACGATGTTGTATAATGGACATCTTGAACTTCCTCTTCCTGGCTGAAGTTTTATGTCCACTGTGGCGTCAGCCCCTCCTCATGCCCACTTTACCCCCCCGAATCGGACTCTTTCCATGCCACCTACAGTGAAATCGTATAGCTTTTGCTTTTCTATGCCTGGCTTACCTCGTGTGATGCTCATGTTCATCCATATTGTCTCCGCTGATGCGGTCTCCTTCATTTTAAGGCCGACTGGGTATCTATCCTGTGTGGACACCACATTCTCTCCAGCTGCTGGTAGTTGTTTAGGCTGACTGCATATGTCCACATGTCCACAGCTATGTCAAGCTGTGACAAGTGAAGACGCCTCTTTAACAGACCGATTTTAATTCTCCAAGTTATGTGTGCAGTAGAGAGGATTGTCTAATCACATGATGGTTCTACTTTCAGGTTCTTTTTGTTTGTTTGTTTTTTGAGGAAACTACATACTGTTTTTTTCTATGGCTGTAGGCATTTACATCCCCACTCACAGCCTACAGTGTCTCCCTTTCTCCACAGCAACACCAACACTTACTCTCGCTTGTCTTTCTGGTGGTGGCCATTCTATCCAGTGTGAGGAGGCATCTCATTGTGCTTCCCTGACCATGGTGCTGGGCACCTTTGTGTTCCTGTTGTTCCTTCACAGTCCTATAGAAGTATTGAGCTTGGGCATCCTTTTATAAAGGAAAAGCTTAGCTGGGCAGTGGTGGCGCATGCCTTTGATCCCAGCACTCGGGAGACAGAGGCAGGTGGATCTCTGTGAGTTTGAGGCCAGCCTGGTCTACATAGTGAGTTCCAGGACAGCCAAGGCTACACAGAGAAACCCTGTCTCACATAAATAAGTAAGTGGAAAGCTTTTCACCATTAAGAACCAGTGTTTGCTATGAGTTCCTGTATGTGACTTTGAGTTATAATTGCAATGTAATTTCTGACTTTCATATTAGGAAGACATCTGATCCTGGCCCTTTTTTAAAATAGGTGATTTTTAATTGTATTTCAACCTCATTTGTTGTGATATGTCTTAAGTCAGACAGGAGACCTTCTGCCTTCTACCTGGACATCTTTCCATAAATTTGGAAAGTTTTCTGTTGTCTCTTTAAGGTTTTTCTTTTCCTGTTCCTTTACAAAGGAACTAGGCCTAGATTCTGAGGTGAGCCAGTGGTCAAGAGCCTGGGACTATAGGGTGTGGCAGGCTTGGAGACTCATGTCACAGGTACTGGCCTGGACCTCATCGGGGCCTATTTAGTGCTGAATTCACTGCAGCAGCACCAGTGTTGAGGTCCAAGGAAAACCTGGTTCTTGGCTTCTCTGTTCTGCCCTCAGCCAGAAGGTGTCGCTCTCCATGCTGTACTGCTTGGGTTAGGGATTATTTAAAGTTGCTGTCTCTACCAACCCCAATATATCTTTTCTTATTTTCTTGCCTCCTCTAGGTGCTCACTCAGTTCCCTTAGCCATTAGGAAGTTATTTTCATGCATACAGATGTTCAGTCTGTTGTCGGGGAGGGCTGGGTTGGCGGGTGATTATTAGATTGCTTTCAAACCAGCTTTCTCTGTCCCTCCACATTTTTAAATTATTCTCTGCTTTTCTAGGATAGCAAACAGTTTCTTTTTTGTTTTCTTCTATGCTGTCTACACCCACGCAGACGCATGGGCTTCATACCACAGCCTCTGGGTGACTTTAGCACTTGTGAGAGGGAAAATGGATGTTGTTCTCTTTAGTAGAGGGTGCCCTGGGAAGAGAAAGCAAGGAAAGCGGAAAGGGAGGGATCAACTAGAGAAGAATAAATGGCGATGGTGGGTGGGCGGGCCATTTTAGAATAGCATGGAGCCCAAGCATTCCCATGTTGGCTGATGAAATGACTAGTCCCTTTCTTCCTAGAAGTTCACATGAAACAGAAAGCCTGTGGGACATTTCCAATCAGCATGTCAAGGAAGGAAGCCCAGGGAAAGCCCTTCAGATACAAGACTGGGCAGTGCTGATAGGAGGACATTGGTGATGCTGGGGAGCTGGAAAGAAACATAAAGGAGAAGGATGACCTGAGACATCCAGGAGGGGTGACAGGACAGACACTAGGTGTGGCGAGGAGACTCCCCAGGGCACCGAGTGTGATGAGGAGGGTCTCTCTCTCTCTCTCTCTCTCTCTCTCTCTCTCTCTCTCTCTCTCTCTCTCTCTCTCTTTCTCTCTCTCTCTCTCTCTCTCCTCTTCACCTCCTTAGTCGAATGCTCAAAGTACTACCGCTGCCTCACCTTGGTCCTGGCCCTGAAATAAAGTGACTTTTAAAATACAGAGGGGGCCAGTGAGGTAGTCCTCACCACTGAAGACCTGTGTTCGAGCTCCAGGCCCACTTGGTAAAAAGAGAGAAGCCGCCCCACAGCTGTTTTCTGACCGCCACACATGTGCTACGTGCCCACGTGCTAAATAAGTAAATGTATAATCAATCAACCAATCCATGTAAAACATACAGAGGGAGCAAAGTATGAGCAGGAAAATAGAAAGGCAAAGACGAAGGGGGAGACAGGCAAGGCACAAAGAGGCAGATCTGGGAAACTGGCAGAATGGGCCGTGAAAATGGGGGAAACTGACATGTCACTTCCGCTGATAAGGGTAGGATGTCCCTGTGGCATAATGACCCTGTAATCCCCTCAGATTGCAAGAGGCTTCTCTTTTCTTGTGCTTAATCACTGTATCAGATCTGCTGCTTCCTAAACATGCATCTCTGGCCCAGGCCTGCCCTCCTGCCTCATTTTTCCAAGTGCCTTGGAGACCTTCCAAAAACCCGAAGAATGTCTCTATGTAGAGGTTGTTTGGCACCTTCTGCTCAATGATATAACAGATGCCCCCAACTCAGTGGCTTAAAGTTTCTCTCACCTTATTTGACGCTGCTTTAATTACAACTTCCACCCATCTCCAGCCTGCCCTTGTGTGCATGCCTGCCCCTGTGTGTGCATGCCTGCCCCTGTGTGTGCATGCCTGCCCCTGTGTGTGCATGCCTGCCCCTGTGTGTGCATGCCTGCCCCTGTGTGTGCATGCCTGCCCCTGTGTGTGCATGCCTGGCCCAGTCACCCCGTGTAGGACCCTGTCACCCTCACTTACACTAGAGCAAAGGCTTTTGTTTGACTTTGCCCCTCCCTTCAAATCTCTTATCTTTTGCCAAAGAAAGATCTCCCAAAACTGAATTGGGCTGGAGAGATGGCTCGGTGATTATGAAGATTGTCTGCTCTCGCGGAGGACCCAGGTTCGGTTCCCAGCATCCACAACCATCTCTAACTCCAGTTCCAGGGAATCTGACACCCTTTTCTGACCTCCTCAGACACTGCGTGCACAAACTACCACACAGGGAAAACACTTACCTACATAAAACAAAAATAAAATAAGTGCAAACCAGTTCCCAAGGCTTTAGAGCCCAATGCCTTCTTCAGCTCTCGGCCCCTGTCTGCACTGGGGTGACAAGGAAGGCTGGCAGCCATGCTCCTGCTCCATCGCTTGCCTCTTACCCTAACACCACATCCCACCACACCTTCTCTCTTCAGGTTCTACCACACCCCACCACACCTTCTCTCTTTAGGTTCTTGCATTGACTATGCCCCAACTCTTCAGCTTCTGCTGTTTCTGGAAACCATGTGATTTTGGGAGACAGTTGGATGTAAGCTCTTAAATTTGAAAACATACATGTCCCAGAGCTTAACAATTAATTCCTCAGCAGAGAAGAGGAGAAACGTGTGTTAATCAGAAGACAGAGGAAAGGCTGGGTGTAAAACATATACCTCAGTCCTAGAATTCAGGAGGAGGAAGAGAGATAGAAGATGAGGAGTTCTAGTTCATCCTCAAGCTACATAGTTTGAGACAAGCCTGGGCTACATGCAACCCTGTCTCAAAACAAGTGACTCAAAATACAATAAGAAAGACTGCTCCTAGCAGTATTTTTCTTAAAAACTAAATAATTGAAGCAGAGTAAGTCAGCACATTTCTTTTTTGTTTGTTTGTTTGTTGTTTCTTGTCTTTTGTTTTTTGAGACAGGGTTTCTCTGTGTATCCCTGGCTGGCTGTCCTGGAACTTGCTCTGTAGACCAGGCTGACCTCAAACTCAGAGATCCACCTGCCTCTGCCTCCCAGTTGCTGGGATTAAAGGCATGTGCAAGCACTGCCTGGCTTAGTCAGCATATTTCTATAACAACAAAAATAATATAGAAGACTCTCACAAACATATTAATATATACATATTACTTATATATACACACATATGTACGTATATAAATCTGGGAGTGTTTGGCTTCTTTGAGAACAGAGAAACGATAACATGGTTATGATTTCTTTTATATTAGTTACATAAGTAGCAAAATTAATCTAGGTCTTGAAACTGGAGATGGTTGTTGACTTTGAGAACGACCATGGGGACAGTTAGAACAAGTTACCCAGAGGCCCCGGAGTGTCGGTCATATGATTTTTGTTTCCAAGTGATAGTTTCTCTTTACAATCATTTAAATCCCACTTTTATATATGAATGCTATACTGCAGTTAAAATTTTAATTTTTTCTTCAGTTGTTTCTTTGGAAACCGGGTCTTTCTATGTAGCCCAGGCTGCCCTTGAACTTAATGTTCCTCCCATCTTAGCCTTCCAAGTGCTGGGATTGCAGGTGTAGCACTGCCTTGCTGAGTTATTTTTTTATCTTTAAAATATCAAAACCAACTATCTATCCAAGGATTCTGTGGGTAGAAGGGAGGGAGAACAGAGTGGGGTGGGATTACAGGGGGAGGGTCATTCATTGCATTCAAAAAGAATTCCACGGAGTTCAATGGAAATTCTTTGTGTATCTCTATGTGTGTGTTTGTGTGTATACACATGTGTATACTGGTCTGCATGTGCATGTGTGTGCAGAGGCCAGAGGTCAACCTCTGGTTGTGTTGTGCTTTGCAGTTATCATCCACCTTTTTATTTGGGTGGGGGGGCTGGACCTTGCTGACTAACTAGGCTAGACAGGCTGTCTGGCCAGTGATGCCCTGGGATCCACCTGTCTCTATCTCCTGAGTGCTGGGATTGCAAATGGATGCCACCTTAGGTGTCTTTACATTTTACAGCCTCAACTGTCTCCTCAGTCCCTGAAAATAATTTATCCATTGTAATTTGGCCCAGGAGCAGTGCTACTCAGCCATGGAAACCAAATACAGCCCTGTTCTGTGCATCTGGTAGATATAAAAAAGGAAAATTCATCATTTTCCTTGGATGGTGAACAACAGACCCAGGCAAGGACCAACCACAACCAGGCACCTGAGATAATAGGTGAGGATGACTGAAATAATTGTTACAGGTTCCCAAGCTAGGGCCTTCGATATGTCATCAGGGTCCTTTGGGGCAGTCAGATAGCCAGGTGGAGGCAGGAAGGGAAGGAGGCCCACCAAAGCCAACCTTCAGCTTAGCAGAAGGAACTTGAAAAAATTAAAGGCAGAAATGGAGGTTAATAAATGTTGAAAGTTTTTTTCTTTCTAAAGAAAGAGAAGGTAGGTGTGTGGGGAGAGGGGGCAGTAGGAGTTAAGGAAAAAGAGAGGAAAAAAACAGGGAACCAAAATATTTATGAGAAGAGACAGAGGTATGAAGAGGTCCATCACTGAATACAGATGAAGAACAGGAGTGATGGACAGAGCCAAGAAGAAAGCTAAAGAATAAAATAGGAGTGAAGAAAAGAGGCAGGTGAAGACGTGAGGAAGTGAACCAGAATGAGGGTGGAGACAAGATACATGTCAGGGGCTGGGAGGGACCACCTGTGACAATTGGGTCAGTTATTGGTCCCACCTTGAGTTAACAGCCTTGCAAAGAATGGGATACAACCTTGAGTTAGCTGTTCAGGTCTTCCTCATGTTCACACTCAGGTGTTCCCTACCATGTGCACTGCTGTCACCCCGAAGATGTTGTAGGATATTTGATCACACTGAGTGAAGATGCCACTGTTTTACCTCACCTGCCTAAGGCACCTTCTGATTGGTTTAATAAAGAGCTGAATGGCCAATAGCTAGGCAGGAGAGGATAGGCGGGACTTCAGGCAGAGACTCTGGGAAGAATCTGAGAGGTGGGGATTTGCCAGCCAGATGCAGAAGAAGTTAGATGTGCTGACTGAGGAGAGGTAACGAGTCACGTGGCAGAATGAAGAGTAATATAAATGGGTTAATTTAAGTTTTAAGAGCTAATTGGCAGCAAGCCTAATCTAAGACCATAATTAATAAGAGGTCTCTGTGTCATTATTTGTAAGCTGGAGGTCCAAAGAAAGTCCAACTACACTAAGATGCTTAAGGGACTTTTCTTTCCTTTGTACAGTCCTCAGCAGCGAGGATTCTGATGATGGAAACAACTCAGAAGAAGAATCCACCTCAATCATCTGCCAGTCAAGTAAGGAAGCCCAGAGAGCAAGACAGGCTGTGGGCATCTTAATCTCAAGCCACTGTTTTATGATGGGTTTTGTTCCGAGTCTGTTCTATATAACAAATCCTTGGGAACTGTTCCATGCATTGAATTTTACTTGATTCTTTTTTTTTCCAGAGCTGAGGACCGAACCCAGGGCCTTGGGTTTGCTAGGCAAGTGCTCTACCACTGAGCTAAATCCCCAACCCCTACTTGATTCTTTTGAGAAATGCAGGGAAATCATTGCATATGGTTTTGGGTATTAAGCTAGTCAATCAATGGATCCTATTAGTAAATATAGTCATCCATTGTTAACATGACCAAAACAGGCGCAAGTATATGTGTGTGTGTGCGTGTGCGTGTGCATGTGTACGCACGCACGCGCATCCAGGCATGTGTTCATGTGTACAAGTACTGGTGTGCATGTTCATGGAGGTCAGAAGACAATCCCAGGTGTTCGTCCTCACCTTCCACTTTGTCTGAGTCCCAGCATCTTGTTCATTGATGTGTTTGCCAGACTAGTTGGACCACAGGCTTCCAGGGATGCTCTCTCTGCCTCCTGTCCTGCTGTATGAACCCTAGGATTATAGACCCATTTACCGTGTCTGACTTCATATCATGGGTGCTGGGGATCTGAAGTCAGGTCCTCATGCTTGTGCAACAAGCACTTTAACTATTGAGCCATCCCTCTGGCCTCAAGGAGTTTGTTTTCTAAACTAATTATTGTGTTTATTAAGAGTTAGACTCATTCAATGGTTTCTAGAGAGAGCAGAAAGCTTTTCACTCTTTTATTGTAAGATCATCATGTCATCTGAGCAGAAATTTAGACTAGAGTCCCAGGACAACTCATCCAGCTAAATCTTATGTAGGCAGAAATAGAGGTTTGAGGTAAAACATTCTGAAACCTAAACTACTGTTTCTAACAAATTTCTTCATCAAGTCGTGGCTTATGGAGCGAGTTTTCGAAAGACTTTACAAATAATGTGCACTTCTTTCTTTAGAACATCCTTAAAGAACAAATAGAACAGACATTGACATCCTTTTTTTCCTAGTTGAAAAAACCCAATCATAGACAACATGTGTCTATATCGTCTCCAAAGTCTAACAGAGCATTAGACCGGCAGGATATCCTGGGTTCTGAGTTGTTCCTTTCATAAACTGTAGGAAGGTTTTTGGGTGTGATGTCATGAGTGTAATCCCAGCGCTCAGGGGGTAGAGCCTGGAGGATCAGGCGCTCAAGGTCATTCCTGGCTGCACACGACTCTCTCAAAACAAACAGAAACACAGGAAGGCGAGGATGAGAGAGAGTGTGGCTGAAGTTTTCCTGGTCCTGCCTGGCCCACAGTCAGGACAAATCTCTCTCTCACCCGCCAGTCCCGCATCCAAGTAAACACACAGAGACTTATATTACTTATAAACTATATGGCCTAATGGCTCAGGGTTCTTGCTAGCTGTTCTTATATCTTAAATTAACCTATTTTTATTAATCTACAAGTAGCCACATGGCTTGTGGCTTACCAGTATCTTTACATGTTGCTTCTCATCATGGCGGCTGGCAGCGTCTCCCTGCCTCAGTCTTCCACTCCCCAGAATTCTTCTCTCTCTTATACTTCCTGCCTGGCTACTGGCCAATCAGCATTTTATTTATCAGTCGATCAGAGCAGCACATTCATAACATAGAGAACATCCCACAGCAAGAGAGAGAATCAAAATGTTGGATTACCTCAGCCCTATCTGGGTTGTTGGAAGATTTAAGATTCTATAGTGTGCCCCTTAGTCATTCCTTTCCTAGATGCAGAAGATTTTTGGAATGTGCTTCCTCAGAGAAAATACACTAGGGCAAGATCTGAGATCAAATGGAAATGCTTCTTGGTCTTAAGGTCACGAAAAGGCAGACTTTGAAACAGTGGCTTCGGTCTAGTCACTTGTGTGTCTTTGAAGGGAAGTAGAAATGTGTTTCAGGTTTTAGACTGTGAACACACTCTGTAAGTGTGAACAAACAGCCCCATCCCCTGAGTTCTCAAATGTGTCTATGGTTCAAAAGCAAAATATTATTTTTCATAGAAATGTAGGAGGTACCAGATTGATGGAGAATGTTCAACATAAGATTTTCAACGGGTGTGTGTGTGTGTGTGTGTGTGTGTGTGTGTGTGTGTGTGTGTGTGTACATTCATGTGCGTATGTACTTGTGGAGGCCGGTGGTCAGTATCAGATGTTGCTCTTAAAGAGACATTCACCTTGTTTTTTTTTTGAGAGTCTCTCATGGGGGGCTAGAATTCACTGATTAGGCTACACTGTCTGGCCAGTGAGCCTCAGAGACCCTCACCCCCTCTCTCTAGCTCTGGGGTTACAGGTGTGAGTCACCATGCTCAGCTCCTTACATGGGTTGTGGATATTCAACCCAGGTACTCATGCTCATGTGCCTCAGGCTTTTCAACATAAGACTTTCAAGGTTTTCCTACAAGGAACACAAAAGCAGAGATGATGGGAATTCAGAAAGATGAGTAGGAGGGGTAAGAAGTGAAAGTATTAGGAAAGGAAGGGCCAAGTGATGTCAGACAATGCCTTGCTGGTAAATTGCATCTGCCTTGGGGATCAAAATGGAGTTTCACTATCCTACTGTTTTGGTAATTTAGAAAGGCAGACCCATGTGGTCTGGATGGAGGCCAGGCTTTTTAAAGGGTTTCAGGGTATCTCTAAAATTTCTTGTTAGGGAATTTTCTGCTAAATTGGTTTCTTGCTCACAACCAGGGGATTCCAAAGAATCAGTGATCAATACCCATGACACGTTAGAGTCAAATGAAGGAAGGGGGCCTGAGAATCCACATGCTCATGGCAGTGGATTGTACCAGTTAAGATGATTAGAACTGCGACGTCTGGACTATGGGATGTCCAAATTGAATTGTAATGTCTTGAATTATAATCCAAGCATTCTCCATAAGCCTTGATTCAGCAACTCTAGGGTACCATTTTTTGCACTTTTTTCTCTGGTCTGACTGGGAAATCAAAACTCATCACAGAATGGCTTATCTGGACAAGCCCAGCTGAGAGATAAGATGAAATATAACAAGAAATATACTAGTAAAAGGACTCTCTTTACTCCATGAGATCATATCTATTAATACACTAAAGAGTTGAAATAGTACATTTAGTTTCTGCTGGAGCATAGTAAGCATAGAATTCCTCTATCTGTTGGCAATGTTGTTATTCATCATTAGCTTAGAAAGTCTACAAAGAGTAATTTGTTCTATTTACATATTAAGCAGATAAAATTGACCTAAGGGCTGGAGAGATGCTTAGCAGTTAAAAGCACTTGCTGCTTTTGCAGAGAATTCAGGTTTGGTTACCAGCACTCACATCAGGTGACTCACAAGTGTACCTCTCTTTCCAGGACTGACACCCCCTTTTGATCTCCAAGGGCACCAAGTGTGCATGTGATGCACATACATGCAAACAATCATGTATAAAATAAAAAGTTTTCAATCTTTTTTTAAAAAGCAGCTCTAGATATCCCTGTCTATGTTATGGTTAAGATGTTGGCATATGTTAAGTTTTTTTTATAGGATATTAATGAAGAAAGTAGTACCTGGTCATCACAGAACCTTAGCAGGGAAGCATGGTAACTAGGTTATTGCTCATTTATACATGAGAAAACTAGAGCTCGTAGTGCTCAAGAGCCATGTACAGATGGCCACAAAAAATTAAAGAGCAATGCAGGATAGACCCCAGTAGAGGAGGAGCATTCCTTCAGACTGTCCTAAGACCACAGAACTTGACTTTGCATACAAATAATGGTTTTTCTTCCTTTTATCTAACAGAGCCTTTGGATTCCAGAGAACCTCACACATCCAGAATAACAAACAAGAGAAAAGGTGAGAGAAAATGAGGGTTCTTCAAGGCCATTGATGAACTGTGTGTTCAACAAGAGACTCACTCTTCTAGGATCTATTCAAAGTACAATACAAATTTGCTTTTAATTTTAGGGAATTCCTGCTTTAACTTCTAAATTGATCAGGTAGACTAACTGCTATAATGAATGAATCCAAAGAAGTTAATGATTTCACATAGTAAAGGTCTTTAATGTTTCACAGAAGCTCAGTTTTTTACCTCAGCAAATATTGTACGGATTTCTAGGTGGAAGAGTTACCTGGCCCTGTTCCCAGTGGCCATCAGGAAATAGAAGTGGAAGAGCCGCCATCTTTATATCACACTCCCATAATCACCCCAAGAGGAAAGCAAAGCTGTCAAAACCTGTTGACCAGGATACAAAAGCCACAGCAGACCCCAACAGAACAAGTAAAAGAAAAGTGTGATGTGAGAGTTTCCTCAGCTTCAGGCTTAGGTGATGAGATGAAATGGTACCCAGAGGTCACATGGGTTCCAAGGGTAGGGACCTGCTTGCCCTGGCATTTCAGAACTTTGCAAATTTTTTCTAGTTTCTTCTAACTAGAATTTTCTTCTTTCTTGGTTCCCCAATTGACATTGTCCCTTAGCCACATTTCTGCAGTGAGGATCTTAGCATACCACATTCTCTCTGTCTCTGTCTCCATCTATCTCTGTCTCTCTGTCTCTCTTTGTTTCTCTGTCTCTCTCTGTATGTCTCTGTCTTTCTGTGTGTGTGTGTGTGTGTGTGTGTGTGTGCGCGTGTGTGCGCGCACTACTGTTTATTTATGAGACAGAGTCTCTCAATGGCCTAGAGCTCATCAGCAGGGTGGGCTGGCTGGTCAGTGAGCCCCAGGGAACTAGCTGTCTCCACCTCCCCAGCCCTGGGGTTACAAGTGCATGCCACCGTCACCAGCTTTTTTTTAAAAAACATGGATTCTCAATCAAAGTCACTGAGTCATCTGGGTCATCTCCTCAGCTCTGTAATCACAACTCTTCTGAATCCAGAAAGTAAACCAGGCAGTGGTGGCGCATGGTACACCTTTAATTCCAGTACTGGAGGCAGAGGCAGGAGGATCTCTGTGAGTTTGAGGACAGCCTGCTCTGCAGAGTGAGTTCCAGGACAGCCAAGGCTACACAGAGAAACTCTGTCTCAGAACAAACAAGCAAATAAAAACAAAACAAAACAACAACAGCAAAAAAGAAAGAAAGAAAATGATTCTTACAGAAGCCTGGAGCTCAGTACTGAGCAATGAGCTAGGTGAAAAACATAAGGCTGGCTTGTCTCCACTCCGGGACATCAGAGTCTGAGCTCAGAACTTCTGCTCTCTGCTGTGGTTTATTCTGACCACACAGCACAGCATACCACAGGCCACCTGGGAGACCATTCTCTCCTCTGGATTTTTTTTTTTAAAGAAATCTTTAATGTCTCAAAGAAACCTGGGACAAATCTCACTCAGTACACGTGGATCCTCCCAACACTTCTCACCTCGTCCCCTCCACTAAACCTCTCCCTCCAGGGGGCTGGGGTTCACTTCTCTTCCGCCAGCTTCTGGTCCTAAAATAAACTCAGGCATTTTGGACACATGGTCTCTTGCTCTCTTGGCCTTTTGGCCACTGGCTGTCTCCATTCCTAGCTCTTACGGCCCCATGTCATTACCTGGTTCAGTCTGGACCCTTCCAGATGCTTCTGTCTGTTCTCTTCCTGCAGGCTGAGTTTCTCTGTGTCTTGGCAGCAGCTCCCAAATAACCATTCGAAGACTTGTTATTATTTATAAGTGCTCAGTCAATAGCTCAGGCTGGTTATTACCTAATTATTACATTTTAAATTAAGCCATATTTTTAAAAAGATTTATTTATTAGATGGGCGGTGGTGGCTCACGCCTTTAATCCCAGCACTGAGAGGCAGAGGCAGGTAGATCTCTGTGAGTTCAAGGCCAGCCTGGGCTACAGAGTGAGTTCCAGGACAGGCTCCAAAGCTACACAGAGTAACCTTGTCTGGGAAGAAAAAAAAAATTTATTATGTATACAGTATTCTGCCTGCATGTGCCCTTGCAGGCCAGAAGAGGGCACCAGATCTCACAACGATGGTTGTGAGTCACTATGTGGTCACTGGGAATTGAACTCAGGACCTCCAGAAGAGCAATCAATGCTCTTAACCACTGAGCCATCTCTCCAGCCCATAAATCTTTCTGGATTTTTTGGGTTAATTTGAGACTGGGTTTCTCTGTGATGTTTTGATACCTGCCCTGGATCTCGCCCTGTAGGGCAGGCTGGCCTCAAACACACAGAGATCTGCCTGGCTCTGCCTCCCAAGTGCTGCTATTAAAGGCGTGTGCCACCTCTGCCTGGCCATATTTCTTTTTTTCTTTTTCTTTTTCTTTTTCTTTTTAAGATTTATTTACTACATGTACAGTGTTCTACCTGCATATGTCCCTGCAAGCCAGAAGAGGGCACCAGATCTCATTATAGATGGTTGTGAGCCACCATATGGTTGCTGGAAATTGAACACAGGACCTCTGGAAGAACAGCCAGTGCTCTTAATGGCTGAGCCATCTCTCCAGCTCCCCGGCCATATTTCTTATCTACCCTCTGCCACGTGGTTGTACCATCTTTCAACACAGCAAGTTCATCTCACTTCCCTCTGCGGCTCGTGTGACTCCTAAGACCCCGCCCTTCTTCCTCCCAAAGTCCTCTTGTCTAACTGTCCCACCTATACCTCCTGCCTAGCTACCAGCCAGTCAGCTCTTTTATTTTTTTTTTATTTTTTGTTTATTTTTTTATTTTTGGTTTTTTGAGACAGGGTTTCTCTGTAATTTTGGTGCCTGTCCTGGATCTCATTCTGTAGATGGAGCTGGCCTCAAATTCACAGAGATCCGCCTGGCTCTGCCTCCCGAGTGCTGGGATTAAAGGCATGCGCCACCACTGCACAGCTCCAGCTCTTTTATTAAACCAATCAGAAGGCGCCTTGGCAAAGACACATCCTCACAGTGTTCAAAAAGCTTGTTCCATAGCATCTTCCTCATATTTATAATAAACCTCCTCCTCACCCATACTCAGAGCAGCCATGTCCTCTTTTTCTTTCATTCAAAATCATTATGAATTGGGGCTTAATGAGATCATTGTAGTTGAAGCAGGGCTTTTATTATTACATACGGCCAGACCCCTCAGACCCCAAATATTGAATTCACGGGATGGTTTGCAGTGAGAACTAAATGACTATGGATCTCAATACTATTTGGAAGGAAAGAAGCAGGAAATATCATGAAAGCATCTGTGTAGTCCAATAGTCCATGATTTACGTAGTCAATTCCCATGACCATTTTAGTTCACATTGTTGGTTTTCTTTCCAGGTACTTCTGGTACTGATAGCTCGAGCACCAGCAAAAGATACAGACGGATAAGACGTAAGAACAATTTAAAATTCTAAATGTAGCAAATACTTCTCTGTGTAACTAAAGCTTAGACAGCATTAGCTGTGATTTTAGATCATTTAGATGATGCTTTTTGATTCAGGTAAGTTTGAGCTATTTGCTATGACACACAGGTCTCACAATGTTCAACAGAACGAGCTTACTTTTCACCCAAGAGGATGAAGTGGATCCCAGGTTGAGAGTTCACTTTATTTCACATGATCACCTAGGGCCCTGAGATCTTAAAGACTGGTTATGTCACCGCCATGCTCCAAACTCCATAACACTCAGAAATAAAAGCAGATGGTGCACAAATAAATCTCAGAAGGGGCATGGGGTATAAGAAATGGTCACGGGAGAGAATGGCCACCATAGCAAAGTTGGCCCCAGCCTCAGCACTGGGGACATTTTCTGGAGTAAGTTTGGCCAACAGCTCATATAAAGGCCAGGTTGGCCTGCTGACAGGATTGTCTCTGTGCCTCCCAAATAAACTGCAGGTCTGTCCATCCCTTCTCACATAGGCTACAGGATTGCCCCAACCCCTCCCCATCCTCCTCCTTCACAGGCTGGCAGGTGGGGAGGGACAGTCCTGCAGCCTGTGAGGTTGGCAGGATTGTGCCTTCCTACGCACTCATACAGATTGCTGTTTCCATGTGTGTGTTCCTGTGCATATGTGTAGAGGCCAGAAGTTGATGTTAAATATCGTCTTTGGTCTCTCTACCTCATTTATTTGAGACAAGGGCATCTCACTGAACCTGGAACTCACTGGTAAAGGGACTCCCTTGTCTGTTTCTCCTCAGCTCTGGGACCGTAGACGCTCATTGCTGCGCCCAGTTCTTTACACAAGTACTGGGGATCTGAACTTGGGTCCTCGTGCTTAGTAGCAAGCACTTTGCCGACTGAGCCATTTCCCCAGCCCTCTTTTTCGGTTTTTCTCATCCAGAGTCTTTTTCTGGATTGGCTCCTCAGACATAGACTAGAACTGTTCAGGACTTTTCCTTCTTCCTACAGGAGTATACAGTAGCTCCTCTTCTGAACTGAGTGCTGGGGAGGAATCTCAGGAATACCTAAGAAGTGGATCAGGTGCAGAAGATTAGGATGCCCAGCCTTGGTCTGCGGAATGTCAGGAATCTGATGACTGAAAAGCACTGTGACTAGATGCGTTTTATTCTAAGCACCGTGACTGCTGTATATCTGGCTATCCTGGGAGCTCCTTTTTAATTTTAGAGAGTGTAGGAGGCAGGAAATGACAATAAACTCATGTTTAACAGTTTAACTCATGTTCAACTAAAAGTACATATTTATATATTGTTAATGTAGGAGAAATACATAGCAAAATAATGATATATTTTTACATCCACTGTCATGCCTACCGGGGTGGTTTGAGTAGGAAATGGCCTCCATAGGCTCATTTATTTGAATGCTTGGTTATTGCCTGCTTGACAGAGATTAGGAGTGGGTGTGGCCTTGTTGGAGGAAATACATCACTGGGGGTGGACTTTGGCATTTCAAATGCTCAAGCCAGGCCCAGTCTCTCTCTCTTCATGCTGCCTGCTGATCCAGATGTAGAATTGTCAGCTACCTCTTCAGCACCATATCTGCCTATGTGCTGCCATGACGATAATGGACTAAACCTCTGAAACTGTAAGCCAGCCCCGGTTAAATGTTTTTCATTATAAAAGTTGCTGTGGTCATGGTGTCTCTTCACAGCAATAGAACATTGACTAAGATACCTACTAGCACAAAGACTGTATATTTGCATCATTTGTAATTGTAAAAGACTCAAATTACAACTAACCAAGCATTGGTTTCAGACTAACCATTGTCAAATTTAGCATAGTTTCTGATAGATGTCCTTGACCACCTAGTTAGATTGTATTATGTTATCTCAATGTATTTTTGGTGAGATCATGACAGCCTTGAGATTTAGGCAGGCTAATTCTTGCTATTCTCATTTTGAGTAGAGGAAAGTAGTGTACAAATGTGTAAGAGTTTCAAAAAAAAATGAAGACTGAGATCTAGCAGCCCATGTGTTTCACAATCAGTGGCTATTGTGTGTAACAGGAGGAGGAAAGCTGTGTTTGCATGGTCAGAATCCAAAGAGGTGGTCAGGAACTCAGAATATTCGGTTGAATGTATCAGAACCTTATATAACCAAGAAAGCATATTTAATAACATTAAAAACATGTAAGGAGATAGGGAGATGGCTCAGTGGATTAAAGTGCGTGCTGCCCAACTGTGAGAACTAGTGTTCAGATTATTATCACCAATATAAAAGCCAAGCAGGCGTGGCAGCCCACCTGTAACCCCACTGTATGGGAGACAGAGAGGGGATCCCTTGGACTAGATGGCTAGTTAGACTAGCCAAATCAGGCAAGCTCCTGGGTTCACTGAGACACCCTGCCTCCATAAATAATGTGGAGAATGGTGGAACACACTAATGTCAACTTCTGGCCTCCTTATACATGTGCACATACATGGACAGCACACACACACACACACACACATACACACACACACACACACACACACGGCTTGGGACAAAGTTCAGTTGATAAAATGTTTGCAAAGGACTGAATTTGATCCCCAAAACCTTATTTTTGTTTTTGTTTTTTTTTTTGTTTTTTTTTTAAAAAAGCATGCCATATGCTTGTAATCCCAGCTCAGAGGAAGTGGACACAGGAGGATCCCTGGGGCTCCTGTTCCAAAAGAGGAGTATGACTACAGAATGGCACCCAAGGTTGCCCCTGACCTCAACATACAATCGCATGCTTATTCCCCTGCACATATGCACCTGCACATAGGGGCATGCACTCACACAGATCCTAAGATGTATATTATATAAAATATTGTAACATATGCAAATACAGTATGCATGTACATGTATTTGAGATATATATAGTGAGAGAGAGAGAGAGAATGACTAACCATCACAGTGAACATACAACTGACCACCTCAATTGTCACTATGGCTGACCATCTCCATGAACACTAGAAGTGACCACCTCAATAACCACAGTGGTCACTGTGATTGTCAGTCATAGTGGTCACTTTGGTGGTCATCGATGTAGCCAGTGCAGTGGTCACTGTGACAGTCAGTTACAGTATTCACTGTGATGCTTAGTTATGCTGGTTACTGTCGTAGTCACTGATGAAGTTAGCTGTAGTTTTCACTGTAATGATCAGCCACAGTGGTTACTATGGTGATCAGCTGTTGTCATCACTGTGGTGGTCAGTTATAGTGTTTACTGTGAGGGTCAGCCATAGTGGTTACTATGGTGATCAGCCGTAGTGTTTACTGTGAGGGTCAGCCATAGTGGTTACTATGGTGGTCAGTTGCAGTCATCACTGTGGTGATCAGTTGTAGTGTTCACTGTGAGGCTCAACCATAATGGTCATTCTGTGAAGGAATGAATGAATGAATGAATGAAGACAGAAGAAAGAAAGAAGACTGTCAAAAAGAAGGAACAGAGGCAACTATTTGTATACTAAATGTCCAGGAATGATTGACGGAGAATAAAGGGGAGCAATAAATCAGAGCATCACTGACGAAAGCAACACAGGAGAGGGAGACATGAGAAAGCCGGGTTGGTACACACAGAGGCAGGACAGCAGGCAGCAAGTGCGGGAGAATGAGCTATGGCCCGGAGGAAAAGACTGACCTGGCTTGGATGGGGATATAGTCACTGAGAACCTGGTTTTTTTTCTCAGCTCATTTGAGTGCAAACACTCTGCAGGACCATGTTCAGGGCATTCCTTGGTCTCACCTCCACTCATTTTCGTCACACCTGATGAATCCAAACCTCTTAGATGAATACAGGAAGGGAGTCAGAGGGATGCAGCCTATTAGATATAATATGATGGAGAAACTAACTATAGTGCCTTGATCTTTGTTTTCCTGTGATGTAGTGGCGGGGGGCTTTTCCTTTATTTTCTTACTTCTCTCCCTAAACATGTACACACAAAAATACTCCCAAAGATACCTGCACAGACTCTGTCTTTAACAAATTGAGAGAGCCAAAAAAGACCTTGCTGGGCTCCTTGATGGAGGCAGGGTCTATTTGGTAGGTGATGTAAGGGGAAAGAACAGGAAAGATGTGCCTCTTAGTTGTACTGGAAACATGGAGATAAAGTCTGAGACTGATAGGTGTGCAGCACAGAATTAGCACAGGGAACTGGTAAAAGTGGCAGAGATGATTGTGTTTGGTGTCAAAAGAGCTGGCATTTGGTTACCATGTTAGTGATCTGTGAGGTGAAACAACATATGTGATGGAAATGGAGATAAAGACAAAGACAGATGTAAAGGCAGCCTCTAAATCAAGATGTGTGTGTGTGTGTGTGTGTGTGAGAGAGAGAGAGAGAGAGAGAGAGAGAGAGAGAGAATGAAATAGAAAACAGGAAGGGAGACTGTCCTGGATAGCCTTGTGTCAACTTGATACAAGCTAAATTCATCTGAGTGGAGGGAACCTCAATTAAGAAAGTGTCTCTTTAAGATTGGGCTGTAAGCCAGGCAGTGGTGGTGCACACCTTTAATCCCAGCACAGGCAGAGGCAGGCAGATCTCTGAGTATCTCTGTGAGTTCAAGGCCAGAGCGAGATCCAGGACAGGCTCCAAAACTACACAGAGAAACCCTGTCTCAAAAAAAAAAAGATTGGGCTGTAGCCAGGCAGTAGTGGTGCACACCTTTAATCCCAGCTCTCATGAGGCAGAAGCAGGCAGATCTCTGCGAGTTTGAGGCCAGTCTGGTCTACAGAATGAGTTCCAGAACAGCCAGGACTACACAGAGAAACCCTGTCTTGGAGAGAGAGAGAGAGAGAGAGAGAGAGAGAGAGAGAGAGAGAGAGAGAGAGAGAGAGAGAGATTGGGCTGTAGGCAAGCCTAGAGGGCATTTTCTTAGTTAATGATTGATGTGGGAGAGCCCAGACCATTGTAGGTGGTGCCATCCCTGGGCTGGTGGTCCTGGGTTCTATAGAAAACCAGGCTAAGAAGCTGAGGACAGCAAGCCAGTAAGCAGCACCCTCCATGGCCTCTGCATCAGCTCCTGTCTCCAGGTTCCTGCCCTGTTTGAGATCCTGTCCTGCCTTCCTTCCATGATGAGCAGTGATCTGGAAGGGTAAGCCAAATAAACCCTTCCTCCTCAAGCTCCTTTTGTTCATGATGTTTCATCACAGCGATAGTAACCCTAACTAAGACAAGTTGGTACCAGGAGTGGGGTATTGCTAACTGTGCTTTGGGGAAGATTGGGGAAGGACTTTGGAACTTTGGATTAGAAGATTGTTAAGAGCTCTGTGGGATGTTCTGTGGGAACTTTGAAGATAAGAATGTTGAGAGCATTGCAAAGGATGGAAGCCTGGCTTGTGAAGTTTCAGAGGGAAAGGAAAACTTTACCAGGCCATTTTGTGGTGTCTGGTTAGTTGGAGCTTAAAAATCAGCTGTGATTAGCAAGAGGTCAGAACCTCTAAAGTAAAAACTTTATTTTACTGGGACAATTGATGCTGGATCAATGGATCTGAGAAATTAGAGGTGATTAAGAAGAGACCAGCACTATTGAGGTGAAATCTGGGAAGTGTTTCCTGAGAGTCGGCATACAGAAGCTGTGTTCCAGAGGTGGCCAAGGTTGTACCTCCCACTGGAAGCTGAACTTGGTAGTGTAAGAGTCACTCAGGTGGTACTGGTTTTTAAGTGGTACTTTGATCTGATTGTGACTGTGCCCTGGTCATGGAGAGCAGCTGAGGCTTGGCACTGTGAGAGGCCAGGAGAGGCCACTGGTAAAGGCCCAGTCTCAGCAGCAGTTGAAAACCCAGAAATGAATGGGTCATGTAGAGAAGTTGAGGCTTGACACCATGAAGATACCCCAGGAGAGGCTATTTATGAAAGTGTAGCCCATTTACAGCAGAGGACCCCAGCATTTTGGAGATGCCAGTACCATGGATGACTACCAAGATCAGCAGCAGCAGTGGGGTGGAGCCAGCTGGAGCCTAGAAGACAAGCTGTGTGTGCTGCAGGGTGGAGCCAGGGAAGTGACCCAAGCCCCTTGGAGGAACCCAGAGATCAAAGTGGATCCTTGACAGTGACTATTGAGTTATTTACAGTTGGAGTTTGGTTTTTCTTTGATCTGATTGTGACTGGGCCCTGGTTCTTCCCTCTTGAAGTAAGAAAGCATTTAACTTAATTTTGACTTTTTACAGGAGCCCACAGAGGGCTTGAGAGGTTTTGGATTTTTAAAGAGACTGGGTATGATCAAGGGACTGAACATTTAATGTGTTTGAATTTGTAAAGACTATAGAACTTTAAAAGTTAATGTTTTTAATGTGATATCTTGGGGATAAATGAGAAAGGAAAGGTTGTGGCTTAGTAGTGATGTTTTTGTGTGTCAAGTTGACAAGAGGTCAATTGTACTGGGTAGTTTTATGTTAACTAGACACAAGCTAAAGTCATCTGAGAGGAGGGAACCTCAATTTAAAAAGTACCTCCTTAAGATCGGGCTGTAGGCAAGCCTATAGGGCATTTATTTTTAATTAGTGATTGATGAGAGAGAGCCCAGGCCAATGTGGGTGGTACCATCCTTGGTCTGGTGGTCCTAGGTTCTTTAGGAAAACAGACCAAGCAAGCCATGAGAAGCAAGCTAGTAAGCAGCACTCCTCCATGGCCTCTGTAATAGCTGCCTCCAGATTCCTGCCCTGTTTGAGTTCCTGTCTTGACTTCCTTCCATGATGAACAGTGATGTGGAGGTGTAAGCCAAGCAAACCCTTTGCTCCCTGAGTTCCTTTGGTCATGATGTTTTATCACAGCAATAGTAACCCTAATGAGGCAGAGATGGGAGGTCACCTCATCAGTAACAGATCCAGAGCTTTGATCAGAGAGAAGCAGGGAGGGTAAGATGCACATGGGAGAAAATAAAGGACCAGCCAGAGAAATGTGGGCCAACCAAACTAGATAACATGTTAAAAGGTGAGAAAGGGCCAGGCGGTGGTGGCGCACGCCTTTAATGCCAGCACTTGGGAGGCAGAGCCAGGCGAATCTCTGTGAGTTCCAGGCCAGCCTGGGCTACCAAGTGAGTCCCAGGAAAGGCACAAAGCTACACAGAGAAACCCTGTCTCGAAAAACAAAAAAAAAAAAAAAAAAAAAAAAAAAAAAAAAAAGGTGAGAAAGGACTGGGCAGTGGTGGCGCACACCTTTAATCCCAGCACTCAGGAGGCAGAGGCAGGCGGATGGATCTCTGTGAGTTTGAGGCCAGCCTGGTCTAAAGAGCAAGTTCCAGGAAAGGCACCAAAACTACACAGAGAAACCCTGTCCTGAAAAAAAAAGGTGAGAAAGGTGTGGCATGGGGATGGTTTAAACAGGAAAGAGGAGAAGAAATGAGGGAGACAAGATGAAGTGACACAAGGCGTCTTGGTACAAAGGTGTGGCTTGCAGTTGCCCTGGAGTTTCAGAGTAAAGTTCTGAGGCACCAGAGCAGCCCCTGTGACTCACCCAGACTACAATAAGCCTCACCTGGGCATTTCATCCACCCCTGGAGCTTCAGTCACCAGCCACAGCCTAGCTATCTTTAAATACAAGGTATGTTTTCTAAAATTAGTGTGAGGCACCTCTGTCCAAAGCACTGACATTTTTTTAGCCTTCTCTGCTCAGATGAACTTCAAACTACAAATTCAGCATTTTCAAAACCAAGTACATCATCTGGGTCAGCATTGTTTCTATATCACTATTGTTGATTTCAACTGTAAATTGGAGACTCTCACAATCATCTAGGAGTGACAGATATCCAGTGAGGAACAACAAAAGAGAAATATGACATAGACATGTAGAAAGTCACTAATGTTGGGGGTAAGGTCTTTGGAGGGGGCAAAATGAAAATCCTTCACAAATCACAGTTAGAAGCAGAACTAGAAAGGATACGTGTTTTGTGACACATGTTTCCCAAAGCGTGTGCTGAGAGGTTAGGAAGCAGGAATGGAAAGCTCCAAGCATCTAACAGGGTGGACGAGTCTGCCCCGGGGCCTTAGAATGGTGGCTTAGAAATAACAGACACTTGTGACCATAGTTCAAGGAGAACATCAGACTGACTCATGCACAGAATGTGAGATGACAGTCACCCAGCTACAGGATATTTGAATCTGGAAACCAGTTCCCACTCCCTGCTTCACTTGGCTGTGAGCAGGTCGTATTGAGGACCAGGTCCAGTGAGTTCAGATCCTGAGATCAATGTAAAAAGCTGAGGATGATGGCACACACCTGCAATCCTGGTGATGAAGAAGCAGAGACAGCAAATCCCTGGGGGCCTGCTCACCAGCTCGTCGATGCAATTGCAAGCTCAAGTTCAGATGAGAGACCTTGTCATAGAAAATAAATAATGTGAAAAGCAATGGAGGAAGACCCCAGGTCTCTACACAAACACATACATATATGAGCATGTACACACATACAGTCCATACAGTCTCTCCCCCCACCCTCTCTCATACACACACACACACACACACACACACACATACTCAGGCGTGCTCAGGCTTTCCGAGTGATGATGAAAACTGTCATAATGCTTGTGACTTTTGTTTACAGTTTACAGTTCTCTGACCACCATCTTTGCTTTGTAGATACCCAAGATGTCGAGAACAATTCTGCTTCAGGAAAGGATGGTGGAAAAATAAGTAAGGACAAATGGAATTTGCCTATCTTCATGTTACAAATGAATTCATTTTTATGTTAAATGTTATTATTATTATTTACTATACCTTTGATAAGACAAAATGAATGTCTTTTAAAATGACAATTTAATTTTTTTCAAAATATCATATTTTCATCATTTTTATTCTGCTTTTATGTTTCTTACAGACTGGTTTATATCTTTCAAGAACATACCAATGTATATATTAGCATAGCATGAAATGACATATTATTTGCATAAATTTGATAATTCTATATATGCTTTCCTTTTCTTGCTCTGTAGACTAAAATATCAATCTAGTCAGTAAACACATTTAACATTTTTACATACTATTTGTTTTAATACTAATAATGTTGATTGAATACCTTTTGCTACTGTGCACTAATTTGACGTAATAATAGGTTCCTTTAGGACCGTTTCCTGCGTGTAGGTAAAGTACGTTGATCATAGCCACCCTTAGTTGAACTGCCTTAAGAAACACTGTTTGACGACCCTATCAACAGTCATCGCCTTCGTTGGAGTGTAGCAGAAAGTTCTCACTCACTGCTGGTCACACGTTGCTCTTCTTCCTGGAACTCTTCGCTGCCGCATGGCACCTCTTTCTCACATAGCTGGACGAGGATGGAGGTCTCTCCATTGTTACCTAGTGGTAAACCTTGAGCACATGGCACCTCTTTCTCACATAGCTGAACGAGGATGGAGGTCTCTCCATTGTTACCTAGTGGTAAACCTTGAGCACATGGCACCTCTTTCTCACATAGCTGAACGAGGATGGAGGTCTCTCCATTGTTACCTAGTGGCAAACCTTGAGCACATGTATCACTAGGATTTTTGTCCCACTTCTTGGTTTTCTGGTGAGCTTATTAACAGAATCATTTGTCCAAGAGAGAATTAACAGAATAAATTTGTCCAAGAAACTTCTTATTACTTAAATCTGTTGTTATCCCCGCCCCCACATTGGCTCCTTGGTTTCATTTGGTAGTTGTAGCCATTTCCACCTGAAGATTAAAAAAAAAAAAGATTGTTCCATATTTGATTTTGGAGGGTTTGCAAGGAACCTGACCATTTTTAATGTTTATGTCTGTAGTCCCCATTGGATTTGCCTCTTTGTATAAATGTGAAACAAGAATCTGAAAATGAGCCAGGCATGGTGGCGCATGCTTTTAATCCCAGTACTGGAGTGGCAGAACCAGGCGGATCTCCGTGAGTTCGAGGCCAGCCTGGTCTACAGAGTGAGTTTCAGGACAGCCAGGGCTATACAGAGAAACGAGGCCTCAAAAAAACATAACAAAACAAAAAGAATCTGAAAACCATTCCCTATGCTATCGTGCAGTAGCTGGAGATGCCACTTGGCCCTCAGTTCTGTACTTGCTCATGTCTTAGTCCCCCACTCTGTCCGCCTTTGGCACCTGACAGAAATGCAGAAAAGAAAGGAGAGCTCAAAGCTAGATGCCTGATAACTTGTTGCTGGGGTGGATTTTAGAATAAATTCAAGAATATTCCCCTTACCACTTAGTCCATTGAAATCTCTGATTAGAGTTGCATTCTTCTTGCAGATGAATTTGAGAATAGAGACATTTACTAATGTTTTACTCAGTGTTCTTCTGTAGTGAATTTTCCTTATATAATTTCTATACATTTAAGAAGTGTATGTTGGATAACTGTGCTTCTATTAATATTTTTCTAGTAACCTGATAACTAGGATGAATTTACTTGAGAGAAGACTTTCAGAATCTTCATTTGCATAGAAAATTTGAAGCCATTTTATTACCTGCCTGCATGAGAGGGAGTCAGTCACACTGTCACCAATTCAGTATAGAATCTTACAAGTGTTTATGTAGGTTAGGGACCTGAATGTAACTTAATATATCATGGCCAAAAATTATCAAGAAAGATAATCACCAGAAATAATGAGTCTCTTTAGAAATTAGCTTCATGAGAAGTAGCATTAATTTCCAGTTGAAAGATCCTTTCAAACAACTCTTTCAATGACAAATTTGTATTGGTGGACAGAACCAATTGATATGGTTATGAGTAGGCAAGGTCCTATGTTTTACCAGAGTAAGACCTAACCCCCTCACAGAATCTGTTTTAACATTTCATCAGATCAGATCTCTACAGTAGATTTATGGTGTGGAGTGCTCTCTCCTTCAACCATCATCGGGGACTTTCTCTTCATCTCTTTCTGTTACTTTTGTTGTATGAAGACTTACATTTAAAAATCTAATCTGTGGAATTACATTATATAGCCTTACAAGAAAAGCTCAATTTTATTGACAGAAATAGCAAAAGGCCCGAAAAGGATTTCACCCAAAAACGGTGAAATAGATGACAGATGATAGATAGGTAGTAGATAGGTAGGTAGATAGATAATAGAGATGATTGATAGATAGATAGATAGATAGATAGATAGATAGATAGATAGATAGATAGATAGATAGATAGATAGATAGATGATTGATAGATATAGACAGACAGATGATAAATAGATTTATTTTTCTATGACTGCCTCTCATACATGCTGTTTAAGCCTAAGATACCTCACCCTTTTTTTTTCATATCTTAAGCTCATTACAAAACATGAAGAAGTCTCTCAGTAGTTAAGTGAGAATTTTCATGTTGTTTCTTTGCTGCCCTTCAGACAAGCCTGCCTGTGCAGCCCAGGGTGGTCTCGAACTTGTGATCCTCCATTCACTTGTATCTTCACCTGCTCAATCTCACTTCTGAAGGGTCGATCTCATCTTCCTGTGATGTGTCTGTATTGCCCTTATGGGTTTGCTTTTCAAACTTCTTTAAGAAGCCATGGCCTAATCTGAGATTGCCAGGACATTTTTACACAAAGAAAGATGATTAAGTCCATAAGGGTAAGGACTGGTTAAAAAAAAAAAAAAAAAAAAAAAAAAAAAAAGGCATAAAAGAAGGCCACCAATTCCTGCAGGGAAAAAGTATTTTAATGGTAGGATGGTAGGAATGATAATAATCCTATAAGCAGAAATAATGTTTATCAACATATGAGTTATATTTTCTAAAAACAGATGTCAAACTAGGTGTGATGGTATAGAGACACCATGACCACAGCAACTCTTATAAAAGAAAAGACATTTAATTGGGCAGCTTACAGTTCAGAGGTTCATTATTGTCTTGGTGGGACATGGTGGTGTGCAGGCAGACATGGTGCTGGAGAAGGAGCTGAGATTCCTACATTTTGGCCTATAGACAACAAGAAGTACTGAACTAGGTGTAGCTTGAGTGTAGGAAATCTCAAAGCCTGCCCCGACAGTGACACACTTCCTCCACTAAGACCACACCTACTTCAACAAGATCACACCTCCTAATAATGCCACTCCCTATGAGCTTATAGGGCCCAATTACATTCAAACTACCACACCCACTCCCTCTTGGGAGGCTGAGGCAAGAGGATATGCCTTATCAAAATCACTGAGATAAGTAAATAAGCAGAAATCACATTTGTTCCTTTCCAAACTTGGCTCTCTCAGAGCTCTGTTCTTGCACAAATGAAACCATAGGTAAGCCCTAGAACTGTGCTTGGCCCTCAGAGCAGCATTCGAATACCGTTTGATATGAAAAAGCCTGAGCTGATGAGATCTTAAAGCTGGAAACCGCATATGGAGATTGGGGTGGGGTCAGTGTCTTTTGACTCCCTTACCCAGAGACATGACTTCCTTCTACTCATCCTGCCTCTGAAAGTTTCTACCACTCTCAGCAATGCCATCAACTAGAGATCAAGCTTCCAGCACACAAGCCTTTGGGGACATTTAAAATCCAAACCGTAAGTCTCACACTGTTACCCTGCACTCAGCAAGCACTGAAGTGTTAATTCTCATTATTTTCACAGTGTCTGTTGGGATACAAACAAAACTGCCTGAAGTTATTTTCTGTACTGATGTGAGAGTAAATTAATTGAATCAATGTCAAGGCCAAGAAAATGACATCTAGGGTAAACCCAGGGATCTTAGTTTGGGTTACTATAGCTGTGATGAAATGCTATGACCAAAAGCAACTTGGGAAGGCCTAGGTTTATTAACTCGTACTTCCACATAACAGTCCATCAACAAAAGCAGTGAGGGCAGGAACCTGGAGGCAGGAGCTGATGCGGAGGCCATGGAGGGTGCTGCTTTCTGGCTTGTTCATCGTAGCTTGATTTGTCTACTTTCTTGTAGAACCCAGGACCGCCAGCCCAGGGATGGCCCCACCCATAATGGGCTGGGCCCTCCCACACTAATCACTAATTAAGAAAATGCCCGTGGGCTTGTCTACAGCCTGATCTTATGGAGGCCTTTTCTCAGTTGAGGTCCTCTCCTCTCTGATGACTCCAGCTTCCATCAGGCTGACATAATGCCAGCACAGCAGATTAAATAACAGAGTTGGCCATGACAAAGTTGTGGTCTGTATGGTTTTTACTATGAACTAGACTTTTTACAAGTTATAGTAACACAGGAAGTCTGAAAGCACTATTATGTACATTGTAACCTTTTAGAAGTATCTGGTTTTGTTTTTGTCTTCTATTTTCTCAGGGAAAAAGAGAGACAGACACGGAAATTACTCAATTCGGAATATCAAAATGCCACTGAAAACAAACTGGATAAAAGGTTAAAAACAAAACACAATACATTTTCAATACTAAGTTTTCATTCTTTTTATTACATACTTCTGATAACAAATCTATTTCTGTGACTGCTCGTTGTAGCCATGATAACTGTTGAGAAATATACCCAATTTAGTCAGTTTCCAAAGTATGTTGGGAAAAGGGATAAAAGATGGCAGCCCTACAAACAAGTGACTTGATGTGTCTGTGGTCAGGCAAGGTCGCTACAACCTCTGCTGAACTTTCAATGGCAGAAATAGCCATAAGGCAAAACGGGATGAACATGTGTGTATGACAAATGATACAGCTGCCCTACCTCTGGATCAACCCCATGAGGTCACTGTGCAGACTTGAACCTGGCACTTTTTCCCTTCTGCCTCAGTTGGACTCATCTGTAAACTTAAATGACATGCTAGATTGACTCCTGTCAAGGCCAACCCAGCTCTTTGGGTGACTTCACAGTCTATAACTGTCCCTGCAACTTGGTAAGCACCACGGATAGCCACCTCTCCAGCCTGCGGGGCCTCTGCCATGGCTCCTGGGTGTAACTGACCGGAAGGGTAAGGGGAGAGGCTAGTCCTGTTGTCGTCCACTGCAAGGCCTGCACAGCCGTCCAGGGCAGCTCCCTAGACTTCACCTCTGCCCCATTGCATGTGTCCCCTAAGCTGCACGTCACCTGCGCAAGTGATTCTACAGCTTGCCTGAGCTTCCCTTTTGGCCACAGAAACTGCTCTGAAGAAGTGAATTGAGCACAGAAGGGAGAGGAGTCTGCCTCCACTGACCACAGTCTCCCCTTAGTCAGTCTCTGGCCCAAATACGACAAATTATTGAATTGTTATTCTAGAATAAGTGTTCATTCTCTCTCCCTCCTGCCTCTCCCTCCATCTCCTTGCCCCTCTTCCTCCATGCAACCTGCTATCTCGTGTGTGTGTGTGTGTGTGTGTGTGTGTGTGTGTGTGTGTGTGTGTGTGGTGTGTGTGTGTGTGTGTATGCATGTACATGTGTGGTCATAAATTTCCTACCTAGTACAGCAGAAGCAGAGCTCAAAGTCGATAGTGACTGGCTTGCTTTGAAATTAAGACTTATCAAATGGTCCCTCTAGAAGATCAACAGCCTAGTACTGTCACCTCGGGCAGCAGATCTGCCAAACACACCCATGAAGTTCCCATCTACAGAGTTCCTTCCAAGCTACAGGAATCACATTTCTTCATAAATTCCCTTGCTGACTCAGCCTACTCAGCAGCCACCACTGACCCCCTCCAGCATAACTTTCATCTTTATATGACGCATGAGTGAGTCTGAAAGTCTCTCATTTTCTGATTTACCCAGAGACCTGTCTTCTGTGTTGATCATATCAAACCTTCGCTTTGACTTGAAGGAAATATCTGACAATTATGTTCAGGGGAAATGCACTCTCTCTCCTGGGCTACATGCTGAGCCCCAAGCCAGCAGGGCTATAAAGTGAGAGCCTATCTCAACAAATAAATAAACAGCAACAACAAAAGGGGACAGAAAAGAAATGCAGCCTCTCTCTGGAGGCCTGGAGTAGGGGAGGTTGATGCTGGCAGGACCACACCCCCTGTCCCCTCTGTGCTCTGTGCAGCATGCTTAGACAAGAGCCCTGATCCAGGATTTGGGGTCCTATTACATTGTTCATAGACATCTAGACACCTGCTGATACTCTGAGAAAGCTCAAGACTCATACCTTGACAACCTCTCTCCCTTAGAATGATTAATAGTATTTACAAATTTGTTTTAAATAGCATGTGGTAATTGTAACTGCATTATTATTTTAAATGATGGGTGTACAGTTTTAGTATTATTAAGTGGCTATTAAGACTAGATGAGCTGGGCTGGAGAGATGGCTCAGCAGTTAAGAGCACTAGCTGTTCAATTCTCAGCACCTATGTGGCAGCTTACAACTACCTGTAACTCTGCCTCCAGGAGATCCAACACCCTTACACCGACATACATGTAGACAAAATACCCATGCATATAAAATAAAAATAAATAAATCATTTTTTAAAGTGGATATTCAAAGCTTAAGGAAAAAAGAGCCAAGAGTAGTCAAGTCCTCCTTCACCCAGGCATTGCCCAAATGCAGTGTAGCAGCAGGGGGCAGGAGCCAGGCCACCAGCGCTTTAACACACGTGATCTGGGAGAGTAAAACACTGTTTTGTTTCTTTATTTGTCTTCAATTGGTTTTGATTGATAGAAGGACCAGCTAGCCCACAAGTCCAAGAATGTCTAAACAGAGAGGAGCTGAGAGCAGAACCCGCACCGCTCAGCAGTGGCTGTTGTGGAGCACACTGAGGCTGCAGCCGAGCGAGGCCAGGTCCAGTTTGGTCGCTTTGTATGAATGGAAAGAGCAGACAGGGCACAGGTGGCTCTGTGTGAGACCACGGGGCGGAGGGAAGGAAGGAGGAAGTGCTGAGTTTTCCCTGGGCTTATCTAGGACTTCAGCATCATGAATGATGGTGTCTCACACTGAGCACTCCCCCTGACCCCAGTGTGGATAACCTATCACCCCCACCCACCACGCACCTATCACCAAACTTGGTCCAATTACTGATCAGTTAAGAGCAATTTGTTCTGGGGGACAAACAAGGTGGTAAGAAAGGGTTACCTGTGTCCTTGACATGTCCATTTCCTCCTAGTTTACCTGCTTCTTGAAACCTTTAGTATGAAAAACCAAGGTGATTCTTCTTTTGTGCAAGGCTAGGAAGCTCTCATTCCTTGTATCTCCATAGTGTCTTATTTATCTTATTTATAAAGGTAACAAGTTGTGAGGCATAACACTCCAGCTCTTGAGATGTTACTCATCAAAACATGCCTGGGCGTGTGACTCACATGCAAATCTCAGGACTGAGGTGGCAGTGGAAGACGCAGGAGGATTGCAAGTTTGAGGCCAACCTGGGCTACACAGTGAAACCTTGTATCAATCAATCAATAGATGTTTCATGGGGCCATTTATATCTCAATAGGATTTTTTTTTAAAGGATGAGTAACTGTTATGATCAAGACCCAAAAAATGAAATAGCATTGATCTCAAGACTTCCTTACATCTCACTAAGGCAAGATTCTTTCCCAGTCCAATCTAGACACAACCTGCTCAGAGGAAGGGGCACTTCTGACCGAGTATACGGAGGACGTCCCCCCTTCCCAGGTTTGCACTACCTAAACTATGGCCTTGTGGTGATGCCTTGTGGACACAGACTGAGGAGGAACAAACAGTCATCTATGTTCCCCAACTTTGCCACTTAAACAGATTTGGCCATTATAGTCTTAAGAATGCTTATGAAGTGACTTTTCCTGTGTGTGTGTGTGTGTGTGTGTGTGTGTGTGTGTGTGTGATATCTAGTCAACAACCCTACTAATTATCACCTTTATAATTAAATCTAGATCAGAAGTCAGCAAACTACAGCCCAGAGGAAAAAACTTCACTTGCCAGCTATTTATAAATAAAGTTTTATTAGAACACACCCTTTTATTTACATGTAGTCTGTGGATGCTTCCTAATATGACTGAAAAACTGAGGAATCACAAAGGAAATTATGGACCACAAAACCTTGGATGTTTACTGTCTAGGCCTTTATAGGAAATGTTCCTGACTTCTGATCTGGATTCCAAAATTTTCAGAAAGTACTAAACAGACTTCAGGAAAGTTAGTTTTAAATGGTGTTTTTGTAAAATGTTGCTTGCAGTGTGATGTATAAATAAGAGACATGTATGTTGTCTTCTCAGGTGCTTTCCTAAGGAGACGTATCAACTCATCTTCACGAAGAAGCAGAAAAAGAGGTAAGGAAAAATGTGGTTTATCAACTTTTAATGAATAAGAATATTTTAAAAATGTTTTTGAGGCAAGGTCTCACTATGCAACCCTGGCTGGCCTGGAAAACCCTATATAAACCAGTCTTGAACTCATAGAGATCCACCTGACTCTACTTTCTGGGTGCTGGGATTAAAGGCATACGCCACCATGCCTGGCCCTAAATTTTTTTTCATTTTAATGTATTACACTGGGTCACACAGGCCATTTACATGCATGTAAATAAGCATTCTTTGAGCATATTCCACAGGACCCATGGCCCTCCATTCCCCATTCCTGTTGGTCCCCTTGTCTCCCGGACAGTTTTGCTCCTACATTCATGTCATCTGTACATATAACTCTGTGTCTCTGTACAAATTCTTAAGACCCACAGATAAGAGCAACACGCCTTTATCTCTCTGAGGCTCACTTAATTTGCCTAAAATGATGATCTTCGGTTGTATCCACTTTCCTGCAAGTGGCATCATTTTGATTTTCTTTTTACAGCTGAAAGAAATTCCACTGTGTACATAAATCAGTTTCTTTACCTATTCCTCTGTTGGTGGGCACCTAGGGTGGGTCCACAGCTTGTCAGAAGTGCTACAACAAAAGTTGATGAAGTAACTGAATTCTATTCTGCACTCTGTGCAGTGAGTGACAAGCTAGTTTTCTTGATTGGCTGTTGAAATCAGTACCAAATCTTAAGAGCATCATCAGCATTGGTCAGTTTCAGCAGCACGATAGATTGCTGATAACTCCCATTCCACTGGCTAGTTAGTTGATTGGGGAGGGACCCAGAGCCGCATGTGTCTCTATGTGCTGACAGTTCTTTAGGGAGGAAATAAAGTATGTGACCCACGTGATATTTAGCATACCTTTTACTTGTCCACACAGAAAGCCACAGAAACACACAACCCTTGATGGTAATACGAGACCTGTGTTCTAATTCCTAATCCTATGTGACTTTAGCCTGTCACTTGTCCTTTCTAACTCAATTTATTTATCTGTAAAGATGTGACAAAGGAGGGGCTGGAGAGATGGCTCAGTGGTTAAGAGCACTGACTGCTCTTCCAGAGGACCCAGGTTCAATTCCCAGCACCCACATGGCAGCTCATAACTGTCTATAACTCTGAGATATGACACCCTCACATAGACATACATACAGGCAAAACACCAATGCACATTTAAAAAAAAAAAAAAAGGATATGACATAGGGTTTCAGGTGAATTCAGTTGAGTGCCCTGCTGGGGCCAATATTGTTTTGATAGACTGCTCTGAAGTAATTGTGGGATGCTCTACCCCATCCCAGCTCCACAGTGTCTTTGATGGATCCCTTAACTGGCTGGAAAGGCAGAGGCACTGCTGTGGAAGTTCATCTTCAGGCCTTCAGTGTCTGATTCAATAGAACTGAATCCCACACACTCTGAGATCCGTGCTCTGATGCCAGGAAATGGGAATGATCTTGGAAGGCTGGGAGGTTGGAGAGATTTTTGACAAGCTGCAGGCAAATGAGACATACTTTATTCACCAGCACTGAGGCTGCTAGGCAGGCAGACATCAGCAGGCACCCAGGCATGTGCTGGCATCCAGGCAGGCAGGCTGAGTGGAGGTAGGCACACAGGCCTGCAGATAGACACACACAGGTAGGCAAGCTGGCAAAGGAGACCTCAAGGCCATATTTATACAGAACCATGCAAAAGTGGCACTCTGCCAGATCTGATTATCTGACAGATGGCGTCACTATTTACTTTGGGGTCTCCAGATATCTGGTGTCGGGCATTTTGTGCTAACTCATTGTTGCCCCCTGCCCCCAAGCCCTCCCCCCATGTCCAGTGTCAGCCGTGTGTGTGTGTGTGTTAGCTGACTTACATCAGATGTCCACATCCGCACCATCTTGTTTGAATATAAACGCCCTCATGGCTTTCTGTTTCTAATACACACACCACTAAAGTGTTATGCAGGGCTCCTCTAGCACCTGCAGAATCTTCTAGAGTACTGCTGAGTCTCAGGCAGGCTGAGGAAAGGAGAAAGCCAGCTAATCGGAGGAAAGGCGGGCGATAACAGCACCTCACTGGGTGCCCCCTTCCATCCCCTTCTAAAGTAGATACCTCCAACAGCAGAACAAAATTTGAGAGTTATTTTTCCCAACTACAGAATTCCAGAGCCACTGTATAATGAGAGCTATCTCTTCAAAATATTCGTAGGAAAGTCACTGTACAGTGGCCACTATGGCCAAGTTTGAGAGCTGGGATTCTGCCACACACACAGCTCCAGTCACTATGCAGGAGTTCAGAGGTTGAGAGCAGAGCGTGTTGTTATCTATAGGCATCTAATCACTCACAAAAGAAATACCTTCAAGTATAACTAATCCATGGGAAAACACAATGCATTTTTAGTTGCAGAAACAAGATACCAAAGTGGGTGGAGGAAAGGCCGTGCACAGTTCTAGAATAAAGTGAAATGTGTCCATGCAGGTCGGAGAATTCCCAGACAAAGAAATGTGGATTTTAACCGTCCTGAGCTTCCGGTGACCTGTGGTAATGTTACGGGGACTCTGTATAAGGAGAAATATCAGCAAGGTGAGTTTCCAGATCTGTGCTCTTCACCTGGACAGTGGCACTGTGTAGGGAGTGGGCACCTGTGTTGTGGGTATCTCATCCCATATCTAGTTTGCGGGATTCATGATATAGGCAATGTTACCCCGTTACTGACGTGAAAGGTTGTGAGGCCATGTAAATGATGAGAAGAGGGCATGAGAGGACAAGTCCAGAGGAGCCAGAAGCTCCTGATATTACTTTCCTAGTGGGACATGCAGAATGCAATTAATTACCCCAGCAGCAGAAATGTGAAAGGTTTTCTTCTAAGGGGCTGCCCAAGCCCAGGACCAGGGCTTCTATCAGCAATGAATTATACAGGTACCTCTCTCCATAGCACACACCAAATCCAGATACCCAGAAGGAAAAAAGGTTTTGTGTGTGAAATGAACTGCTTGTAAATAGTTTCGGCATGGAAAGTGTTTCTGGGAGTGACAGAGGCTCTCCCCAAAGCCACTTTCACAGACTGCAGCCAGAGGCCGATTGTGCTGACGGCGTTTCTCAGGAGAGTCTCAGGCCTGCTGTGTTAGTTCGTTTCTGCACCAAACCCCAGAGAGACAGCAGGAATGAGGGCGTTTTCTGTATTTTCTTTTCTTTTTCTCTTTCTTGCAGTACTGGGATTAAACCCAGAGCCTTGTGCATGTGAGGCAAACACTCGTTCACTGAGCTGTACCCCAAGCTCAGTTTTGTGTGTTTAAATATCATACATCCCTAGTCTATCATCCTCTGCACCCTGTGAAAAAAAAGCCGATATCATACTAGAAAAAGCCCTAACACACCTGGATGGGAAATGAATGTGCCTGAGAAAGTCAGCATCAACCTTTGTGGGTCCATTACCTGTAACTTCTGTCAAACTTGAAGCTAAGTAAGAAAGAACACAGAATTTTGAATTAGAATTTGAACACAGTCAAACTTCAGCTTTCTTGGTGTATTAATCAGTCCAGTGTTCTTTGCTCTGTTGAAATATTCAAGTCAGGCTACTCTATCTAACTTACAGATTTAGAGGCTAAAAGGCCAAGATCAGGCAGCCTCATATATGAGAGACTGATGGCAGGTGGCATTGCGGCAGGGGCATGACACATCCTAAGACAGGAAGCCAGACAGTGATGGGGTCCATGACAACTGTCTTAATCCCCCACAAAGGCAGCACCTTCAATCATCTGGAGCCACCTCACACACCACCATGTCAAGGACCAGGTTTTCAATAGATGAACCCTGGGCAGGGGAGGCACTCAAACCAGAGCTAAACCACAAGTCAGTTTCTCTGTCATCTGCACCAGTATCTCCAACACCGAACATCCTCTGTTAAGAAATGAGAACAGAGCCGGGCGGTGGTGGCACACGCCTTTAATCCCAGCACTCGGGAGGCAGAGCCAGGCGGATCTCTGTGAGTTCGAGGCCAGCCTGGTCTCCAAAGCGAGTTCCAGGAAAGGCGCAAAGCTACACAGAGAAACCCTGTCTCGAAAAAACAAACAAACAAACAAAAAAAAAAAAGAAATGAGAACAAAGCTTCTCTTACCATATTGCTATAAGAAAAAAGATACTAGACATAAAATATTGTAAAACTTATAATTGTTCAAGTACAGTACCACTGGTCCTCTATCATGACTGACCTTCCTTTCCACAATGCAGTTCTTTCTTTAAGATTTATTTTTATTTACTGACTGCAAGTGTTTGGCTGCATATGTATCTGTGCACTGAGTGTGCCTGGTGGCCATGGAGACCAGAAGAGGTCATCAGAACTGGAGTTACAGATGGCTGTGAGCCGCCATGGGAGTTCTAAGAACTGAACCTGGGTCTTCTGCAAAAGCACCAAGTATTTTTAACCACTGAACAATCTCCCTAGCCCCAATATAGTTCTTTTGTTATCAGTAAATAAGTGCTTTCCCTATGATTCTACTGCCTATATGTAATTTAGCTATTCCCTGTAGATAACATTTCCAAAATCACTTTTAACATCGACTAGCCATGAGTCTAAAATATGAGAAATAATAATTAGTTCTCATGACCTTGAAGAGTAATGTTGTACAAGTAGCTGTGGTGACAGCTTCCTCAAGGCTGGATTCACAAGCCCAGCAGGGAATTTTCTGCCCTCACTCACCTTTCTGAAATGCAAGTTGGTCCTACACAGGGTCACAGTATAAGGAAGAGCAAGAATCCTGGTCGTGTTTTAAGGCCATTCCGTTTTTTTTTTTTTTTTTTTTTTTTGGTTTTTCGAGACAGGGTTTCTCTGTGTAGCTTTGCGCCTTTCCTGGGACTCACTTGGTAGCCCAGGCTGGCCTCGAACTCACAGAGATCCGCCTGGCTCTGCCTCCCGAGTGCTGGGATTAAAGGCGTGCGCCACCACCGCCCGGCCCGTTTTTTTTTTTTTTAATCTTTCAATATTACAGTAGAATATTTTTAAAGATAATGTTAAAGGCTGGAGAGATGCCTCTCTGGTTAAGTGCACTGGCTGCTCTTCCAGGGGACTCAGGTTCAATTCCCAGCAACCACCTAGTGGATCACAACCATCTATAACTACAGTCTCAGGAGATCCAATGCCCTTTTCTGGCTTCTGTAGGCGGTAAGCACAGATGTTGTGCACAGACGCACATGCAGACAAAACACCAATACATATGAAAGAAATGAATTATTTTTACAGAAAGCATAAAAGGTAATGTCAGTGGTAGTCATTCTCTGTCCTTGCCTATCAGGTTGAATGTGTGGCCCCTGGTGCCTGAGAGGAAAATGCACGCCCTCCTGAGACTAAACCTGAGCCTCAGATCCAGGATGATGACGGGCTAAGAGCAGGTGTTTTCGTAGCGGGCGGCTCAGTCTGTCTTGGTCTTACAGGGATCCATGAGAAGAGTATACAGAGTGAGACTGGTCAATGGTTCACCCCCAGGCAGTTTGAAATCAAAGGAGACCGCGAAAAATCCAAGAACTGGAGGCAAAGCATACGTTGCTATGGATGGACCCTGAAAGAACTGATAAAGGTACTCTGGGGGCAGATGGCTCCCATGGTTCCTGGGAAGATGGTGGACTAAAAGCTTCCATGTGACATGTACCTTCATTATTCTGGGGTAAAACAACTGATTAGAAGCCCTCTCTCTGTAACTGGTAGCTTCAACCAAGGATTTCACTGCCATAATTCACTGGTACCAGATGTTAGCAGAATGTCTGTGTCCACAATACCACTATATTCTTCTTAGCCAGGTTCCATGGCATGGGTTATTGCCAGTATGCCACTCAGGTGTTACCTTGGCTGGCTTGTTTTACAGCTTAATCCTGTTAAATGCATTAACTTGGATCCTTTGGATGGTAGAAGAAAAGACTGTGACCTTTACCATTAACTAGTTGCATAAAATTTGGTAGCATGGATATAATTTAAATTAAATTTAAATATAATTTAAACTTGGAATGCCAGTGATGAAAATAATAGGTGATTACATATCTGAAAACACTGCACCCTGTGGATGCCTGAGTTACAGAGTGTCCAGCAGCACTTCTTCCAGTAGTCATGTCACACTTGTTCTTGAACGGCTGAGCATGGTGGGCCACACCTCTAATTCTGGCACTTGGGAGACTGAGGCAGGGAGATTGTTCAGAGCTTGATGCTGGCCTAGACTCTGTAATGAGTTCCAGGACAGGTTACAGGGTGAGACCTAACTCAACTCCATCTACCCCAAAATAAAAGTGTAGCACGAACCCTAATTGGTCTTATTAATAAAAACCCAGAGTCAGATATCAGGGTGAAAGCTGAAAGATCAGAGAAGCAGAGCAGCCAGCCATTGGTTCTTACCTCTATGAAATCCTCAGCCAAAAGGGACTGACTGTCTCCTCCTGCCTTATACTTCTCTCCCCACCCAGTCATATCACTTCCTGTCTCAACCTCCCTAGTGCTGGGATTAAAGGTGTGTGTGCCACCACTTTGTGGCCTCTTATGGCTAACTAGTAGCTGGTTCAGGCAAGCTTTATTTGTTAGAGCATACACAAAATATCATCACATAAAAGAAAAATAATTTTGAAATTGTATTTTGAAATAAGTTCTTTGCTTTTCATTTATATCAACCCCCTGAATTGGGAAAATCAGGAGGTTTCCCTGGTAGCTGAATCTATTTCTTTTGGCTTAGGGTACACTGATCTTTCTGTCATGAATCTCAGATGGCCTTTCCCTGTGTCATTCTCACAATAAAGCAAAAAGTTTGCTCATGGAGTATAGACTAAACTGCATCTAAAGTCATGGGGAGTACAGGTGTACTGGCCAGGAGAAAGCTAAACCGTCATACCCTACCTGCAGTTACTACTGTGAGGAGAGGTGTCTGCAGGAAATGATGCTGTAGCTAAGAGGTGGGATGGCTATTTCTGGGTTTCAGATTAAAACCGTGTCATGGAACAGTCTTCACTGAGCTGGGTCATAAAGGAAGAGAGTTCTGACAAAGTGTAGAATGGGGCTTTCTGCGTGGGGAACAAAGAGCATGAAAAGCCAGCCCTCAGGGTATCAGGAAGCTGTGAGCGCTCAAGTGGCATCCCTTGTCTGAGCTCACCGTGAAAACCACCAGGCCAGAAAGAGGAGGTCTCAATGTCCCCTAGACTCACTATGGGGAACAAGGGGAGTAATTTCCATGAAGACACCTTGTATTTAGCAACAGTACATCCAGAGAGAAATACCTAGAAGGCAATTAGAAATACCTTGCCACACAGTAAAAACAAAGACCCCACCGTCATTAACCTCTCTGTCTTTCAGAAAAAGCGTCTACCAGACCCACCAAGGAAAAAGAGAAAGGTATTTATCCCAAGAGTTCCTGTTGTGATGTCTGAGCCTATTGTCTGCAAATTATTTGTTTTCCATCTCCATGGCCTTATAAGTTTTAAAACTGATCAAATTTGAATTTATTCTATGGTGCTCACATAGCTGTTTTAACCAGTGTAAGAAAGAAGGCAAGGCTTCTTTGAACATCAAAGTATTTGAGATAGAGATGGGAACAAACCTTGGGAGCCATCACATGAGTGATCTTTTCTGTCTTTCAGAAAGAAAACCCACAAAATCCACAGCGAACAAAGAAAAAGGTAACTGCCTCATGACCTTCTGCTATGATGTCTGAGGTCATCAATCACAAATTGTTAGTTGTCCATCTCTGTCACGTTATAGTTGTTAAATTCACTGATGATGATAAAAATGGAATTTGGGTTGGGGATTTAGGTCAGTGGTAGAGCGCTTGATTAGCAAGCACAAGGCCCTGGGTTCAGTCCTCAGCTCCAGAAAAAAAGAAAAAAAATGGAATTTATAATATGATATTTGTGTGGTTGATATTTTAAAATATTATACAATTAAAAGGTCAGTGCTCCATTTAATGTTAAAACATTTGAGATTGAGGTGGGAACAATCTTTAAAAATAGTGAAAACGCCAGGCGGTGGTGGCTCACGCCTTTAATCCCAGCACTGGGAGGCAGAGCCAGGCGGATCTCTGTGAGTTCAAGGCCAGCCTGGGCTACCAAGTGAGTTCCAGGAAAGGCGCAAAGCTACACAGAGAAACCCTGTCTCAAAAAAAAAAAAAATAGTAAAAACAAGCCTGGCGGTGGTGTGGTGGCGCACACCTTTAATCCCAGCACTTGGGAAGCAGAGGCAGGCGGATCTCTGTGAGTTTGAGGCCAACCTGGTCTCCAAAGCGAGTTCCAGGAAAGGCGCAAAGCTACACAGAGAAACCCTGTCTCGAAAAAACAAAAAACAAAAAAATAGTAAAACAACAGACTGACAATATGGCTCAGGAGGTAAAGGTACTTGCCGCCAAACCTGATGACCTGAGTTCAATCCCCCAGGAATCATGTGCTGGAAAGAGAAAACAAGTTCCCAAAATGTGTCCTTTGCTCTCTACCTGAGTGTCACATGAGTATCTACACAAATACATAAATAAAATGTAATTTTTAAAAACCTAGGAGCTGAAAAGACGGCTCAATGATTAAGAGAACTAGCTGTTCTTTCAAAAGACGCAGGTTTATTCCCAGCATTCACATAGTAGCTCACATCCATCTGTAACTCCAGTCCCAGGACTACCAATGCCTTCTTCTGACCTCCAAAGGTACCAGATTTCGATACAACCACACTTCTTTTGTTCCTCTGCTAAGACAAGATGTTCAGCTCTCATCTCTAGAGTCTGGATAACTCATTGGATAACTGAGGCAGATGCTGAGCTTTCTGGTCCATGGACCACTGCTTAGGATGCAGAGATCTCACCTAATGACTGTGCATTAGAACCCCTCAGAATGTTTAAGCATCCAGTGCTTGGCTCCAGCCCAGACTCGGTGAATTGAAATTGATGTTGATGGGATCCTAGACACTTGCTTTGTTTTTCTTCCTCGGTGTTAAGGACAAACCTAGGGCCTTATTTGCGCTAGATTGAACACTCTACCATTAAACTACATTCTCAAGCTTGGAAAATTTTTTAATCCCATGAGTGATTTTAGTCTATAATATGTTGACAATTACTACTAAATATTGCACAAATCCTAAATCGTCTTATAATAAAAACCTGGAGCCACATATCAGGGTGAAAGCTGAAAGATCTTATCTCACCAACTCCTCAGCCTGACAGAGCCTCTGCAAGGGAGTGAATTCCTGTCTCCTCTCGCCTTATATTCCTTTCTCTGCCAGCCATATCACTTCCTGTCTCAACCTTCCTAGTACTGGGGTTAAGGTGTATGCCACCACTGCCTGACCTTTGTGGCTAATTCTGTGGCTGGCTCTGTCCTCTGATCCTCAGGCAAACTTTATTTCTTAGATTACAGATATCACCACAACTAAATAAGAGAACAAATTCCTTGTTTTAAAAAAGGGGGTTTGAGCCGGGCGGTGGTGGCGCATGCCTTTAATCCCAGCACTCGGGAGGCAGAGGCTGGCGGATCTCTGTGAGTTCGAGGCCAGCCTGGGCTACCAAGTGAGTTCCAGGAAAGGCGCAAAGCTACACAGAGAAACCCTGTCTCAAAAAACAAAACAAAACAAAACAAAACAAAACAAAAAAGGGGGGGGGTTTGGAGAAAGGCTCAGTGGTTAAGAGCACTTGCTGCCCTTCCAAGGACCTGGGTTCAAAACCCAGCATCCACATGGTGGCCTGCAAGCATCTGTAATTCTAATTCCAGGGAATCTGACTTCTTTTTCTGTCCTCTGTGGACTCCAGGCTCACAAGAGATGCATAGACATACATGCAAGCAAAACATCCATACACATAAAATTAAAAGAAAAACAAAAAACCAAAGGGGCAAGGGCATGGCTCAGTGGTAAAGTGTTTGCCTAGTGGTAGAGCGCTTGTCTATCACACTCCAGGTTCCCTGGGTTCAAACTCTAGCACCATGGAGAGAGCACCACTAAAAGGGGCGGGAGGTGTATGAAGATGTGCCTCAATGGTACAGTGATTGCCTAGGCCTGGGTTCTACACCCACATTAAAAAGATAAACCCCAGGCTTCCAGGTTTCTAGACAATGGAATACTATGTAGATTTGCCTTTGAAATGCTCTTTCTCAATATTCACTTGCAGAGGTTTTTTTTTTTTTTTTTTCCAAAGATTTATTTATTATGTATACAGTATTCTGCCTGTGTACATGCAGAACGCCAGAAGAGGGCACCAGATCTCATTACAAATGGCTGTGAGCCACCATGTGGTTGCTGGGAATTGAACTCAGGACCTCTGGAAGAGCAGCCAGTGCTTTTAACCTCTGAGCCATCTTGCCAGCCCCACTTGCAGAGTTTTTAATAAATGACTCAGAAATCTTGATCCAGCAGCCTGAAAATAGTGTTCAGCAAACATAGTCTCACCTGCTGTGGGACCCTGTTGGAGACAGATGCCTCCAAACATGTCCCTCATGGGCCATTCAGGGTTCCTATAGAAAGAGATCTCATGGACCTGCTTCATGTTTGAAGCCTAGAATTTGAACAATGTGTGTAGTTCTTGTGTCATAGTAAATGTCTGGGTGAAGAGAGAAACCACAAATTATTTTATTCACTTCAGCCGACTTGTTAGAGGTTTTCCTTTGCTGGTGATGTCATGAGTAAGGAATTCTGCATCCCAATAGCATCAGGCCCTACACAAGCACAAGCATGAGGTGAGACTTAAAACTTAGGGTGAGCATGACTGGTGTAGAGCTGGGTATCTGAGACATGGAGAGGCAGAGATGAGTCAGGGTTCACATCCCTGCTTCACTTGATGGGAGGTTAAAGGATCATTGTAAAGGAGGAACATGGGCATTATTACAGAACAATAAAGACCTCCCTAGAGAAGCAGAGCGTGAATGCTGGAGGCTCAAAACAAGGCCAGAGTGCAGACCTGAGAGACTGGAAGAGGAGCGGTCATGGGGGGAGCTGTGGATATTGAGGCAAATGCAAGGAGTGGAGGGTACAGGACAGAACCCAAGGAACCCCACATTCTAACAGTAGAACCAGCTCTTCAACCCTAGGAGGCTCCCCTGACCACATTCCTTGAATATTAGAAATGTCACCTTGGAAACTGAGTCAGGAGAATCAGAACCCAAGCTAGACCTGGCTACATGAGCCCCCCTCTCAAAAACATGATAATGATGAAATTAACTAATAATTAATTAAGCCAAATAAGACATTATATTGGAGTCAGACTTTTCTGGGTAATAAATTTGTCAGGTTATCTTTAGTTCACCTCTTTTGTTACTGTTGTTTCTACAATGGGGTTTGTATTTCCATGTCAGAATCACTGTTTTCACAATGTAAACCTTTCTAGTCTGACATCCCAGAAATTCCCTGAACTTCATTTCATACCAGAATGCCTTCTTCTAAAATATCTGTTTAATACTAGTCCTTAATATTTTGAGGAGAGGGGCTGGAGAGACACATAAATAGTTAAGAGTACTACATTGCTCTCCCAGAGGTTTGATTCCCAGCACCCACATGGCAGCTTACAACCACCTGCAAATTCAAGGCCAGGGGTATGATTCCCACTTCTGGCCTCTGTAGGCAACTGCATACATGTGGTGCATGTATATACACTCAGGAACACACACATAAAATAAATATTTGAAATATACTTTGGAGTACAAAGAGATTTCTGGGTCACCTTGGTTTACGCAAAGTCAACATGTTCTAGCATTCGGGGCTCAGACTGCTCTTGATGATGTCTGCAACATTTCTTCTTGTAGCTGAAAATTTCAAAACAGTGTACAGTGTGCTGCCGAGGATGGAGATTGTGCCACTGTGCTATTTGTGGAAAATTCTATCATAAGAAATGCCACATCCCGCCTGTGGAAGACAAGAGGTTAGTAAGACAGTCTTGCCCCCTGGCCCTTCCTCACACACACACACACACACACCCTGCTGGGTTGCTGTCTCCAGCTGGAGTATCTTGATGCAATGGGAACAAGAACGTTAGTGTCAAAACCCAAAGTATCCAGAGTTGTTTCTCAGCACTCATAACAGATTAATGGAAATAAAGACCTTGAAAGTGGTTAACTGAGAGAAGTCTCACTCCATCTCACCTATGTGCTCCACTGGGGTAATAGCACCATGTCGTGGTTGTTGGCTTTAACCATGTATTCCTCTTCCCCGCCACTGAACTGCAAAGTTGCTAAAGCTGGGCTGTGTCAAGCCGTTAGAAATCCACTTTAGCATTCTACCAAACTAGTTGATTCTGGGTTGCAGAGCCCTACATGAGAACTGTAAGTTCTGTGTGTCAGCACCCCACCCCCAACCCCACCAAAGCACTCCTTTGCTTTATCTGTGTCTCTGGACAGAGATAGTATGTATGTAGTAGTATGCAGATAGTATGCAGAGATTCCAACAGGTTGAGAAGGGATTGGATGTGTTCTGTAAATGGTGTGGATGGAACTACTGTGCCTGAAATCCTCTAAGAGAGCACTGCCCTCTGGTGACAGGAGGAGTCATAAGACCACCCAGTGCTCCCAGAACACCATCTCAGAGGATTTTCTTCTGACTAGTTAGACAAGCTACCAAGGCACAAAATGAATCAGCCCTTTCACTCTGCCCACATGCAGCTCCTAACACCCCACCAGGAGCATTTTGTAATGGGTACCTTGAAAAAAACTGAATGGACAAGGAGAGCCAGTATTGTTAAGAAGGGTCATTGAAATGAATGAAACTTAGGGTGTCTTAGTCAAGTTTTTATCGCTGTGATAAAACACCACAACCAAGAACAACTTTGGAAAGAAAGACTTTTTTATCTAGCAGTTCATAATCCACCATCTAGAGAAGTCAAGGCAGGAACCTGGAGACAGGGACAGATGCAGAGGCCATGGAGTTGTGCTACTTACTGGCTTGCTTCTCATGGCTTGTTCAGCCTGTTTTCTTATAGCACCCAGGACCACCTGCCCAGGGTGACACTCCCACATCAATCATCAACCAAGAAAGTGCAGCATAGGCTTTTCCACAAGGCCAATCTGATCGGGGCATTTTCCCCAAATGAGGTCTCCTCTTCCATGGACTCAAGTTGATATAAAATTAGCCAGCATATGGGGTAAAATGGAAAATATTGACACCATCAGTAAATTTCCTTTCCAATAAGTTTCCATAACACAGATTCTAGCTGAAGACCCAGCAATGTCAAATGAAAGGACACTTGTAGCTTTTGCTATGCTTATTCAGCAAGACTGAGAAGCAAGAGTTGCTTTTTGGTCTCCTGATTGTAACTCTCATCTAATTGGCTCATCAAGGTTCAAGACTCCTGTGCTTAAGGCACCAAATTCACTGTTATGACCAAACATGGCTTGTTGTCAATATCCCAGTACTCAGATGGAAATTTCTAGTTTTGAGATCACTAGGAATTCATCACTTCCTTGGGTACCACCTCATTCAATATACTCACTATTGACAGAAGGGGTTATCTTTGCATATCAAACCCACATGGAGCTCCAGTACAGTGTCCTCCAAGAGTGAAGTTGAACTCAAGGTGGAAACCACTTGCCATTCTTGAATAGAGGTCTTTATCAGCCACAGGAATGGAGGCTGATTCACAGACTCTGCCCTTGCTCACTTTATGCTTGACCTCTCAGTGGCCCATGGAGTTGTGTCTTCTGCAAGATAAAGGATCAGTTAAGGTGCCAAGAAAATCAAGCACGTTATAAGGAATCAGAGGTCCTGAAGAGGAAGATGTTGCCTGAGGAGCAGCTGGTGAGTCAGTGTGAAGTTGAAGGCCCCTCTTTTTGGTTGGCAGAAAGAACAGTCTCACAGATGGTGAGGAACAAAACCCTAATGTAAATTGTGATGTGCTTTTGATCATGTGATCCAATGGTAAAATTCATATTCCAGAGAGTAGCTGCATTTCATATTTGTCTCAAGGAGGTAAAGGTCTGTGAGTCATTTGTTGCACCTTGGAATTTAAGCAGGCCTTTTCTCTCTAAGTTACCTTCCGTTTAGAATTTTCTTTCATCTTTTGCAGAAATGTGAGCTGCTTCTCTTGAGTATCTATTGCCATTCAAAAAGTCGCTTTTTTATCCCCAAACCAAAGAAAGTGAGTAACAACAACAAACTGAAATCTTGTGATCTTATTCCCAGACAAGTTGTCTTTCTCTTTGCCTGTTGATGGGTATCTTTGTGCAGGTAGCCATGCACAGCAAATTACCATAGATTGAGGCAGTATATACAATATAAATTTGTTTCTTATGGCTCTGAAGACTGGCAGTCTGAGGCCAAGGTGCAGGGAAAAAAAATGGGCTGTGGTGAGGACTTTGACTTCTTTGAGACAGAGTCTCACTGTGTATCTCTGTCTGGCCTGGTACTCACTATGTAACCAGGCTGGCCTCAAACTCCCAGAGATTCACCTGCCTCTGCCTCCCAAATGCTGGGATAAAGGCGTGCACCACCACAACTGGCTGAAAGTCTTCGGGGATGCAGGCAGCTCACTTCTGACTGCTCTCTCCATATGGTGAAGAGATGGAAAGAGCTTCCCGAGTCTTGATAAGGCACTGATCCCACTCCCAGGGGCTGCACCTTCATAACCTAACGGCAAAGGCTTTCCTTCTTAGTTCCAGTGTACCGGGGTTAGGATTTCACCCTGTGAGTTAGAGGCAGTAGAGACGCACATTCAGAATCCATAACCATGGGAGTGTGTGGAAGGGAGGCCGACTCAGGACTATGCTGACAGCACTCCCTTTGGTGTTCTCCTCAACAGAGGAGAGAGAACTTTCCAGAGCTCCTCGAGCACATGTGGCTAGGCAAAGTCAAGTACAGGCTGAATAAGAAGACGTACCCTTCAGTGCAGCATTTTGTGGAGGACATGCGCCGCATCTTTCAGAACCACAGCATAATCTATAAAGTAAGAGCCTCTGCTTTCTGTTTCTCTTTTAATTGAGTCACTTTTTCTCACTTTCTCACGTCAGGTTGATGCTCTAACTGCCCTCACCATGGGGCAAGCCTCTACATGTCAAATTTGAGCAGGGATTCAGAAAGCCCCATGCTGCCGGAGGGGAAATTAACCGTGACTCACATAGGACCCCCGAAAGCTCACTGCTGAACAGTCGACTTTCACCCCGGAGGGCAACAGGCTACAGAGCTGCTCAGTGTTGCAGGGAACAGAAGTGTATTTTAAAGACAGCCAGCATTTTTCATCTATAAAGAGAGAAAATCAGACTTCTCACATTGCAAAACCTCAAATTTCTTAGTATCTAAATGTCCTAGTGCTGGGGCAAAAAATTCTTAAATTCTTGCCCCAGAGCTGGGGAGATGGCTCAGTAGTTAAGAGCACTTACTGCTTTCAGAAAGGAACAGTACCTACATCAGGGGGTTCCCAGCACCCACATCAGGGGGCTCACCAGGAAATTCATCACCCTCTTCTTAACTCCTCAGGCACCTGCACTCACATGTACACACCACAAATAAGTACACATGCTTAAAAATAATAAAAACACCAAAGGCAGAGGCAGGCAGATCTCTGTGAATTTAAGGCCAAGCCTGGTCTACAAAGCAAGTTCTAGTTTTAAAAAAAAAAAAAGAAGCAAGTTCTAAGCTAGTCAGGGCTACACAATGAGACCCCGTCTCAAACAAACAAACATTAGTAACAACAATAATAGTAAGTATATTTTAATTAATTAATTTTCTATTTTAAAATTTTGTTTTCATTCATTTTCACCATATTCTTTCCCTTCCCCCAACTCTTCCCAGATCATCCCCACCTCCCAATCCACTTGACTTCAGATTCTCTCCCTCTCAAAAAAAAAGGAAAAAGCAAAAAAAAAAAAAAAAAATCAAAACAAACTAAAAATCAGACCAAGACAAAAGATAGCAAAACAATACAAAAAGTGCATACACACACACACACACACACACACACACACACACACACACACACACAAGAACAAAAACCCACAGGGTCTGTTTTATGTTGACCAACTACCCCCAGGCATAGGGCCTGTCCTGGAAAGACTGATATACCCAGTGACACTCCATTGGAGAAAACTGATACCCACTTTCCCAGCAGGTACCAACTGCAAATAGCTTTTTGAGTAGGGGTGTGACTTTGTGTTTACTTCTTCTCTGTGCTGGGGTTTTGTCTGGTTTGAATCGTTCATTTGTGTGTGAGCTCTCTTGTGTCTGGAAGATGTTGTTTCCACCTCGGGGTCTTACAGTCTTTGTACTTCCTCTTCCACATAGACCCCTGAGCCCTGAGGGGAGGGGTTTGATAAAAATTACCCCATTTAGAGCTGAGTGCTCCAAAGTTAGTCTCTACACCTTGTCCAGTCGTGAGTCTCTGTTGAGTCCCATCTACTGCAAGAAGAAGCTTATCTGGGAAGTGCTAAGTGATGCTCTGACCTTCCATCTGATGGATAACAATATTAATAATACTTTAATAATAATAACAATAAATAACAATAAATCTTTTAAAAAGTGCCACAGAATTAGAACCCCCCCCCCAGTCATTGGATGAGGTGACCTAAGATTGGGGACATGTCTTTAAAACACTTTCCCAAAGATCTGAGGGGAGACCAGAAGAAGTCTAAGCAAGCTATAGTGAAAAGAAAGCACAGCCTGAGTCTGGAATACCCGACAGAGGTCAAGGTAGGCAACTGAGAAGTGGGGAAGGAGGTACTAATGAAATGGTCACGTTGAGTCTTTGTCCACTGAGGCATGAAGTGAGCATGAAAACTTCATTTTGTCCAGGGTGACATGAGTTTGGGGTGTAGAAACTCTACTCCATTGTCTCTGATCAACCTAGAAAGAACAATTAATGTCACTCCATTACTTTTTATTTTAGCTCTATAGTCAAGACTGTTCTTTGCACCCAAATCCAGGGTGAGTGTGTGAAATAAGATACAGCTAAGTGAATTCACTGTCGCTGAGTTTACCTCCTACTCCTTGTTAGTGTTAGGCCTAACATGAATAACCTTCTGTCAGTTTAGCTTTTGTGGCTAGTTTGAGCCCCTTTTAGTTGATTTTTAACTAGGCAGGGACAAGTGGCTTGCTGAAAGGACACATTTGGAAGGTCCTGCTATGTAGCTGCGAACAGTCTTGAACTCACAGAGATCCACCCGCCTCCACTTCCCCAGGCTGGGGACAAAAGGGTGTGCCCCACTGCCCTGCTAGCATTTCAAAGTTTTAAGTTGCTGCATTGAGCATCTGCCTCTTCTCCAAATTTCATAACTCCTTCTGCATCCTAATAAGTTTCCAAGGGCTTAAAAGTGCAGGGAGGGCTGGAGAGATGGCTCAGAGGTTAAGAGCACTGGCTGTTCTTTCAGAGGTCCTGAGTTCAATTCCCAGCAACCACATGGTGGCTCCCAACCATCTGTAATGAGATCTGGCTCCCTCTTCTGGCCTGCAGGGACACATCAAACAGAATAAATAAATAAATAATAAATAAATAAATAAATCTTAAAAAAAAAAGATATTTAAAAAAAAAAAGTGCAGGGAAAAGGATGACCCCGTTAATTTCTCTAAGCATTTGTATGCTGTCATACCTCACCTAGCACCAACACAGTAGGAGCGGGAAATCCCATACCACGAAAGCTTTGCTTCATGCAAAATATATGAGATATATTGTATAAAATTGCATTTGAGCTATCTGTGAAATATTTATGCAAACCAAATGAATTTCTGGATTTCAAATTCAGTCCCACTCCTGTGGTATCTCATTGTGTACAGGCAAATATCCTGTATCTAAAACCCAAACCACTGCTGACCTCAGGCATCTAGAGCAAGGGATATTCAGCCTGCAATACTAGTTTTATTTCTGTCTTTCCAAGAAAAAGACATAACCAAACTATCATGGACTATGACCTCTTTCTTTAAAAGAAAAATGGTTACACTTTATTGATTTACTTTGTGGATCAGTGCATGTCATGGCGCAGGTGCATGGATGGAGGTCAGGGGACCACTTGCTGGAGTCAGTTCTCCTTCCACCATGTGGGTCTCAGGGATTGAACTCAGTCTGCCTAGCAGCAGGCGCCTTTACCCACTGAGCCATCTGGAAGCCACCCACCACCACCACCTCAACCTCCTCTTAACTGGGTTAAACCTCCCCACTTGGAACAGTCTAAGCAAGGTTCTGGGTTATCCGGGGACTGGCTGGCCAAGCTTACCAAGCGATGGCTATCACTGATTTCCTAATTCTCTTTCAGAACAGCAAGTTCAACAACCTTGGAGTCACAGTAGGAAGCCTATTTGAGAAGAATTTCAAAATAATTTTTTCAATCAATGATACAAGCAAACAACCTCAGCCATGTAAGCACACTGTTTTGTTAACATAGGCCTTCCTTTCTGTTCTCTCCACTATCCATCCCTCCAGCCATCAACAGCACAATGCTCAGAGAGCCCACCGTCCACTCCACCCTTCTGTGTAAACACCCTGCCACACTTCAGCTTCTGACTTTCTATATTGCCCTTCCTGTTCAATTATCTTCCTAAATAAAACTTAACACTTGCAATGTGCACCATAATGGTGAACTGTCAGGTGCTGAGGGAGCCCACTGAGAAGATGACTCTGGAAGCAAGATTGTACCCTTTCCTCATTTTAAACCCAAGTATGTTTGTCTCCAAATGTCCTCCAGAGCATCTTTTCTAAGGATGGCCTGGCCCCTCTAACCCAGTGACTGAGCAGAGAAACTAGCAAAACAGGCCAAGAGTGAAAACACTGTGCTTGGGAACAGCTAGAAGGTGAACCATTCCAACAGATATAACAACTGTTTTTCCTGTGATATAAAACGAGAATGAGTAGCCAGAAGTTCAGCCCTGGGAGCTCAGCCATGGAGAGAAAACTCAATCAGGAACTGTGGCTGACTGCTCGGCTTCCATAGACAGTTTCCACTGGCTGTTGTGAGCATCCAATTTGATAATGTTATCTCTTTGTTGCTATTTATTCTTCAACCTGGAAGCCTCACCAAAGGCTAATTCTGCTCTGCCCTGAACTCCACTGGGAGCTCTGCCATCCCCCCTCCCTACCTGAGGACTCCCCCCAGTCAATTCCCCCTGGATATTTCAAGCACACGGTTAATGATACTCTCTTGTTTTTATATTTACTCTTGTACTTCGGCTTGTTACATACTTAATAAACTCACCCATTCAAAACTGAAAGTATGGCTGTCATTGTCGATTCTCAGGACTGTGCAGAACATAATAGGGTGGGTCAACAATCTCTACAAGGTGCTATTTCTATTTGAAAGTAGTGGCTCTTATAAAAAATGAAAGAGGAAGGAGGACCAGACAATGGGTGGAATGATGATTCACCCCACAGACACCTGGCCTCTGCTCAGACTGCTAGAGTAAAGGAACACACATCTCTGTCTGAAACTGCAGTTTACAGGGTGAGCATGTCAGGAGAGAAGCACTCCAGGGTCTTGCAGTGTTAACACTCAGGCATTTACACTGGCCTGCTCTCAGGGACCTAGCAGGACACAGCAGCAGCAGCAGCAGCCAAGATGTGACACTGTAGCTTGGTAAGTATTTTTGTATCCCTGGTAGTAGGTTTGTCTGCTGAAGCAATAAGCCAGATTAAGCGGAATTAAAAGTCCAGATTTAATGAGCAAAGCACTCTGCGGTGACTCTCAAGTCCCCCAAGAAGTAAGCGGGCTCCCGCAACCGACCCACCCACCCCACCCCGCACCCCGCACATGGCAGGTCTATGGACCAAAGCTGAAATACCCTGTAGGCTGTGGTCTTGAGCGGCTCTAGGGGAGGAGCTGTGGTCTAGCAGGCTTTATGAAGGTCAGTGTTTGGCCAGAGAGAAGGAAGGCGGAGGTGGAGCTTCCAATGGAATATCCCAACCTTCTTGAATATATGGGTGCTAGTTCAAGTCTGGCTACTTTCTGTTGGCATGGGATGCTGTGGGGAGGAGGAGCTGGGAGTCAGTGGGCTCATGCTCGGAGAGAGGTGTGGGTGAAGAAGCATTCTGTTAACTGCCATCCTGGAGGCCTCGGGGATCTGTTTCTTGAGGAAACAGAGAAGGCAAGTTGCTAGGAGAAAAAATAGGTTGTTATCACTGGCCCTATGAATGGGACTAGCCATGGGGAGAGTGGAGATTGCCAGTAAGAATGTGCCAGTAAGATTGCCAGTAAGAGATGTTCCCTGGTTGTACTGACAAAGATGAATGAGCAAGACAGAGGAGCAGCAGGCCCTTCATTGGGACAATCTGGAAAACCAGAGGGTGGAGGGTCCCAGGTGCTGGACAGTCCATCCATCCTGGAAAGGTGCCCGCTTGAGCCTGGAGAGGTGGTACCAACACTGATGTCCCAGGAGCCTGGGGGGATGGCATGTCAAATTTGGGGATGATGAGTTCCAGGAGTACCTGGGTCATCACATCTGCTGTTTCCCTGGAGATGGGGAGTGCCTCCATCCATCCTGTAAAGGTGTCAATAAGAGATAAGAGATAGCAGGGCGTTTTGTAAGTGGGCACGTGGGCGAAGTCAACCTGCTAGTACCCACCCAGTTGGTGTCCTCTGAGCTGGTGCAGGGACTGGCGCATCTGGAGGCCCCCTGCAGGTTAGCCTTGGCACACTTCTTGAAGAAAGAGTGGACCTGTAAAATACCAGCTCAGTAGCCATTAAGTCTCTGTCATTTTTAATAGATTTAGAAGCTGCTTGGTCTGCACTTCTGCTTACTCAGGGAAAATTCATCCATCTCAGAGCTCTGATGGTGTTGATGACTAGGCTAGTCAGTTTAATGGCAGCAACCAAGGCTTCAGAGGCCTTCTCAGTTCTCTTCCTGTGTAAAATTCGGGCCACAGCCTCTTTCTCTCCTAGAGCTACTACCAAGTCTAGACACAACTAACCTTGTTACCACACTCAGACAAGAGATAAACTCACAGAACAGATTTCAATGTAACTTTTTACTCTTCCTTTATTTAAAGGACCTCCCTCTACAATGACTGCCCTCAGTAATCAACCACCTGTATCTCCTGGAAAATGAGATATAAAGAAGGTGTTTTAAGGTGTAGAGTTTATGTGAAGATATGAAAGCTTGAGGATCTACGAAAACGTTTTAGGGTCTAAGAAGGTGTTTTAAGGTGTGCAAATGCACGTTATTAAGGTGTGTAAGGGCCTGGATTCTAACCTTTTTCTCCTCTGCTTTTTCTTTACAAAGAGTGTTCACTGCTCAAAGTCATTGATATGCGGACAGACTCATGGTGAATGTAAAACTTTCTGTAACTCCCAAACTGTGAGATCACAGGGAAAAGAAGATAAAAATCCAAGTGCTAAGCAGCTTTGTCTGAGATTTGCAACAACATGTACAGGCACAAAACCTCGGTTTGCTACACTGTGTCATGTATGTATTTTGGATTCAATTCTTGTTTTGAAGGTTATTAAAATTCCTGAAGATATTGATCTGCTTATAGCAACATTTGGAATAACCGGCTTAAACAACAAAAATGTGTGTCTAATCAAGACGGTTGCTTGTGTTTTTCCAACTTTGTTAGACTTTTAATCACTTCAGAAAGTGAGTCATAGCAAAATTAGGACTTAGTTAAAAACCGCTTTGTGGTGGCTAGTTTTATGTCAGCTTGACACAAGCCAGAGTTATTTGGAAAGAGAGATCATCAGCAGAGAGTGCCAGCACCAGAATGGCCTGCAGGGCCTATTTTTGATTGAGGAACAATGTGGGAGATCCTAGCTTATTACGGGCGGAGCCACCCCCAGGCCTGGTGGCCCTGGGTGCTGTAAGAAAGCAGGCTAAGCAAGTCATGGGAGCAAGCCAGTCAGAAGCACCCCTCCCTGGATCTACAACAGTTCCGGCTTCCAGGTTCCTGCCTCAGTCCCCACCCTGACTTCCTTGAATGATAGTCTCCAAGCTAAACATTGAAAGGAACCCTTTCCTCCCCAAGTCAGTTTTGCTCATGGTGTTTATCACAGCAATAGAAACCCTAACCAAGACATGTTTTGTTTTTGTGAGTGTTTGTTTGTTTATTTGTCTAAACTTTCTCGAAATGTTATACATGATTTAGAATCATGAAACGGGTAAGGTTGTCCTTCTGTGAAGATAAGGGGTTCAGAAAGAAAGCCAATTTTTAACCCTTACAGTCCAAGGCCAGCCAGTACCTCATGAACAGGGAACCCTGCTAAGTCTCCTGGCCTCTTGATCAGACAGACCATGGAGTCTCTAACAGTTAGATTCTGATCCATGTACATTCCATGGGGAGGAGAATCAATGGAGAGAGACATGTTTCTTATGCTTCCAAAGGAGGGCACATGGTCATCGGGACTCGGACCTAGCCCTGCAGGTGGCATGGCTGATAGAGGAAAGCCAAGGGTGTCAATGGGTCAATTCTAAATCCCCAAGAAGAACACATACAAGAGTCTCAACAGACTTTACAAACAAGAAGATTTATCTTTGGCTACCTACATGATCTTAAATATCCAAAAGGAAAGAATAATCAAAACAACTGCTATTCCGATAGCCAAACTTTAGCCAGTTTTAAAAGGACACTCTGGGCTGGGCGGTGTTGGTACAGGCCTTTAATCCCAGCATTCTGGAGGCAGAGGCAGGAGAATCTCTGTGAGTTTGAGGCCAGCCTGGGCTACAGAATGAGTTCCAGGAAAGGTGCCAAAGCTACCCAGAGAAACCCTGTCTTGAAACACGCCCCCCCCAAAAAAAAGGACACTCTGTTAAATTCTATAAAGTTACGGAGTTCACCTGTTCAAGATTAAACCCTATTTTCTAGGAAGCATTTAAAATAAAAATATATTTAAAAAGGGAGACTAGAACAATAAACCAACTGGGGACATATACTTTGTCTTCAAAAGGAACCCCAAAGGTTAGCCTCAGGTAAAAGCTGGATGTAGTGCACACCTTTAATTCCAGCAGTCAGGAGGCAGAGGCAGGTGGATCTCTGTGAGGCCAGCCTGGTTTACAGAGAAAGTTCCAGGATAGCCAGGGCTATTTAGAAAGACCTTGTCTCAAAACAAAACAAAACTTGGGCCCATCAGGCAAAGGTTTCCTTGAACATTCCCTGACTCTATTGATGGATAAGCAAGTTTGTTTTTTTCATAATTTATCAAATTATTCCTGAAACATTATATCCTACACTGCTGCTCTCTGTTCTTTTTCTTGGAAGCCTCAGCTGAAGAAATCCTGCTCTGCCCTGGACTGTCTATGTGGAACTCCAAATGACTGTCTCAATGGGCTTCTGCAGTCTGTCAGCTGGCTGTTTGAGCATTCAATTAGATGATGTTTTGCTATCTATCTATCTATCTATCTATCTATCTATCCAATCTGTTTGTCTGTCTATCACTTTCTATTTATTCTTTTACTTTGGCTTGCTATATAGTTAATAAACTCCCTCATTCAAAACCAGGGAAAACAAAACTATATATATATATATATATAGATATAGATATAGATATAGATATATAGATATATATAGATATATATATATATAGCTGTGGGTCTGAGGCTCTGGAACAACCCAAGCACACACAAGAGGTCACACAAAGCAAGATTTTATTACTGGGCAGCATAACAGAAGACCCATCAGGGACAGGAGTACAGACTTGGGAGCTGACTGCATGCCCAAATGTTCATGTCAGCAAATATTTAAACACAAAAACCACAAACATCTGCGCCAGGTTGCAGTTGTATTTTCCCACCAATCAGGATTCAAAGGTTAGGGACTTTCCTAGGAACACTGTCCTGTGGTCTACTTACCTTGTTCTCATTGGTTGGTTCACTCATGCGTGGCAGGGTGGCTTGCCCACCATTCATGCCTCAACTTGCCAACCAGGATGTCAGTTGCCCAGTGAGGTCTTGGGAACTTAAACTTTGTTTCTGAATAAAATCCCTTTCTACTTTACTATTTGTTTGTGCTTCTTCAATTCTTTGAACAGCATGACTGGAAAAACACCTGATCCAGACAGAGACTCCCAGCAGCATCACTTTGTAGTCCAAGCTAGCCTTCTGCCTCATCCTCTTAGATACCCACAAATATAGCCAGCTAATGAGCACCCAGGACGTTCTGAGAACTCAAAGAAATGGGGATAAAGGCCAAATATATATTTTATTATGCTTCAGATAGGCATGGTTATGTGAAAGGAAAAATCAAAATAAAACTTGTAAGTCCATAATTTTCTTTTGACTGTACCATCAATACATCAACAAAGTCAGAGAATATTGCCTGTTGTGGGGCATCCACCAGACAAGACTGCTTGGACATGTATTTAAGCCAATGAAAATCTTCATTAGCCAACCAATGATTACACCAGGTGTTCCAGATTCCAGCGTAGCCCCAAAGTGAGCTTTTAAGCACAAGAAACCATGTCCTAGGTGACATACTTCAGTTAACAAGAACAGTTGGCCAGAAGCAGAACTACAGAAGCCAAAAAGTGAGGTTAGTACATTTAGAGACTTTTCCAGAACTGTGGACTTTGATGAAGTAGTTCTTTGTTTTCATTTTGGCAGGTGGTACTGTCCACATGCTGAGTTTTACAGTTTGAATGGTACTTCCATCATGGAGTCAGTTGTGCTAAGGACTTGAGGCTTACTAAAGTCTGGAATCCTGTTAAACTCTCCACATCCTCACAGCATCAGAAAAAGTAAGGTGCAGAGAATGGCCGGCTGGGCTCTTCGATGTCCCCCAAGGGTGGTGAGTCAGGAAACAGGAGGCGTGAGTTCCTGAGGGAAGTTCTGAGTTCTGGAGCCTGGGGTACATGATCCTCACCCTCCTCTTCTATCTGCCTCCTGACTCCTGGTGTCAAGTGGAAGACTTCCAGGAGTTCCTTCTCATCATCCTCATCGCTGCATTCTGAGCCCTCACTGCTGATCACTGCACAGCAATACAAAACCCCGTGGGGCTCTCAGAGAACGGCCTCAAAGCTGACTCAACTGGAACCCCAGAATGCAGACAGCAGGAAGATCCAGAAGCTTGGGTAATGCTTAGGTAGCAATGCCCCTGCCGTAGCTGGTCCCTCCAGAGGGTTTTACTCGATGCTGACTTTGAGGGACAGCCCCCTGGCTGTGGCTGTCTCAAAGCCTTGCCTGTCATCTCCATCTTCGTACTCTCCTGTCCCGCTTCCTGCTGTCTCTACCCATTTCTCTGCCCCCGCTGGCTCCTCCCTCTGCCTTCTCTCACTCTGTGATCTACAGCTTCCTGCTGTCTCTACCCATTTCTCTGCCCCTGCTGGCTCCACCCTCTGCCTTCTCTCACTCTGTGGATCTACAGCGCTTTCTGCTTCTGCCTGTTTTGTCTCCTCCCCGACCCTTACTACCCAAACACTCCTGGCTTCCTTGTCGAACATATTCCTTGTGACTATTCCCTCCCAGATCTCTTAAAAATTCCCCATTTCCTGCCTAATTTCCTAGTTAAAGGAGTGTCAGAGCCCATGGCTCCCTGCATCTATCTGGGGCTCCTAGAGCTACCGAGCTGGACTCTGATCACACGCTCAGCCAGTCACCTCCACTGTGGCTTAGAAGGGTCACCCATCACCACAGGCATCTTAAGTTATCCTTACCAATGATTTCATCTTGGTTCTGCACTGTCCCAGGTTTCTGTAGGTTTTCTTGTTTCACAAAACAAGGTCCTGTCCAGTTTTCATGTGTGTGTAGGTTTGTCCCTGAAAAAGAAGAGAATATTACTTGAAGAATTCTCATCCACTCCCTTGAAAAAGCTTCATGGAATCCTGTTCTCTCTCCCGACACTTGACTACTGAGCACAAGCATAGTGCTGAACTTTTACCACCTTAGCCAAGGGTGGTGACTCACACCTGTCATCACAGCACTTGGGAGGTTGAGACAGGAGGGTCAATCATGAGCTCAAGGTCAACATGGCTACACAGAAGACCTGGTGGGGGCGGGGGGGGGGGGGGAGGGAGGGAAGGAGGGACCTTCACACTTAGTTCTCAACCTGACCCTACAGTACACCTTTCTTTGGTCCTCAGGTTCTTGCTGGTGCCATCTTTTTCTGTTTTCTCTTTTCCCTATTACTATCATTTACCAACCGATAACTATCTCAGCTAAAGTTTATATTCCTAACATAATTAACTTAATTTTTAACTCTATTAAGACCTGAAGTTCTCCTGCCTGGTGTGGTGGTGCACGCCTTTAATCCCAGCACTCAGGGGGGCAGAAGCAGGCAGATCTCTGAGTTCGAGGCCAGCCTGGTCTACAGAGTGAGTTCCAGGACAGCCAGGACTACACAGAGAAACCCTGTCTTGAAAACAAACAAACAAGACCTGAAGCTCTCAACTTAATTCTTAGGACTATCCCAACCTCAGGTTCTGTATCCAAAGACTCAACTAACCACAATCAGAAACACTTGGAAAAATGTTTTACATCTGTACTGAGCATGAACACATTTACTTCTTGTCACTGTCCCCTAAACAATGGAACAAGGCAGCTATTCATATTACATTTGTATTATATAGTGTCAGCAATCTAGAAATGATGAAAGTAAACAAGAGAATTGTGTAGGTTACATTAAAGATTTGAACATCTGTGGGTTTGGGTACCTATCTGCATAAATGTAGTTCTGTTTTTGTTATTTTCAACTTTTGTTAATTTTGTATTATGTGCATGCTTGCATGCGTGTGCGGGTGCATGCTTGTGTGTTTGCATGCATGCTTACTTGCTTGTGTGCTTGAGTGTGTGAGTGTGTGCTTGAGTACTTGTGTGAACGCATGTGGAGGTCAGAGGACAACCCTCAGGAACCAGTCCTCAATTTTCACCATGTGGGTTTCAGGGATTGAACCCAGGTCACCAGCATGATGGCAGGTGCCTTTTCCTGGTATGCCATCTTGCTGGCCCTGAAGTTTTCCACATAAACACCAGGATTATCACAGCACCAAAATGCATGTCCACTGTTCCAGGTACAGAAATAGTGCTGTTATGTGACAGACCTTATGTTACACTCAGGTCAGGTCATGTTCACAGAGCAGGGTAACTGATGGGTCCTGGATGCTGAAGGGAAAGAAGGACTCAAAAGGACTCCTGGGCCTCCTGCTCGAAGCCCTGGGCATGTGTCCACCTTAGCAAAGAGGATCTTCGGCAAAGAAGGAAGAGAAGTTGAAGGGAGGGAGGTTTGTGAAGAAGAGGCTGTGCTCAGTTTGATGCACTACACTTGAGATTCCTGAGCTGAGAAGGCAGGTCTGTGCTCCCCGAAAGAGGCTATAGGAAAATCCACCTCAAGTCAGAAAGGAGGCTGGCCCCCGTCCTCACGCCACAGGGCCATGCCAGCAGCTGGTTGCAGGGGTTGCCTTGGCAACTGAATAAGTTGTCTAAGCTGAGAGGTTGTGAAGGCAGCTGTTCAAGTGGCTGCAGCAGCTGGCCACTCAATCTGGGCTGAAGCGGGGCATCCAGAGTGGCAGCTGGAGTGGCAGAATCCGAGGATGGAAGTTAATGGTTGTTATGGCAACAGGGTTGCCCCAGCAGCCACAGAGAGGCTGGAGCAGATGCAGCTGCCAGGATGACGGCCCTGCCAGGTACAGGGTCGGCAGTGATGATGCCTGGCCCTGAATCCTGCTCATAGGCTGGGCTATCATGGCTGTTTAGGCTCCCTGCAGGGTGGTGCTGGTTGCTGTCGGTCAAAGTTATGGCTCCAGCTTCCCCACCCCAAGTAGTTTCAGCACCACACATAAAAACATCCTGTATTCGAGAAACAGAGGTAATCAGGAACCACACACACACACACACACACACACACACACACACATACACACACACACACACATACACACACACACACACATATACACACACACACATACACACATACACACACACACCACACACACACACACACATACACACACACACACATACACACATACACACACACACACCACACACACACACACACACACACACACACATACACACACACACACATACACACACACACACATACACACACACATACACACACACACACATATACACACACACACATACACACACACACACACATACACACACACATACACACACACACACACACACACATACACACACACACACACACACACACACACACACACACACACACACACTGGGGAAAGGCTGGGCTTCTCCTGTTCTGTCACACCCACAGAGCCCCTCCCCTCTTCTACTGTGATCTTTCTTACTTGTGAGTCTGAGGATCATCCACACTTTCATGCTTCAGTGGTGACTTCAATCACCCAGGATAAAGAGAACCTCCATACCAATGCCTGCCAAGCTGGAAAAGCAAGGCCGGACTCCCCTCTGTAACTCCCTACTTGATGGTTCATCTATGTTTTCTATCCTCATCCTCTACGTGGGTCCCTTCCCTTCCCTCCAGGCAGGATGAGAGTGGCAAGCAGACAACAGCAAGCAAGGCCTACAAGGGACCAGATTTAAGGGCTTCTAGCCAGATACTGGGCTTCTAGCATCTCCCAGGCCTCAACTAACTTGCCTCCCTCATATCTTAGGATGCGGCTAGAAGCTCAGGTGTGTGAAACAGGCAAGGGGTGAGTGAGGGGAAAACAAGTATCTCCTCCCTCCACATAATGGTCTAATACACAAGCCGTCTAGAATGTGAGATCTGGGCTTGTGTGATTGCCCAGGGAGTAACTCACTTGCTGCACAAGCCTGCTTGTGAGTTGAGTCAAATCCCTGGAACCCACTGGAAAAGAGAACGGCGCTCTGCAAGCTGTCATCTGACCTCCACACACACGCGCTATACTAACATGTACCCCCCCACACACATCGTCCACACAGACAATAATAAAAATAACGAAGTAATTTGTAAAAGTGAAAATCATCCCAACCCAAGCCGTGTCCCTCATGTGGATGTAGGGAGGGGGTCTGTCTAACTTGCCCTCCTTTTAGAGTTGGGGAGCATTAGGTTTACTGGGAACTGAAGAGGCAGAAAAGGGTCCCAGGAGCCATGGCTGGGAAAATGTGACCATCCTGAGCTCGGGTGTTTGAAGATACAGTGAGCTGCAGCTCAGGAGAAAATTCTGCCCTCCAAGGACCCTCACTCTCCTCCAGTAAGCCCTGCTCACCTCCCTGTCTTGGTACTCTTCCTGTCTCCCCAGCTTCCTCTGGGGTTCCATCTACAGGCACTGTGGCTTCTCCCACAAGGAGGTGGTGGTGCACTTTGGCTTCATCAGCTTCTAGAGTCATCCCCATTCCTGTCTCTCCTTCCCCTCCAGTGGGACTTTCCAGGTTATTCATCACTGTCTGTTTCTCCTTCACTGCTGTATCCCAGCCTCTGTTTCTATGATTGTCCTCGCCAGAGAAACTATCAGATACGACATTTCCTTATGTCATTGTCCCCTTGCTGCAGACATTGGTCCATTCTGCTGTGATTGGAGCTTTGTCTTTAAACACTGAGCATATGGAACAGCAAAGACACCTCCACTGCTCTTGGATATGTGGCAGATACCTGCCACCCGTCACCCATGCACATACCAGACTGTCCCAGCCTCACCTGCTTGGGCGCGTTCACAGTTGGTTAGATGAGACTCACGCGGATGGAAAACCGAATGGTCTTTATTCGTGTGCTTTGACCTCGCGTCCCATGCAGACTCTGACAATCTTTTTCTACTTCCAGATTGGATGGCCCCTAGACAACAATGTACTTTTATTAACATGACACTGTGACATTATGAATAAGAACCTGAAATGTGGTGGTAGAGAGATGCCCCAGGAGTTAAGAGCATTGACTGCTCTTCCAGAAGACCTGGGTGTAGCTAGAGTTTTCCCGCCTGGCCCACAGTCAGGACAAATCTCTCTCACCTGCCAGTCCCACAACTGCTCAGACCCAACCAAGTAAACACAGAGACTTATATTGGTTACAAACTGTATGGCTGTGGCAGGCTTCTTGCTAACTGTTCTTACAACTTAAATTAATCCATTTCTATAAATCTATACCTTGCCACGTGGCTCGTGGCTTACTGGCATCTTCACATGCTGTTTCTCATTGTGGCGGCTGGCAGTGTCTCCCTGACTCAGCCTTCCACTTCCCAGCTTTATTCTCCTCCTTGTCCTGCCTACACTTCCTGCCTAGCCAATGGCCAATCAGTGTTTTATTTATTGACTAATCAGCAACACATTTGCCATACAGAACATCCCACAGCACCTGGGTTCAGTTCTAAGCACCCACAGAGTAGCTAACAACCACCTGTAACTCCAGTTACGGAGATTTGAAGCTACCTTCTGGCCTTAAGGATTCTGCATGCACATGATGCACAAACGTATATGCAAGCAAAACACCAATACATATAAACATGAATATATAAATAAAATAACCTGCAGTTTTTAGTTAAGTGCATTAATGAATTAAACAGACAGGTACAGAAACCCTCCCAAGCAATCCAGAGGACAAAGGCTCTGGCGTTTAAACCCTGAACTTGGAGAAATGACAGGTGCACGCTGGACAGTCAGTAACACAAGCAGATGGTCCAAAGCACATGATGAAATGAGACAAGACCTCAGCAGGCAGAGAGTCAACAAGAACAGACCATCAGATGAGGAGGGATCTGAGGGTGTCCAGGTCAGACTTCCTTGAGAACAGCCATCACCAGCTCCTATGAAGCAAAAAATAGATGTTTATTTCAGAAGTGAAGTAGGGGGTCTCTTCTGTCTTTATAATGCAAAGGCCCCTTGAAGCATCAATTCAGAGCTCATCTGGAGATGACAAGTTCCCCCTGATTCTTGAGGTCAGACTCAGGTCATGAGAGTAGGGTGCAAGGCTCACCCCTGGCTGAGAAGAGCCCTCCCTGGGCCACTCTACACCAATCTTGGGTAGCAACTCAAGTGCTGAATCCACAGCAGTCAAAGACAGACACTAATCCAAGTGAGCTGTCAGCAACTGGTACCTTTCATTTATATGTCTTTTGTCCTTTCTGTTCTGCCTCTCATTCCCACTTCCCTCTTCCTGTTTGTGACTCTCCAAGTATCCATGCACTGTTCTTGTATTTCTACTACTTCTTCTCAATCTCTCCATGTCTATATTTCCCTACTCTTGAACACTAGTCCCAGATTCTTATTTATTGATCACTTTTGCTATCAGCAAATGTCTCTTCTTCATTGCTGTTCAATGTAGACCACAGTTCTGAGCCCCTCACAGCTCTCCACCAAAGAACTCTTTCTTAGAATCCACATTCAGGTGCCTAGTAACATCAGATACACTCGATATGACTGAGCAGAATGTGTCTCAACCACATCCTAACGATGTTAGGGTCAGGTCATTTGTAACTTCACAAAGCTCCAACGGGGCTGGAGTGATGGCTCAGTGGTTAGAAGCACTGGCTGCTCTTGTAGGGGGCCCAGGTTTGGGTCCCAGGTTTGGGTCCCAGCATCCACATGGTAGCTCACAACTGTCTGTAACTCCAGTTGCAGGGAGCTGACCCCCGTGGGCACCAGGCATGCACCCCATGCACGGACATGTGAGCAAAAACACTCATATACATGAAATAAAATAAATAAGTCTTTTTTTTGGTGGTGGTGGGGGTACAGTTTCAAGATAGGATTTCTTTGTATAGCCCCAGCTGTCCTGGCACTCACTCTGTAGACCAGACTGACCTTGAACTCACAGATATCTGCCTGCCTCTGCCACCTGAGTGCTGGAATTAAAGCCATGACACTACCACCCAACTTCTTTTTTATTTTTTTATTTTTTTTTCCCGAGACAGGATTTCTCTGTGGAGCTTTGGTGCCTGTCCTGGATCTTACTCTGTAGATCAGGCTGACCTCGAACTCACAGAGATCCACCTAGCTCTGCCTCCCAAGTGCTGGGATTAAAGGCGTGCGCCACTACCACCTGGCTACTGCTTCTTCTTCTTCTTCTTCTTCTTCTTCTTCTTCTTCTTCTTCTTCTTCTTCTTCTTCTTCTTCTTCTTCTTCTTCGTAGCACTCATCTACCTTTTCTATTCCTTGGGAGTTCTCTGCAGAGCACCACCCACCCATCCCCCACTCTCACTACTCACCCCACCACCCGAGGAGCTCAGTTCCATGTCTCCTTTTCCTCTTAGCTAACCAAAATTCCACTTGGTTCTAAGTACCTTGCTCATAGCGTGGCTGTATGGTGGCAAGTTTCTGGTCTTGTTTACTTCTCTGGGATAAATATTTTTCCTCTAGCTCTGAGCAGAGGGAGAAAATCACTAGTCCCTGTAGACAAGTGACAAATCTCAACCTCGTGGACAGTGGGGTTGAGCGGGAACAATCACACAGATGAAACAGCTGTGAGTTACCGTGTGTCAGTGGGAACTTCTAGCACCTGGGTCGCTCTGGATATCAACCACTTATGTCTAGATATTGTTTTTCCCTTCCTACAAGGCAACCAAGAGAAGAAAAGTGGAACCCTATAGACTAGTGGTTCTCAACCTGTGGGTCATGACCCCCTCAGGGGGTTGAATGACCCTTTTGAAGGAATCACCTAAGGCCATTGGAAACCACAGGTATTTACATTACTACTCACAACAATAGCAAAATTACAGTTAAGAAGTAGCAATGAAATAATTTTATGGTTGGGGGTCACTGTATTAAAGGGTTGCAGCATTAGGAAGATTGAGAACCACTGCTATAAACAATGAACCTCTTGCAGTTTTGTTTTTGATATTTTTAGATTTATTTTGTTTTCAAGTTATGTGCATGTCTGTGCATCTTCTTGTCAGTGTGTGTTCGTGAGTATAGGTGCTACAGAGGCCAAAAGAGGGTATTGGATCCCCTGAAGCTAGAGTTACAGGTGGTTGTGAGCTACCCAGTGTAGATGCTAGGACCAAACTCAGGTCCTCTGCAAGAATAGCAGATGCTCTTAATTGCTGAGCCATCTCTCCAACTCTTCTCACAGGTTCTAAGGATGATGGCACAAGGGAAAAATCATTAAAAAATTAAGTAATTAATTGCTTAATTAAGTGTAGTGGAAGCTTACTTCAGTTCCAACAGAAGGAGTGCTCCTGTGGGCTAGACAGACCTCAGGGAAGAACAGGGGTTCCCTCCGGAGTAGCGTGAATAAGGTCATAGAAAGACCCATATATTATAAAATCTATAATATATATTTTAATCCCAAGAGCTTCAAAGATGGGGCTAGCAAAAAGGAGAGTCTGAGCTTCCTTGGGAGAAGAAAGATGAGCAGAGAGCAAAGGAATCCCCAGGGGCAGCCCAGGCCCAAGCACTAAGGGCTCTGAGAGCTAATGGGGAGGAAGACAATTGCCCTGAAGGAAACTCCAAGACTTCACGAGAAGACCCTGAGAGACTGCCCACAGATGAGACAGAGTGCACTGCCCAGTTTAGGCAGTGGGACACAGAAAGCAATTTAGCTGTACTGATTAAATGAATGGAAATAGAGTTGTCGTATCTAAATGGGACATTTATCTCAATCCCTTACCCTAAGGCTCAGGGAACATTGAAGGGGGAGGGAGAAACAATGCAAGAGCTGGAGGATAGGGAGGAGTGTGGTGAACCTCTGTCTTCTGGACATGATATAACTGCCGAAATCATGAACACATAGCAGCTGTGATACCTGTACAAGATCTGCACAAGAACAAGCCAATCAGCACTTCAGCACTGATGGGGAGGGACTCATGAGGCTCCACCCACAGCTGAGCTACTACTGGCAGCTCACAGTTGCTGGGAGCGTCATTTTCCTTTGGGGGTATGGCTACTGATAAGTTGTTCATACTTCACTGGATGCCCCACACCTATGCACACATGGGCAGCACTGATTGGATTCAGTAGGTTATGAGGAGGAGAAGGAAGAGAAAAAAGATGAAGACAAAGATGATAAGGAAGAACGTGAAAGCGTAGGGGACATGTTGGGAGGGTTGTGGGGTACTTGATGGGGTCTGGCTCAATAAGATCTAGATACTCTCTCTGTACATGTACGAGGTTGTCAAAGGATAAGCAAAATACATTTTTAAAGATAGAATGTCACTGCAAAAGGGAGATGAGAGAAGGAATTACCAGTTTCCAAGCTTTTATGAATCTCTCTTAAACCAGGATATGCATTCAGGTTCGTTCTGTTGAACAGAGTGCATAGAAATGACCAGCCAGATAACTTCTCCAAGTGATCGAGGACATTGTACACCACGTTCTCTACAGGAACCAAGTTCCTGCAGGCTTCATAAGAATCCTGTTAAAAAGTTCAACAGAGAGAGTATCAAAGCACAGTTTCCTCTGACACAGTAGACATCATAATGAAATACTGTCCTGGGGCCTGTGGGTTCCAGTTTCTCCGGGAAATTCCAGGCTGGCAGTCTTGTGGCCAGTCCAGAGAAGACTTGTTTTTCAGTTCTCATAACTTGCACTCCCCACTAAATCTACATATGAATATTTCCTGGCTTCTGTTTTAATAAATCAATCCATTTTCTTCCACCAATTCCTTTCTCTCGGTTTTCCTAAAAGCGCTAATTGACAGACCTTAGATCCGGTGACAGTTGTGTGCTAGCTGTTTCATTATCTTAATCTAGCTTCGCTGTAAGTCACTAGTCACGATCCGTCAGTGGGCCTTCACCATTTCTTCTTTCTTTCACTTTTGTGTGTGTGTGTGTGTGTGTGTGTGTGTGTGTGTGTGTATGGGGGGTGGTATGGGGGTGGCACAGAGGGGTACTAAATGTGGGGGTGGTTATGAGAGCTCGGCAAATGCTAGGCAGTCTGCACCCCCAGACCTGCTGCAGTTCAGCCACACTGCCTTATCATTCACCCACTCCCACAACTGCCTGGGAAGAGAAGGTTTCCAGTTAGGAGCAGAAGTGTCTTGTTACCTTCTACATGATAGGACAATTAACAAAGATAAAACACACAAGGCTTTTTAGCCAGCTAGAGAAGTCTAGCATTCGGGATGCCAAACGCGGGTTAATGTGGGGCGGGGTTTCCACAGAGTGATGAATACATGTCACTTACAGCATAGACTTTGTCGGTGATGAAGGAATGGTCCTTTAGGCTTTCTAAGAAAGGAAACAGCTTGGGGATTGCATGGGCTATCTCTGTTTTATTTTCCTTGAAGTAATCGGAAAGTACCTCATTAAAACTTTTCTCTTTCTGGATCACTGCAAGCATGCTAAGGCAGGGAGGAGAGAACACAGTGAGAAAATAAACACAAGAATTCCCCGGCACGTTTCCCAGCCTCCCCCAACCAGCGAGATCCAAGCCCAAATGACTTTTGATGTACAGTTTCAAAAAACTTACATAAACGCTGCCAGTGAACAAAGAAAAAGAAACACTTGTCAACTTGCTACAGAAGGACAGAAAAGTCTTGACACTCTAATTTAAAAAGATAGACAGAAGTGAAAAGTTACAAGTCAGCCTCTTTTGAGGATACAAACTAGGAAACACCAACAAAACAGACCAGAAGCATTCACAAGGAGGACCTCTTCCAGCAATGCAAGAATTATTTAACATTTAACAGTCAAGGACTATGGGGCTGGAGAGATGGCTCAGTGCTTAAAAGCACTGTCTGCTTTCCAGAGGTCCCCGGTTCAATTCCCAGCATCCACATGGCAGCTCACAACTGTCTCTAACTCCAGCTCCAGGGGATTCGACACCCTCACACATACATACAGGCAAAACACCGATGCACATAAAATAAAAATTAAAAAATCATTTAAGAAAGGAAGGGAGGAAGGAAGAAAGAGAGAGAGAGAGTCAAGAACTATATCATCACACTGACAGAAATAATGGTGAAAAAAACATGTTAACTTCAAAAGGTCCAAAAAAGGCAGTTGACAAAATTAAACATTTGTTCATAATTTTAACTCTCAGAAAACTAAGAATTAGAAAGTATATTGATTAATTTAAGGAAGTATGTAGGCATGCCTACAAACAAAACCCCGTGACAAGCGTACTTCTGCAAGCCGTAGGAAAACGTAATGGAATTCAGCTACTATCACAAAAGCTACTACTTGGAAAGGTCAAGGACTTTTCCAAAGGTCAAGCCATGGCTTAAGAAGTCTTGGTGATATTTTAGCTTTTGTATATATATTAGCCAATTCCTGCAATGATTTCCTTGCATACTATGTATGTTTCCAAGAACTCCTAATAGTGTATTTTATCTGAAATACCTATCAAGCATCCACGCCAAACGATCTCCTGAATTAAGGTAAATTAACTTCAGACCCTCCTTTCTTATACAACTTTAGTGGTATTTATACTAACTTTATAGACTCCTAACATTTCCCTAACCACCTCTAGGAATGTAGTTTGAGCACATGAATTCCCTTTTTCTGATATACTAACTGATATCAGCTCTCAGTTGACCTCCTCCTTTACCACTCCTCTTTTGGGTTGTAAAAGAAAGCCTGACAGTCACTGCCTGAGGAAAACTCTTAGACAAGAGTGTTTATGACCCTGTAAGAACTCAAGCCTGGTGACGTTATGTAGCTAGAGCACTGCCATTGAATGGGTCTATAACTGTAACCTCAGAGATCTGAGGAGGATTTGGAGTGGAGAGAATTTGGACTAGAGAACTAGAAGAATGAGATGGAAGATGAGGAAGAGCCAGATGAGTAAGAACGAGATGAGAAAGACCAGGATGGGGCAGAACTAAGATGAGAGAATTAAGGTAGAATTTAGAGGGGACAGCAGATAAATGTAGAGAGAAATCAGGCAAGAAAGGAGCCAGGCATGAGAGCAGAACTGAAGCTATGTAGACAGAATTTTATTCCAGAGGAATAAAGTAGACAGACGAAAGAGCTCTGTGTACTTAGATTCTTTCCCTGAAAATAATTCATGCCATTCATAGCTTCTCTTCTGGGCCTCTGGGGAGAAGATTTTTAAGACTGGTCCTGAATAATATTCGAGACATTACACTTGCGGACAAGCTATTAAATATTTTCCCATTCAAGCTGAGTACAAGACAAAGATATCCACTGTCACCATTTCCACTTGACATGTATTGGAAATCCTAGTCAATACAATAGGTAAGAAAAAGAAATTAAAAAAAAAAACTTAAAAAGAAATAAGTTTCCAGGAGGTGTCAGTGCATGCCTATAATCACAGCACTCAGGAGGCAGAGGCAGGTGGATCTCTGTGAGTTTGAGGCCAGTTCCAGGGCACTCAGAACTGCATAAGAGAAACGCTATCTCAAAAGAAAAGAAAATGTCCCCCAATATTATTAAACATAGAAGTCAGGCAATGGTAGCACATGCCTTTAATCCTATCACTCAGGAGGCAGGGATCTGTCTGGATCTCTGTGGGTTCAAGGCCACACTGGGAATAGAGTCAGATGTGGCGGCACACGCCTTAAATTCCAACACTAGTTAACCATAAAGGTCTAGAGGTCTGTAGAGACAGACAGGAAGTGACAGAGCTAGGCAGGAAGAGGAAGTGATGCAGCTGGGCAGAGAGAAGAAATGAGTTAGCAGAACAGAAAGGAATATAGGCGTGGGCATACAGGAGTAGGTCTCTCTGGAAGCTGAGGGTTGGTGAGGTTGGCTGTGGCTGTCCTATTCCTCTGATCTTTCAGAATTTACCCCAATATCTGGCTCCAGTTTTTCATTAATAAGACTGTTTAGCAATTCGTGTTACAGGAAGAAGATGAGAAGAAGAGAAAGAAAGGAAGGAAGGAAGAAAGAAAGAAAAAAGGAAAAACTATATCTACCATTATTTTCAGGTGATTGAATACTTAGAAAAGCTAAAATAATTTGTAAACAAACTATTAGACTTAATTAGTAACTTCAGCACAGTATCTGGATTCAATGTCAATATGCTAAGATTCATTGCATCTCTAAATACTAGCAAATAAAAAGTTGAAATAAAAATAGAAAAGCCATTTCCAGCAGTATAAAAAAGCCATTACCAGGTTGAGCTGAATCCCCAGGGAGTCCTTGCCCTGGAGGAGATGGGAATTCGGGGGTGGGCTGCAGGGAGTGGAGGGGCTGGGAGAGGGAAGGGCAGGGGAATCCGTGGCTGATATGTAAAATTAAATCAAATTATAAAATAATAAAAAAAATTTTTTAAAAAAAAAGCCATCACCAAAGAAGATAAATCTATCAAAAAATTAGTGATAATATGAAATGAAAATCACAAGCCAGGCAGGGTGGGACACACATGTAATCCTTGTGTTGGGAGCCTGAGGCAGAGGAACCAGGAGTTCAAGGCCAGCATGGGCTACACAACAAGACCCTGTCTTGCTTTGTTTTATTCTGTTTTTAAGACTTTTTAAAATTTATGAATGATAGTGAAAATATAGATGTTCCAATGGAATTTCACTGAGCTATAAAGAAAGATGGAACTATACGATTTGCGGGGAAGTGGATGGAAATGGAAAATAATATATGAAGTGAGGTAACTCGGGCTTGGAAAGACAAATGCCGCATGTTCTCATTCAGATTGGATCCTGGTTTCTAACATTCATATGTGTGCTTTCATGTGGGAGTGACTACGTGCCCAGGAAGGTGTAGAAACCGGGAGAGAGGGAAATAAGCTTACGGTGTGTTGGGTGTCTGGGGGGGATCCTGGGGCTGGAAAAGTGTAAGTGGAGAAGGGTGGGGGGATGGAGAGAGGAGAAGGGGAGAGGGAGAATCAACTAATACTATGTATGGAAGAACAATAAGGAAATCTAATCCTTGTTAAGCGAATAAAGATTAAATTAAAACGAAAGTTTGAATAGTGCACTCTGTGTGGGTGGATCAGGTGCTTCCAGAAGCCATAGGTTATTAAACAAAAATCTCAGTGCCGATTGGCTACCTTCCTATGACTCTTTAGTCAGGGAGGCCTCTGAGACCTTCAAAACAATGCAGGCAATTGCCAATCTCGTTGTTTTCCCACCAGAACTAGATGGTAAAATCTTCCTACTGAAGGGTCTTAGAGAATCCAAACTGAACCTGGGCCAGAAACTTCCTCCCTGTTGGCTGACACTCACAGTTCAAGAAGGTGCTATGCAGGTTACTGAGGGAGAATTGTCATCAAAGCTAGTGGTTGTCCTGTGTGCAACAATTCTGACCCTCCAGGTTAGAGCAGCACACTGGTTTGATAGTAGAAGTCTGTTCTAAGAGTACCCTAGTTCGCTCTTCGCCGCCGTCGCCGCCGCTGTCCCTCTCCCGGCCGGTGGCTGCCGCTGCCGCTGCCGCTGCCTCTAGGGGCCGCGAGCCGAGCGGAGGCCGTCGCGGAGCACGAGCCCCGCCGTCCCGCCGGCCGCCGCAGGCCCCGGGCGGGCTCGGCGGGCGCCCCCCGCGCCCCCCGGCCCGAGCGTCCGTCCGCCCGCCCGCCCCCGCGGGCCCGGCCTGGCGCGGACGCCCGCCGCCGCCGCGCTCCTCCTCCTGCTCGGGCGGCCCGCGCCCCGCCGCCTCCCGCGCCTGCCGCCCTTGGCGCCCCGCGGCGCCCCCCGTCCCGCCCGCCATGCCCGGCCCGGCCGCGGGCAGTCGGGCCCGGGTCTACGCCGAGGTGAACAGCCTGAGGAGCCGCGAGTACTGGGACTACGAAGCCCACGTCCCGAGCTGGGGTAATCAAGATGATTACCAACTGGTTCGAAAACTTGGTCGGGGCAAGTATAGTGAAGTATTTGAGGCCATTAACATCACCAACAATGAGAGGGTGGTTGTAAAAATTCTCAAGCCAGTGAAGAAAAAGAAGATAAAACGAGAGGTTAAGATTCTGGAGAACCTTCGTGGTGGAACAAATATCATTAAGCTGATTGACACTGTAAAGGACCCTGTGTCAAAGACACCAGCTTTGGTATTTGAATATATCAATAATACAGATTTTAAGCAACTCTACCAGATCCTGACTGACTTTGATATCCGGTTTTATATGTATGAACTACTTAAAGCTCTGGATTACTGCCACAGCAAGAGAATCATGCACAGGGATGTGAAACCTCACAATGTCATGATAGATCACCAACAGAAAAAGCTCCGACTGATTGATTGGGGTCTGGCGGAGTTCTATCATCCTGCTCAGGAGTACAATGTTCGAGTGGCCTCGAGGTACTTCAAGGGACCAGAGCTCCTTGTGGACTATCAGATGTATGATTACAGCTTGGACATGTGGAGCTTGGGCTGTATGTTAGCAAGCATGATATTCCGAAAGGAGCCGTTCTTCCATGGGCAGGACAACTATGACCAGCTTGTTCGAATTGCCAAGGTTCTGGGGACAGATGAACTGTATGGGTATCTGAAGAAGTACCACATAGACCTAGATCCGCACTTCAATGATATCTTGGGACAACATTCACGAAAGCGCTGGGAAAACTTTATCCATAGTGAGAATAGACACCTTGTCAGCCCCGAGGCCCTAGATCTTCTTGACAAGCTCCTGCGGTACGACCATCAACAGAGACTGACTGCCAAAGAGGCCATGGAACACCCGTACTTCTACCCTGTGGTGAAGGAGCAGTCCCAGCCTTGTGCAGAGAACACCGTGCTTTCCAGTGGTCTCACCGCAGCACGATGAAGCCTGGGGAATCGACGGTAATGCGGCACTGATGCTTGCCAATAAAACCAACCAACCAAACAAAAACTTGAAGGAAACTACAGTGTGATAAAAAGAAATTCTAATCATTCCTTCTAAAGGCAAAGAAAAGTAAAGACCTAAAGTCTGTCAAAAGCAAGAAACTCCCCGTACTAGTCTGCAGGGAACTGCGCTGTGCAGTGTGGCAGTGCGCATAGTTCAGGATCGGAAGGGACTCTCCCTTTGGAATGCATGGGAGATGAGAAGCTCGGAGTTGTTGTACGTGTACCTGCGTTTAACAGGATACCACTGTTGAATTAACCCGTTCGGTCAACAAGCTCTGAATATCTGACTTCCTATCTATTCCATTGTGGTCTGGTTTTCTTCTGTGAGAATTCAGGCTCAAGTTTTAGCAAAAGTCAGCAGTCTATTCTGACACACCAGCCTCATTTACAAAAAAAAAAGAAAAAAGAAAAAGGAAAAAAAAAAGATTAAAACAGTGACAGTATTTTTTTAAGCTCTTTTACAAATTCATGTGTTATGTATTTTTTTATGACATGAGCTCTCCAGGAAATGTACCTCATTCCTGCAGTTTTCTTCTAAGTATATTCATTTGGAAGCAAACTGCAGTTGCTCTCACCACATCCTCTGTAGTGTCAGAAGATGGCACTGTAAATCTTGAGATGCCATGAACAGGTCCCGGGCTCATGAATAGTTCCATGCTGTGTGCATAACTTGGGGCTCACCTTTATTGATTTGCCTAACTATTGAATCTTGTTGCTTTTTTTAGGTTTATTTTGTTTTGTTTTTTTTAAATCCCTGCCTTATAAGGAAAAACCTCACCATTTCTCAGCACATCTTTGTGTGAGCACCTGCTTTAATATACCACTTGAAAACAAAGACTATTTTTGTTCACAACCATAGCTGCAGCTGGAAAGTTGACTTCAGGCAGGTCAAAGAGGGAGGGAATTGTTCTATTAGGATTTATTCAGGAAAGCCCTCACATGTGCAGAAGGCATACCCGCCATCATCCCTCTTTTTAACCCCATGACAAGCAGGTCTGGCTGCACTCGGGCTGATGGGCATTTACAGCTCTGAAGGGTCATACATGAATGTGATGGCAGAGAAGTCTCTGGCATGGAGGCACTGGCTTGTGGGCAAGGCTGTCCTGTGACTCCTGCAGCTGACTGGAGAGGGATGCCCAGGGCTTGGGGGAGGAAGTGGGGCTCCTGGAGCAAGTGTCAAAGCTTTATCCATCCACTGTGCTGACCTTTGTGTGAGCAAAGAGCTAGATTTTGTTGGGGTTTTTTTTTTTTTTTTTTTTTTTTTTGCTTTTTTTTTTTTTTTGGTTTTTCGAGACAGGGTTTCTCTGTGTAGCTTTGCGCCTGTCCTGGAACTCACTCTGTAGCCCAGGCTGGCCTCGAACTCACAGAGATCCGCCTGGCTCTGCCTCCCGAGTGCTGGGATTAAAGGCGTGCGCCACCACCGCCCGGCTGTTGGGGGTTTTTTGTTTTTGTTTTTTATAGGGCTGATTTCATTTGGGGGACTGGTCACTGACGTGGTTTGCCAACCAGTCCCCTCTCCTTGTCTGCAGAGCCATGCCTCAGCTCTGGGGACCTAACATGCTTGGGGTATCTACCACATTACACTTAGGGTTTCTTCATTAACTATTTAATAATGCCATACATTTTTATAAGGTTAGATTGTTTGTTTGAAACATCTGTTTACATTCCAAATTCCAATAAACTTGTATTGGTATTGGTAGCAGGTCCATCTCTAAATGCAGATTCTATTTTGTCGTTTGGTCTGTGGGAACTTAAAAGGCAAATGTAACTCTTCTCTTGATAGTGTGGAGTTGAGTTGATAGGTTAAAAAGTAAGATCTTGGGCCAGTGATATAGCAGGTAAAGGCATTTGCTGCAAAGACTGATGACCAGAGTTCAGTCCCCGAAACCTACGTGGTGGGGGGGGAGAACCTACTCTCATGAGTTGTCCTCTTCCCACACGTGTGCTGTGGCATGTAAACACACACGACAATAAATAAAGTTTTTTTTAAAAAAAAAAGAGTACCCTAGTTCATTTTCTGTTCTGTGATACATGTCATGACCAAAACCAAGTCAGAGGAGGAAAGGGTTTGTTTAGTTTACACGTCAGGTCACAATACATCATTGAGGAAAGTCAGGACAAGAATTCCATCAGGATAGGAACTCCAGCAAGGAAGAAACTTGAAACAGAAATTATGGAGGAATGCTGCTTATTAGCTGGCTCCCTCTGCCTACTGCCATCAGCATTCTTATACAACCCAGGCCCACCTGCTTAGGAGCAGCACCGCCCACAGTGGACTCAGCCCTTCTACATCAATTAGCAACCAAGAAAATGACCCCAAAGACAAGCCCACAAACCAATCAGATTGAGGCAATTCCCCAGTTGAGGCTCCCTCAGATAACTCTGAACTGAGTTAAATTGACAGAGGAAGCTAACTAGCAGAAAGGGTAACTAACCACTTTCGGATTGGACTTGATGTCTGCTCCACAGGAGGGAATTTACGTCTAGTATTGTAGACTCAGCCAAAAGTTGATAGTGGGTATGGTAGTTTAAATGTAATAGGCCCCCACAGCCTCATAGGAAGTGGCACTGTTAGGAAATGTGGCCTTGTTGGAGGAAGTGTGTCACTGTGGGGGTGGGCTTGAGGTCTCCTTTGCTCAAGCTATGCTCAGTGTGACAGAGTTGCTTCCTGTTGCCTGCGGATCCAGATGTAGAACTCTCAGCTCCTTCTCCAGCACCATGTCTGCCTATGTGCTGCCATGTCCTGCCATGATTAAAATGGACTAAACCTCTGAACTGTAAGCCACCCAATTAAATGTTTCCTTTATAAGAGTTGCCGTGGTCATGGTGTCTCTTCACAGCAATAGAAACCCTGACTAAGACAGTGGGCCAGTGGGATGGCTCAGTGGGTAAAGACGTGACCACCTGAGTTTGATCCCTGGAATCGACATGGTGGAAGAAGAGAACCGATTCCCGTAAAGTTATCATCTGACCCCCACATTCACATCTCAGCATATGTGTGCCCCCCACCACTATAAATTTTAAAAAAATTGTTTTGTTTTGAGACAGGATTTCTCTGTGTAGCACTAGCTGTCCTGGAATTTGCTCTATAGGCCAGGCTAGCCTAGAACTCAGAGCTCCATCTGCCTCTGCCTCTTGAGTGCTAGGATTAAAGTGCTACCATGACCAGCTTTTTTTAAAGTTTCTTTAAAGCTTGTGGTAGTTGAGGTCATAGGCCCTTCAGGCTGTCCTAGGACCAGTGTCTTTTAAAGCCATTGAGCATCCCCCAGTGATTGAACTAATAGCCAAAGAGTTTATATACAAAAGGCACTTTACATGGGTGGAAAAAGAATAAAAATCCTAGTGCCAAGGATGAGCCACATCCCTGTGAGTTATTGGCTAGGAGAGTCTCTGAGGATCCTCAGTTCATATAGGCTATTGCTACTGCTGTTGGCTGTATAGCAAAACTAAACAGTTCTATTGTCGAAGACACCACATGTGCATGCTTCACTATAAGGCATGAGAAATTAAGCTGTGACTGAACCGGAAACTCCTACCCTGCTAGCTAGCTTTCACAGTGCCAGAGGGGCCAGGCAGGCTGCTAGTGGAGACCTGTCACCAACATTCCTGCTTGTTGATATACCGACTTTCCAGCAGGGTATACCTGATAGTGCAATAGTGGCTCAGTTATCATGGATAAGACCAACAGCCTTCCAATTGGATTTAAGGCCCATTCCACAAAAGGGAGTTCACATCTGGTACTGTAAGCCAGGACAAAAAGCTGCAGCTGAGGAAGTCATAGGCCCCAGTGGGGAAGCAACTACTGTGATTTTTCTAGATGGATGTGATGGACAGCCAACTGCCTTCTAAACGTGTGTTTACACCCATAGATCACTGTTGTTATCAACTTCAACTGATAACTACGGGTGAAGCTCCAGAGAACAAGTGTTACTGTGGCGTGGTGGCCTGCTTCTCAGCCCCAGATGGACATCTGTAGTCAAGTCCTCTAATGCTCAGGGATCATTGCAAGAGATGGGTGGAAAGAATGTAACTTAAGAGCTAAGGAAGGGGTGGAATGTTGTGTAGCAGTTTCCTCGGAGATTGAAACATTCCATCCTTCAGGGAAGCTCCTTAAGCAGGAAGGTAAACAGCTCAAAATAGCTTCAGGAAGTCCCTGAAACTGACCAGATTCTCTAGGCCCCTCCCTGCTAGAGTCAGCAATGAAAGCTGAGAGTCCGTCTCAGAAGAAGTGAAGCTGAGCTGCACAGAAGACTCGGAGAATAGAAGAAAAGAAGAGCGGCAAAGAATGGACTCTGAGACCAGAACAGCTGCCTGGAAGAAACAGAAGCCAGCTGAGCCACCTGGAAGAGGTGTAGACCAACTGAGGCACCAGGAAAGGACACTCTCCCGTGTTGAGCTGCCTGCAGGCTGTACAGTGTACTCCAGGTTCCTGGCTTTGTGAGCTGTTAGCCTTCTTGGGGTGGATTTGGTGATACAACTGTGTTTGAGTCATTTCGGCTCCTGTAAGTAACTCCTTACTTTCCTGTAAGTAACCCCAATAAAACTCACTGATTCACCAAGCTGGACTTTGGTGGTGTCCACATACTTTGGTCTGTCATGGATTCTGTGATGGTGAACGTTAGAGGCTAAACTTACAGTTCTAGGCTTGTAAAAAACAAAATTGTTTTTAGCGTTTATAAGCCATGATGAAGTCTCTCCTACCTTGACTGTAACCTGTCAGCTGGCCGAGGACGGGAGACTTCCTGGTGTAGTTGGGCTGTTCTTTTTGTTTTGTTTCAATTTGCTTTGTTTTTGCAGACAGGGTTTCTCTGTGTAGCCCCGACTTTCCTGGAACTCACTCTGTAGACCAGGCTGGCCTCGAACTCAGGCTTCTGCCTGCCTCTGTCTCCCGAGTGCTGGGATTAAAGGCGTGCGCCACCACCTCTCAGCTTGTTGCAAAGTATTTCACAGCCTCAGCTATTCCTACAAGGTAATATGTCACAAGATTAAATAGGCTAACTGCTAAGTTCTACTTCTGTATGAAACACTTGTTTCGACAGTTGACGCACCTCCTTGGATGTCTGTTACAAAATCAAACCTTGCCCACACCCAGATAGGTTATGAGTTGATTTGGCTCCCCAAAATTACAGCTTCATGGTTTTTGCCTTTACAATCCTCAGACTAACAATAACCAGGGCCTTACTCTGGTTTGGTCCTGGCCAGTTCCTTAATTTAAAAAAAAAACAAAAAACAAACACACCTCTACTTTACTAAAACCAAAACTTGAGTCAGACTGGTGAATCTCTTAATGACCCCAGACCCACAACGGATTCCCTGTCTGGGGTGAGTAGATGTGTGTGTTGTATCTCCCCAGGAAACACTTTGTCACACAAGAGCCCCACCCCGGATCAAGAATTGCAATTAAGAGCTGCTGAGAGAGGTTGAATCAGTCTTCTCCAGGGACTAGCCCCTGATAGGTCATCTGATCCCAAGTGGTCAGCCCTAAGCACATAGGAACAACACTAAACGGACTCAGCTGCTGTGTGTGTGTATACATACATATACATACATACATACAAAGGGCTCTAGTAGGGCGGAGCACGGCAAACATGGCTCTGGCAGGCCTTGCCCTTCCCCATTCCCTCCTTCTTACTAAACCATAGATTACAGTCCTAAAGCTAGCCCCCACAGTCTATTCCCTTATTTGGCCACTTCCTCCTCCAGAGGCTGACCACCCAGGTCCAGCTATCAAAGTTTTAAACTCCAGCAATCAAAAGACCCCTTTTGGCTACATGCCCAATCAAAACAAACCAACTCATCCTAACACAATGTTTCCCCTTTTCCATTTATAAACTACCATTTGCCTCTGACTCCTCTCTATCCAGAGGCAGTCCTGCTGGTGTTCATTTTAATTCTTTTATTCTTTTGGGGGGCCCGCCACCCAGCTCCCGAATAAAAATAAATCACACATGAAGGCTTATTTTTTTTTTTTTCTGATTTTTCGAGACAGGGTTTCTCTGTGTAGTTTTGGTGCCTGTCCTGGATCTCACTCTGTAGACCAGACTGACCTCAAATTCAGAGATCTGCCTGGCCCTGCCTCCCGAGTGCTGGGATTAAAGGCGTGCGCCACCACCGCCTGGCGCTTATTCTTACTTATGAATGCCCGGCCTTAGCTAGGCTTAGTTTCTAGCCAGCTTTACTTAACTTATTATCCCATCTTCCTTTTGCCTCTGGGCTTTTCCCGTTCTCTTACTTCCGTAAATCTTAGTAAATCTTCCTCTTACTCTGTGGCTTGCTGTGTAGCTGGGTGGCTGACCCCTGGAGTTCTCCTTTTCTGGCTGCTTCCTCCCAGATTTCTCCTGCTATATATTCTTTCTGCCTGCCAGCCCCGCCTATCCTTTCTCCTGCCTTGCTATTGACCATTTAGTTCTTTATTAGACCATCAGGTGTTTTAGACAGACACAGTAACACAGCTTCACAGAGTTAAACAAATGCAACACAAGCAAAAGTAACACACCTTAAAATAATATTCCCCAACACAGTCCTTTGTCCCTTCCCCATCTCCCTTGCCCCTTTTCTCCACTCTCCTTGGTCTCTTATTCTTTGTCCATTGTCTCTCTAGGGTAAATAAATTTCCTGTGTGCTGAGAACTTGGTCTTGGTGTGTCCTGTGCCAATTTCGGTTCATTTAAGATAGATAGGTAGGTAGGTAGGTAGGTAGGTAGGTAGGTAGATAGGTAGGTAGGTAGGTAGATAGATAGATAGATAGATAGATAGATAGATAGACAGACAGATACAGATATATGTGTAACAATCATAAAGAAAGAGGAAGAGGCCAATACTTTGCAAGGGAGTGAGAGGAACAGGAGAGAGATAAGAATGGAAATGATATAAATACAGTACTTATGTATGAAATTCAATAACATTAAAAATTTATGTTTAACCCCTTCATGATAAAGGTCTTGGAGCAATCAGGAATACAGGCAATTATTGCCTATATTCAAAAATATGCCTAAACATAATAAAGGCAATTTACAGCAAGCCAACAGCCAATATCAAATTAAACAGAGAGAAACTCAAAGCGATTCCACTAAAATCAGGAACAAGACAAGGCTGTCCACTCTCCCCATATTTATTCAATATAGTACTAGAAGTTCTAGCTAGAGCAATAAGACAACAAAAGGAGATCAAAGGGATACAAATTGGAAAGGAAGAAGTCAAACTTTCACTATTTGCAGATGACATGATAGTATACATAAGTGACCCCAAAAACTCTACCAGGGAACTCCTACAGCTGATAAACTCCTACAGTAAAGTGGCAGGATACAAGATCAACTCAAAAAATCAGTAGCCCTCCTATACACAAATGATAAAAGGGCTGAGAAAGAAGTCAGAGAAACCTCACCCTTTACAATAGCCACAAATAATATAAAATACCTTGGGATAATACTAACTAAGCAAGTGAAGGACCTTTTGATAAGAACTTTAAATCTCTAAAGAAAGAAATTGAAGAAGATATCAGAAAATGGAAGGTCTCCCATGCTCATGGATAGGTAGGATTAACATAGTAAAAATGGCAGTCTAACCAAAATCAATCTACAGATTCAATGCAATCCCCATCAAAATCCCAACACAATTCTTCACAGACTTGGAAAGAAAAATACTCAACTTCTTATGGAAAAACAAAAGACCCAGGATAGCTAAAAGAATCCTGTACAATAAAGCAACCTTTGGAGGCATCACGATCCCTGACCTCAAGCTCTACTATAGAGCTATAGTAATAAAAAAAAAAGCTTGGTACTGGTATAAAAACCAACATATGGACCAATGGAATCGAATTGAAGACCCTGACATTAATCCATGCACATATGAACACCTGATTTTTGACAAAGGAGCCAAAACTATACAATGGAAAAAAGAAAGTATCTTCAACAAATGGTGCTGGCATAACTGGATGTCAATATGTAAAAGATTACAAATAGATCCATATCTGTTACCATGCACAAAACTCAAGTCCAAGTGGATCAAAGACCTCAACATAAATCCAGTTACACTAAACTTAATAGAAGAGAAAGTAGGAAGTACTCTTGAACTCATTGGCACAGAAGATCACTTCCTAAATATAACACCAGCAGCACAGACACTGAGCACAATTAATAAATGGGACCTCAGCCGGGCGGTGGTGGCACACGCCTTTAATCCCAGCACTCGGGAGGCAGAACCAGGCGGATCTCTGTGAGTTCGAGGCCAGCCTGGGCTACCAAGTGAGTTTCCAGGAAAGGCGCAAAGCTACACAGAGAAACCCTGTCTCAAAAAACCAAAAAAAAAAAAAAAAACCCCAAAAAACCCAATAAATGGGACCTCTTGAAACTGAGAAGCTTTTGTAGGGCAAAAGACACGGTCAATAAGACAAAAAGACAGCCTACAGAATGGGAAAAGACCTTCACCAACTCCACATCTGACAGAGGACTGATCTCCACAGTATATAAAGAACTCAAGAAACTAGGCATTAAAATACTGAACAATCCAATTAAAAAATGAGCTAAAGAGCTAAACAGAGAATTTTCAAAAGAAGAATCACAAATGGCTGAATGACATTTAAAGAAATGCTCGGGGATTGGGGATTTAGCTTAGTGGGAAGCGCAAGGCCCTGGGTTCGATTCTCAGCTCCAAAAAAAAAAAAATGCTCAACATCCTTAATCATCAGAGAAATGCAAATCAAAACGACTCTGAGATACCACCTTACACCTGCCAGAATAGCTATGATCAAAAACACTAATGACAGTCTATGTTGGAGAGGATGCGGAGCAAAGGGAACACTCCTCCACTGTTGGTGGGAATGCAAACTTGTACAACCAATGTGGAAATCAGTATGGCAATTTCTCAGAAAATTGGGAATTGATCTACCTCAAGACCCAGCCATACCTCTCTTGGGCATATACCCAAGGAATGCTCAATCATACCACAAAGATACATGCTCAGCTATGTTCATAGCAGCATTATTCATAATAGCCAGAACCTGGAAACAACATTTGTTTGCCCATCAACTGAAGAATGGAGTAAGAAAATGTCGTACATATACACAATGGAGTACTACTCAGCAGAGAAAAACAATGACAGCATGAAATTTGCAGGCAAATGGATGGAACTAAAAAATATCATCCTGAGTGAGGTAACCCAGACTCAGAAAGACAAACATGGTATGCACTCACTCAAAGTGGACTCTAGATATAAAGCAAAGAACAATCAGACTGCAACCCACAGAACCAGGGAGGCTATATAGCAGCAGGGACCCTAGGATGACTGTGGCTTATAATAAGTTTTGGTTTTACTCAATTACTAGGCAAGCCTCAATGAAACATTTCACTATTAGGATAAAAGTTTATACTGTATCAAGCTGATAATAGAAAAATTAATTAATTAATTAATGTCTTAACATCCCTGCTGTAAATGTACCTATGTCTGCAAATGTTTCTCTGGGCTTTCCATCTCTTCAATCCATCTATTAGTCCCTATGCCAGAACCCCACTGCCTTGATAACTGTAGGTTTGAAGTAAGTTTCAAAGATGGGGCGTATGAGTCATCCATCTTTATTCTTCTCCAAGATTGTTCGGTCTCTTCAGGGGCCCCTACGGTCCCAGATGACTCTGAGGGTCAGCGTTTCCATTTTGTAGAGAAACAAACAAACAAACAAAAATGATTAGCAGTTGGAGGGTAAGATGGGAAGGGCTCCTGGAATTTCTATAGGGGTTGTGTTGAATCTGTAATCATTTTGGGCAGTGTTGACAGAAAGCACAGCTGGACAAGGGCAAAACGAGCCCAGTTGGAGCAAAGTATTGCAGACCACGGACAAAAATCAGAAAAGTCCAGCCTTCTATTCTGCGGGGGTTAAAGGGTCTACAAAGAAGCAGTTCCACCAAAATAATGCTGGGTGTTGACAAAGGAGGATTTCTGGGATCCCTGCCCTCCTCCCTCCATTAGGCCACAACTGGGCATGAGGGTGGGGTGAGAAGGCAGGGGCTGAGTACACATGAAACTTAGCAGTTTAACAGAAAATGAAACAAGGAATTAAAATTGGGTAAAGAGGAATTGCCCTTGGCTCTCCCCTTAGCAGGAAAAAAACTGCTGGAGTCTTTTACTGAACCCCGAAACTACAGCCGCTGGTGAAATAAAAATAAACACATATAGACAGATACAGGGGAGCGGCACCTTCAGTGCCCCACCCCCCACCCCCACGCCGCCACCGCCACCGTTGTGGCCGCTGCAGGAGGAGGCGGGGCACTAACTGGAAATTAGCAGCGGTCCTCTGGGAGCAGACTCCTCCCCTCCGATACCCCTCCTTCCCTGGTGGAGCTGACCTCTGACGGGTTGCTCATTAGGAAAGACCTGGTTGGTAAATAACTCCTGCTCTGACCCCCTTGCACGGTACAGGACACGGCGGCCCAAAGTGTACCACTTTGGAATCCTTTAAGATGAGCATGGAGAAAGAGCCTTCCAGAGAATTCCCTTACTTCATCAATGCTTCCCTGGGAGTTTCATCAGGGAAGAATGATAGACTTGTCCCAGGAGAGGAAGCTCCAAGTCGGCTCACCCTCAGAGGAACTCTGTCTCAAGCCATCATCCTCTCTATCCTCCCGTTTGTTCATTTTCCCAAAGCACCTCGCAGGCTGTCTACAGCCCCGTCCCTCCCCCAATAGGATGCTTAAGCGCCCTTCTTGTTCTGTGGTAGCCTCTTTGCTTTCCTATGGTGCACCCTACAGGTACCATACACCTGTTCTCACATTAACCTGTCTACTGTCCGACTATTTCAAAGACTCCGTTAAGGAGTCCTTAGGAAATCAAGGCCCCCCCTTTCCCTACGCCCTTCCGTGCTCTCCCTCCATCCTTTGCCACCCCAGCACCCTCCCAGCTCCTCCCGTTAGCCACCTTGGGTCTGGGGATCCTCGGGGAATGCTGCGGCCTTCCTCCAGGCAAGAGTCGGTTCTGGTCAGTGGCAAGTACAGAGAACAGTACGTAGAGCGAAAGCTAGGACCTCCGGCTGGGGTGGGTTTTAGTAGGTAAGCGAGGGAAAACGTCAATGAAATTTGCATTTAACCCACGACTTCTTTCCCAGAGGAACTTGGTTACCCCTTTCCCGCTCATGGGTTTCTGCAAAGTCTATCATGCCCTCTGGTGGCAACACTTTGTTACTACATAGTCCCCTTTTGGACCTTAAGCATTTTTTAGCTTTCTGACTTTCGGAGGAGCTCTGGTGTTATTTGCTTTACATAAGAGATATCTTGGAGAAGGAACATATAGTAGTTACTTTTCTGTTGCTGTGATAAAACACCATGAGCAAGGCAACTTATAAAAGAGTTTATTTGGGCTTTCATACGGTTCCATCATGGCAGAGACTCATAGCCATCACAGGCAGTCATGATGCAGGAACAACAGAGCTCAACATCTCTAACTGCAAGCAGGAAACAGAAAGAGGGGCCTGGAAATGGTGTGTGACTTTGAAACCTCAAAACCTACCCTCAGGGATGTACTTCCTCAAGGTAGGCCACGCCTAACCTTCCCTCAGACAGCACCTTCAAAATGGAGACCACACACTCAAACATCTGAGCCTATGGGGGTGGAGGCGTTTTTATTCAAATCACCACACCCAGAAATGTCAAACTTCCTGGAGATGCCCCAAAATGTTCCCCTAGTAAATGATCCCACAATTGGCCATCTGCCCATCCAGAGAGCACTAAAATAAAACAATGGTACAAGACAAAAAAAAAAAAAAGCCTTTCATAAGCCTGACCTGCCCTCTCTTGACCCCTTCAGTCCTGCAGAGACCAAAAAGAAAGAAAAGACTCAAAGGAGAAGACACTGAGCAAGAGGGAAAAACAGTCAATCTGCTTCCTCTGTGGCCCACAGGGTTATTAAAAGGAGTCCCTTCTTATCACTAAATGAATCTGGGAAGACTAGGGTGTTGCCAGGGATTTTAACAAGATCTAGCAATGTTAAGGTGATCAGATCTGCATGTGGTACCCTGCACAGAAAGGCTGTGCTTTGCAAATACCTACAGCTGTGGGGTTTTATCTGGCCAGACAGGATGCTGAACCCTGAAGCAACCCGAACTGTGTGCTGGAGTTTTCAAGTAACCAGAAGTGTGCTCAACCAGTGAGGAGCAGAAGTTCTTGGGTGAGCTCCTTAGCTTCTTGGTTCCTCTGTAGAAATAACTCCCATCCCTGGCCTGAAAACTCCCAAATGGTCTCATTCCCTTCCCTCTATTACTTCCTCACTCTAAAACAACTTATTTACAGGGCTGATAAAATTGCTCAGTGGCTAAGGGCACATGTCGCTCTTGTGGGAGTCTTGGGTTTGCTTCCCAGAAACCACGTGATGTCTCACAAGCAGCTCTAACCAGTGGGCGGGGGGGGGGGGGGGGGGGGGGGGGGGGGGGGATGGATCTGATGCCCTCTTCTGGCTTCTGTGGGCAGTGCACATGCATGTATTCAGGCAAAACACTCATACACATAAAATAAAAATAAATAAATCTTATTAAAGTTATTTTTGTATATGTGTTATGTGAGTATAAGTGTGCATGAGCCAAGACACCCTGTTTGTGTGTGGATCTCACAGGACAACTTTCAGTGGTCACTTCTCACCTTCCACGTCGCTGAAGTAGTCTTTCTTGTTTCTGCACCCACCAAGTGCTTGAGGCTAGCTGGCCCTTGAGTTTCTGCAAGCTAGGTAGCCCTTGAACTTCTGGCTGATTCCCTTGTCTCTGTCTCCCATCTCGCATAGGAATGCTGGGATTACAGATGTAGGCCACTGCATCAGCTTTGTATGTGGGTTCTGGGAATCAAACTCAGGTCACCAGACAAATGCTTCTATCTGCTGAGCCATGTCCCTGGTTGCTTCCCAAAATTTTGCAATCAAATTCATATATTGGTGTCTATTTCTTGAGGAGATCAAAACCAAGACATCAGGGAGTGGAGAGGTGGATTAGCAGGAAAGAGCACTTGTGGCTCTTACAAAGGACCTGGGTTCAGTTCCCAGCACCCACATGGTAGCTCAGTAACTCCAATTCCAGAGAATCCAAGCCCCTCTTTCAACCTCCAAGAGCATGAGGCATACAAATATGCACTTAAGGGTATGAGATACAGACATATAGACAAACTAATACATTGAAAAGAAGAATGAACACATCTTTTAAAAAAATTTCCGCCAGGTGGGAGGCAGAGGCAGGTGGATCTCAGTGAGTTTGAGGCCAGCCTGGTCTACAAAGCAAGTTCCAGGACAGCTAAGACTGTTACACAGAGAAACCCTGTCTTAGAAAAATAAAATAAAATAAAATAAAAATTTCCAAGACACCCAGAAAAGACAGGATGCTTGCAAAGGTTTGAGTCAGAGTCAGGGCTGGCTTAAGTCAGGAAGATCTTGCTGCTTGTCCAGTCAATAAACCAAACACCGGAGTTCTGGTTTTACTCATAAGTGAGTTTCCTGCCTGACACCTGGGGATGGGAGGCAGTAGGGGTTTCACCACATCTTGAAGCAGAAGATAGATTTTCATCACATATCTCTTCTGACTTCCTGCCTCTGAAACGCTCCATTTCCTCCTGTGATGCCCCAGGAACCAGTGAGTCGTACATGGGGCAGAGCTCACACAATGCAGTGGTCATAAAATTGGGGCTGGTGGCTGACCTAATTCCCAAAGCCCAGCCACTTTATTTGTTTTAATTAAAGTATAGCTCACTGGACTGGTGAGATGGCTCAGGGGATAAAGGTGCTTGCTATACAAGCCTGGAAAACTGAGTTCGATTCCCAGAACTCACATAAAGGTGGAAGGAGAGACAATCTCCACAAGGTTGTCCACCAATGGTCATACAGGTGTCCCCACATCACAAACACACACATGTAGTAATAAATAATAAATATTTTTCAAATGAAGTATAGCCTGAGGGTAAATTCCAGTCATTTACCTTTGTAGTTCTGGTGCTATTTTTTTTTTTTTTTTTTTTTTTTTTTTTTTTTTTTTGAGACAGGGTTTCTCTGTGTAGTTTTGGTGCCTGTCCTGGATCTTGCTCTGTAAACCAGTCTGGTCTCAAACTCGCAGAGATCCTCCTGGCTCTTCCTCCCGAGTGCTGAGATTAAAGGCGTGCGCCGCCGCCGCCGCCGCCGCCGCCGCCGCCCGCCGCCGCCGCCGCCGCCGCCGCCGCCGCCGCCGCCGCCGCCGCCGCCGCCGCCCAGCTCTGGTACTATTTTTTAATGATGTGGAAGTGTGGTTTAATGAAGACATTGTAACATAAACCTTAAGTAGGAAAGAGAAAGTTCAGAAGAAAGAAACATACCCAAGAGCATGGGTGTGGGTGTCTTAAAGACAAGTTTTGGGAGATTTTAATCTTTTCATTGTATAGTATAAATTATTGTTTTTAATTTAAAAATCATAAGACATACAACTACCACTACAATCGAGAGAGAGAGAGACAGAGACAGAGACAGAGACAGAGAGACAGAGAGAGACAGAGAGAGATTGGGTTTTTTTTTTAAGATTTATTCATTTATTATGTATACAGTGATCTGTACGTATGTATGCCTGCAGGCCAGAAGAGGGCACCAGATCTCATCACAGATGATTATGAGCTACCATTTGTGGTTTCTGGGAATTGAACTCGGGACCTCTAGAAGAGCAGCCAGTGTTCTTAACTGCTGAGCCATCTCTCCAGCCCTATATATAGTTTTTTTGAGACAGGGTTTCTCTGTTCAGCTCTGATATCCTGGAACTCGTTCCATAGACCAGACTGGTCTTGAACTCAGAGATCTGCCTGCCTCTGCTTCCCAAGTGCTGGGATCAAAGGTGTGCACCACCACTGTCCAGGTAAAGCCACTCAAAACATGACCCTTTGGCATGCTGAGAACTTTCAATGAAGGAAACTGAGAAAATCCTAGAACGGTCTCTCTCTGATCTACTCCAACCTTCATCTCCTGAAACATGGCCGTGGATAGAAGTCTCTGTGTGTCCCTGAAAAAGAAAGTCATGTGACAGGTGACCTGTCTCATATCTGGAAGCCAAAAGGAATCTGCACAAAGAGGCCTTGCTAAACCCACCCACCCTCCAGTTTGTTATCAATGGTTAGACTTCCTCTCTGTCCATTCATACTTGCACACAGCTGTCCATCTATCATGTCTAAGCATAAAGGTCCACTTTTCCCTGCGTCTGTGCATCTTCATTTCTGAAGGCTCCTGTTTCACATAAAATTTTAGCTAATAATAGTGTATGCTTTTCCTTTAGTAAGCTGGCCTTAGGTGTGGGAAGATCGATTGTGAAATTTGCCATGGGTGAAGAAAAGAAATCTTTTGGGGGAGGGCAAGATGGTCCAGTGGATAAAGCTCTTGCCACACAAGCCTGACCCAGGTTAGACCCCTGAAACCCAGGTAAAGGTGAAGGAGAGAACCAATTCTACAAAGTTGTCCTCTGACCACCAGACACATGCCATAGCATGGGTGTCCCCCCTCACACAGTGCACAGACATAATAATAATTAATAATAATAACTTTTAAATAATAAATCTTTTCTTCCTTATAATTCTATTGTTTGGTTTTAGTATTTAAGACTAGTACCCAGGGGCTGCCTAACTACGTCTAGAAATGCTTCCTGTGTTCATAGAACACATAAGTGAACAAATAGATGGCCAAGGGTATACACTGAAGTAATGTCTGTATAATGGAGACACTGGAAAGGAGGGGTGTTGTCAGCACAGCAGCTGCACCTGAATCCACTGCTCTTTCAGCTGCTGACTGTGGCTCCAGTCTGAGGCTCAGGCTGAGGCCTGGCAGGACTTCCGTGTCCCGCCAGAACCACCTCTGCCTCTGCAGCCAAACATAGTTTTTGTTTTTTTTTTTTTTGGTTTTTCGAGACAGGGTTTCTCTGTGTAGCTTTGCGCCTTTCCTGGAACTCGCTTTGGAGACCAGGCTGGCCTCGAACTCACAGAGATCCACCTGGCTCTGCCTCCCCAGTGCTGGGATTAAAGGCGTGCGCCACCACCGCCCGGCCAAACATAGTTTTTAACTAAGTCTCTATCGTTCTTTTTACCAAGACAGACTCGGAAGTCAGAT